ACCCAGGAGTCCTGGCTCCCAGTCATCTTGGCTTCTGAATAGCAGGGATCACGGTGTGAGGAGATGAGCTGGACTGTGGTTCCGAGCCTGGCCAAAGCGAACGAAAATAAACCCTCCGGGGAGTGTGAACACTGCGGCTCGGATATCCAGGTCGCTGCGAGCGGGCCGAGATTTTCCTTTCCTCAGTGCAGTCTGTGCGTGGGGGAGCGGGCAGGGGGGTGTCGTGGAGAGATGCACGGGGGAGGCTGTAGACAGGGTGCCTTGTTGGAGGGCTAAGCAAGAGTGCAGGAGACTGAGGAGCTGTGTGAAATCCCGAGCCAGAGGCCCACCGGAAACAGCCTCTCCAGCCCGCAGTTAAATCTGACCTCTTGGCTGCTGATCAAAAAGTGTTCCCTGCAAATACCATCGAGTCTCTGTTCCAGCCAAGCTGGCGGCCGGGGAGAGAGGGTGGGAGCCAGCCACTGTGGACCGGAGCGGAGCGAGGGGGGTGGGCTCAAGGCAAACACACACACAAGCCCTGCAGTGTCCGGCCCGCGAAAGCAGGAACAGCCTCTCGGCTGCGGACAGGCTGCAGGGGCCACAGAGCTGGGCCACAGAGAGCGGTGCCCCTGGGAGGATTCCGGTTTTTTGGACAGAGAAGCCTTTAAAGCGTGGCTCAAAGGCTTGCTGATGTCTCGCAGCCCCTCCGCGCGGATGTCAGATTCAGCCGTACCGTGACGCTGCGCTCCAGCTGGCCACTGTGGCTTCCCCGGGTTACCGATCCACCGTCTGGGTTTTACGGAGGAGCTGTCCCCACGCGGTGGAGCCGAGCGTGCGTGCCTGCGGGGCCTTGGCAGACTGCCACCCACCTGGCATGGCACAGGGGCAGCGGGCTGGCCGGGGTGCCTCAGAGAGCCCGTGAGGGGCTGATCTGGGGTGACACCCACGCAGGCTCCCGTGTGGTTCTCCTCTCGCCAGGCGGGATCCTTTTATTCTGTCTAGAGGTTGCGGCTGCGCTCCCCAGGCTGTGCAGGGCACACAGGGACGGCAGCCCCTCACCCAGCCCGGAGCTCCAGCCTGCCGCCAGTACCGGACCTCGTGGAACCAGTGACAGCCGTGTAATGCCCGAGGCCCCGGTGGGAATCCTGGAAGGGCCCTTCTCCTCTGACCTGGTCCCCCTCGCGTGAGTGACTGGGGCATAGAGAATAGGGGTTCCCCAAGCCAACAGCCCCTTGTTCCCACCGGTGCCCGGCGTGGTGGAGGAGAGATGCGTCGCTTCGAGGTGCTGCGCCGCTCCTTCCCGTTTCTGGCCCGCTTCCGGGTCTATCGCGTAAGTCAATTTCGGCTCGGTTCCCACGGGTGAGCCCCCTGACGCGTCGGATCTGCATCCCGCCCCTTCATCCCGGGGCTGCTCTGTCCTGGCCGCTGCATGTCACGGAGCGTGAGCCGAGCCCTGGGGGGCTGCGGGTGGCGTGGCAGGGTTTTGCTGGATGGGGGGGCTGTGGTTGGGATGGCACACAACCCAGCCTGGCCGACAAGGTCTGACGCCGCCCAGAGCCTTAGCCCCTCCCCCTCACAGGGGCAGAGCTCGGACGCCCCCCCTCTACCGGCCACAGGGAGCCCGGCACCATCCTTGGGGCTCCCTGCTCCATGTGTCCCTTGCACCTCACCACATGTGTTGGGCTGTACCCCAGCTGGCAATGAGGCGACTGCCCCCCCACCCACGGGAGCTGGGACACTCTGGCCATGCCCTGGCTGGCTGCCGGCCGCACCCACCCTCCGTATTTTTAGACCAGACTATACTGCGGGGAATTTTAATTGTTGGCTGTAACCCAAGAGCTCCGGAGACAGAGCCCCAGGCCCGGGCTTTGTCTGTGGATGGTGGGGGGGGGCTGTGTTAGGGGGCTCAGATTGGCCTGGAGTGATACCCCCCCGATTGGAGGTGCTGCAAACAGAGTTGGGAGGGTCCCGGGATGGAGTGGGAGGGGGGCGAAGTGCTGGGTGCCACTGGAAGGGAGGGAGGGAGCACCCTGTCTTCTGCTTCTCGGTCATTGTATGGCCCAGCCCCCCATGGCGCCAGGCACTGCACAGACCCAGGTGGGCCCTGCCCCAAAGACCTTACAGCGGGAGGCCGTGGCCGCGGTGCTGCATGTGCCCAGAGGAGGGGTTCTCCTGGCAGCATGGGTTGTCCAAGGTTGGTGGAAGAGCTCAGCTGGGGAGCGAGGAGACGCAGCCAGCCGGATTGTAGCCTCTCCGCAGGGCAGCGTGTCCGGGGGTGGCGTGAAGGGCAGCGCAGGTGGGAGGCACATGTCTGGAAATGGAACAAGCGGGTGAAGGAGACTGGACAGGGCAGATCTGCAGCGGGGGCCGTCAGTCGTTGAAGAGCTCTGCCCAGCATGGTGACTGCAGGGCAGCTGAGCTCTGGGGCTGGAGGGGCCCATGGGTGTGGGGCACACAGGGGCAGCCCCGATGGCTTGGCTCAGGCCAGGCTGGTGCTTTCCCGGTTTGCCATGTCGTTTCTGGAGCGGATGTCAGGGTGTGTGGGGTACGGACAGGAGCACTGGGGAGACAGCCCATACCTCCAGGGGCAGTAGCAGGTTTCCTCTCCAAACATTAGGGAACAGTCCCCTCTGGGAGCTCGGGGCCCCTGCAGAGCCAGCCTGGGGTCACCCTGCTCTGGGAGTTGGCCCCCAAGGGGGTCTCATCGGTGCTGGGTGCGGATCAGCACAGCCATGCTGCCGAAGTGGATGGGGAAGGGGTGCCCAGCTGAGCGCTGCCCTGGGCCTGGCCTGTGACGGCCTTGGGGGGCGCAGCATGCCAGGGGGATTTTGTCCCCCTCAATGAACACAAAGATGTAGCACCACCCATGAGCCATGTCCCTGCATAGCCTCATGGGCAGCGCCAGCCTTTCCTGCCACTCAGAACGGGGGGCAGACCCTCTGCTCGTGAGGCGGAGCTGGCAGCCAGATGGGAGAACTGGAGCTGGCTGTGGACAGACGCCGCCAGGGACGGACAGACAGATAGGCCCAGGGACACACTGGCTTTGAGGGGAAGCCAGAACCTGTCTATGGAGCAGGGCACATGGGACGTCCATGCTCATGTGCCCAGGCCCCACTGGCCGGAGGGCCAGGATCGGGGTGGGAGGGGGCACACGCTCTGTTTTATAACCCAGACCTGCCGTCTCCAGTTTCCATCCCAAACATGGGCACGGGAAGCAGATCCACCCGTGCCTTGGCTGGCGTGCCGTGCCTCGGCGGTGCCAGGGGGTGCTGAGCCCTGGTGGGCAGCGGGGTGAGAGCCTGGCACCCCTGCCAGCTGCAGTGGCCTAACGCAGCTTTGCTTTTATCGCTCTCTGTGCTATTGATAACCAGGAGCTTCGCTCGGAGGGCAGGGGGGTGACACCGATGGGCACCATCTGGCCGCTGGGGAGGGCAGCAAAACCTCCTGGCCCCTCCCCGGCTGCTCTGCCCACTCACACCCCAACGGCTGGGTCAGGAGCTGATGGCAGGTCAGCACAAGCTGCAGCTTGTTTGAAATGCTGCCCGCTGTGTGCCCTGCCTCTCCACCACCCTCCATGAACCCTGGGACTCCAGGATTTCAAACCAGGCTCCCCCCTGCCCCCTCCCCACTTCGGGGGAGCTCCGTGCGCTGCAGGGGGCACAGACTGGCCTGGCAAGCTTGGTGCTCCCATGCCAGCCCAGAGCAGCTCCACCACCTGAGCTCTCCCCGTGAGCACACGTCTCAGCCAGGGTTCCCCTCTCCCGGGCATTGCCGGTGGGCACGGGGCTTTCGCTGCCGGGGCAGGGGGAATGCAGCAGCTCCCAGCCTGCACTGATGCATCTGATCTGTGTGCCCTGCAGACGAGGAGCATGGCACAGGGAGCAGTGAGCCGCTCCCTGGTGCCTGGCTGACGTATGGCGGGGTGACGGGGCTCCCATTGGTTCCTGGTGGGGGGCACGGGGCAGGGCTGGCCTGTCCTCTCTGCACCCGGGTGGCGAGTGGCTCGTTAATTCTCTAGCGCTGGGTCTCTGGGCTGCCCTCATGGGCACCTGCCTGGGAACGACAGAGCAGCCTCTTACACCCTTGTGGATGGCACCCGTCGTGCCCGGGGTCCCAGCCAGGGTGGGGACTGATGGGCTGGGCACTGCAGGACCGAGGACTGGGTTTCCCCAGGGCAGCAAAGTCCCCTGGGCAGTCATGCATCATGGGGTTCAGTTCTGGAGTGAAATCTCCCCCAGACGCCAGGTGCTGCCCGGACACCGGGCACATGGGGCTGGCAGGAGGAGAGGGCCTTGGCCTGCCGGGTCAGATCCCAGTGGCGGAGGAGCCAAGCCGAGCCACCGGCTGGGGTGAAGGGGGCTGCTGGGAAGGGGACTTTCATATGGCTCCTTATGTCATGTCCTGCTGAGTGGTGAGGGGGGCCAGCTGGCAGTGCTCCCCCATAGCCCACCCAGCAGCCGCTGGCGCCTTGGGCGGCCCTGTGCAGGCAGTGGGGTGCCCTGGTACCTCTGAAGGCCTTGTATAGCCGCAGATCCCCTCTCCCTGTCTGTCCCAGGCTCTGCTTCGACCTCGGCAGCCCAGTGGCACTGGGACAGCCCTGCTGGCTCTGGGGCGGATCCTGTCCCTGGGCAAGGCGATGGCCAAAGTCTCACTGGCTTCTCCAGGAGCAAAATCTGGTCCCCGGGAATTCCTGTCCCCCGGCTCTGCCCGTCCCGGTTGTGGCAGGGCGCGTAGTAGGGCCAAGTGTGCCCATCCCCGGCTGCTCAGCAACGTGGCTGCTGCCGCTATGACCAGCCCACGGCCGCTGCTTCAGCTGGCGCAGCTAACGGAGACGCTCCAGCCACTATTAGCCATACAGGGCTTGGGACTGAGCAGTACATCCCACGCTAGCGATGCCTCCATCGGGGGCCCAGGTAGCCGTTCGGGGGAGACAGGTTCCATCGGGGAGCGTGGGCTGAGACAGGGCAGTCGGTGCCCGGAGCCGCAGGCTGCCCCCTAACCCCGCTCTCTGGTCTCTGCAGACGCTGCCCTGTGGCATGGAGTCGGACGAGGGCACAGACTGGCTCCTGGAGCTCCTGGCCGAGGTGCAGCTGCAGCAGTATTTCCTGCGCATCCGCGATGACCTCAACGTCACGCGCCTCTCACACTTCGAGTACGTCAAAAATGAGGATCTGGAGAAGATCGGCATGGGGCGGCCTGGTGTGTATGACCTCTGACTTCCTCCCAAGCCCCCTTGCTGCTCCCCCCCTGCCCCTGCAATCAGCGCTGCATCTGTCTCTGCTGGTCCCCGCCTCCACCTGCAATCCGCGCTGCATCTGTCTCTGCTGGTCCCCCCCTGCCCCTGCAATCCGCGCTGCATCTGTCTCTGCTGGTCCCCGCCGCCCCTGCAATCCGCGCTGCATCTGTCTCTGCTGGTCCCCGCCGCCCCTGCAATCAGCGCTGCATCTGTCTCTGCTGGTCCCCCCACTGCACCTGCAATCTGCGCTGCATCTGTCTCTGCTGGTCCCCCCACTGCACCTGCAATCCGCGCTGCATCTGTCTCTGCTGGTCCCCCCACTGCACCTGCAATCTGCGCTGCATCTGTCTCTGCTGGTCCCCCCCGCACGTGCAATCTGCGCTGCATCTGTCTCTGCTGGTTCCCCCCCAGCACCTGCAATCCGCGCTGCATCTGTCTCTGCTGGTTCCCCCCCTGCACGTGCAATCCGCGCTGCATCTGTCTCTGCTGGACCCCCCCCTGCACGTGCAATCAGCGCTGCATCTGTCTCTGCTGGACCCCCCCCTGCACGTGCAATCAGCGCTGCATCTGTCTCTGCTGGTCCCCCTTCTGCACGTTCAATCAGCGCTGCATCTGTCTCTGCTGGTCCCCCCAGCACCTGCAATCCGCGCTGCATCTGTCTCTGCTGGTCCCCCCCCCCCCCCCCCCGCGCACCTGCAATCAGCACTGCATCTGTCTCTGCTGGTCCCCCCCCCCCCCCCGCGCACCTGCAATCAGCGCTGCATCTGTCTCTGCTGGTCCCCCCCTGCCCCTGCAATCCGCGCTGCATCTGTCTCTGCTGGTCCCCCCCTGCCCCTGCAATCCGCGCTGCATCTGTCTCTGCTGGTTCCCCCCCACACGTGCAATCCGCGCTGCATCTGTCTCTGCTGGTTCCCCCCCACACGTGCAATCCGCGCTGCATCTGTCTCTGCTGGTTCCCCCCCACACGTGCAATCCGCGCTGCATCTGTCTCTGCTGGTCCCCTCCTCCCCCGCACTTGCAATCATGCAATCCGCGCTGCATCTCTCTCTGCTAGTGTTTCCCCCCCCCCCCCGATCACATGGCTTTGTTGTTGGTGCTCCAGGTTTGTTGTTGTAGTGTTAACACCTCTCCAGCAGGGCTCCCGGTCCTCTCGGGGGTCTGGCTGTCCTTGTTACCCACACAAAATTCTCTAAAAAAGAACAGGAGTACTTGTGACACCTTAGAGACTAATTTCAGAGGAACAGCCGTGTTAGTCTGTATTCGCAAAAAGAAAAGGAGTACTTGTGGCACCTTAGAGACGAACCCATTTATTTGAGCATGAGCTTTCGTGAGCTACAGCTCACTTCATCGGGTGCATCGGTTAGTCTCTAGCACCAGCAGGAGAGTGAATTTGTGGGGGGGTGGAGGGTGAGAAAACCTGGATTTGTGCTGGAAATGGCCCACCTGATGATCACTTTAGATAAGCTATTACCAGCAGGACAGTGGGGTGGGAGGAGGTATTGTTTCATATTCTCTGTGTATATATAAAGTCTGCTGCAGTTTCCACGATATGCATCCGATGAAGTGAGCTGTGGCTCACGAAAGCTCATGCTCAAATAAATTGGTTCGTCTCTAAGGTGCCACGAGTCCTCCTTTTCTTTTTGCGAATACAGACTAACAGGGCTGCTACTCTGAAACCTGTCAATAGAGAAGTGGGGACCATAATGACAAAACAATAAAGAAATGAGGATTTCACAACCACAACTCTTGATAAGTGATTTCTTGACAGACAGGATGCTATCAAACTAAGTTTTCTTTAACCATCTTAAGATCTGTTTCTTTATCTGGTGATAGTAGGTGCCATTAGGACAGGATCTCCTTCTTAACAGCCTGGTATTACATTGTTATATTAAAACAATGGAGTGTGAGGATGTGACTTCCTGCTTCTTAGCTAATGGCTGCTCTTTTAATCTGGCTGCAGAGGAAGGCCTTAGGTTTTAAGCCTTACAATACGGCTGCAGACAAAGGCCTTACACCCTGGGGTGGGGTGGAGGCAGATTCCCCTCTGGAGCTGGCGGAGGGGTGCCGCAGGAGGGAGCACGGTGAGCTCTGTGACCATCCTTTTGTCTCTGCAGGCCAGCGGCGGCTGTGGGAAGCCGTGAAGCGCAGGAAAGCCATATGCAAGCGCAAGTCGTGGATGAGCAAGGTAACGCCTGGGAAGGGGCACCCCGGGGCACCAGGCTGAGTGGGATGTAGAGCGGGGAGCTGATGCAGCAGCCTGGTGTCATGGGGGCATTGGGCCATTCACGGGTGAGAGCCCTGGCACCAGCAGCTCCATTTCCCAGATGGGGAAACGCAGAGCGGCCGCGGGACTGGCCTGAGGCTGCAGAGAGTGCCCCAGACACACCGGCGCAGCCCTGCTGGGCGCAGGGCAGTGAAGGCTGGAATTTGGCCCGGTGGCTTTAGATGCCCAGCGGCGTTGCCATCTGCTGCCTCCCACAGCCCTCGCCGCTGTCTGTGTCCCTGCTTTGAGGGGTAGGGAAGCTCCTCACACCCGCTCACCCTGAGCCAGGCTCTCTGCGGGATCCCCAGAGGGGAACAGCCTGGGCTAGGGTTGCCAATTTTGGTTGGATGAATTCCTGGAGATTTCAGATTAATCTTTAAATCCTGGAGACTCCAGGCCAATCCTGGAGGGTTGGCAACCCTTGCCTGGGCTGGAGCCAGGAGCCGTTCGGCCAATTGCTGGAGAGCAAGGGAAAGAAGTGGGCGGCAGAGAGCCTGCTGGGAAATGTAGTCCTGCCGTTATCTGTGGGGCCGCACAGCTGGCCGGAAGCAGGGCCTGCGTCTCCAGGGGGGAATCCTGCGTGGGAGGAGGGGGGCCAGTTCTAGGAAAATGGAGCTCTGGGCCAGGGCTCTGTGACGTGCCCCAAGCCCTCCAAGTGCACGGGCTGCGCTGGGAGCTCATTTCCCAGCCCTGGCATTAGCTCTGGAAGAAGTGGGTGGCTGAGAGAAATTGACAGAGGCTGCAGGGTCCTTTGATCACGAGGCGGTGGATTGCAATAACCGGGCTCGAGGGCAGCGACTGGCTGCCCCTCAGCGTGCATGGGGCACCCTGCGGGTCGGAGGGTCAGTTCACTGGCTGGCTGGCTGTTTGTGGGAGCTGGCTGGCTGGGGCTGGTGCTGGCGTTGGTGAGCGCCCCTCTGCCCGAGGGGCAGGCAGGAAATTCCTTCCCCCGGTGATCAGTCTGTGCCCCCGGAAGCCAATTAAGTGTTAAGTAGCTGAATATGCATCACTGCCCGGTGCTGCGTCCACACGGTGCCGGGGAGAGTCCCCTCAGGGTGCAGCGAGTCTGTCGTCTCCCAAGGGGTGCAGTCTGGTGCCAGCCACGTGAGATTGGGGGGCCCAAGGGTGCTGCCCCCTGACTCAAATGGGCGTCTCAGCCAGCGCTCTGCCCGGGCACCATCCACGCTGTCCGTGGCCTGCACCCTGCTTTTGTTCTTACCCACACGTCCGTGGCACTGGCGTTGTGCCAGGGCTGTGCCAAACGCACCAAGGGCGGTGGTCCCTGTCGTGGAGAGCTGGGTCTCAAGCCAAGATGATGGGCACAGACCAGAGGAGGACCCAGTAGGGTCAGCAGCATGGGACCGAGGGGTAGAAAGCGTTCTGGGGCCGTCCGGAGCATGGAGCCTGGCGTCGGCCCCGTGATAAGTGCTGGGTTGGCACCCATTCAGCAGTAGCACAGGCTGTCAGTAGGGAAATACAGCCACCTCTGGGGCAGAGCGTGGCAGCTGTGTATCAGCACCCAGCAGCACTTGGGCAGCTGGGGACAGGAAGTGGTCGAGCATCCGCATCCTGCTGAAACTCCCCGGGGCAATCAGCGCGATGGGGGCTGCCTCAGCCGGAGCGCCCGGCCACGGCTCATCTGAAAGAGGGCATCTCCTCACACCCCACTGGGGATCTGGGCTTCGTGCTAGCTTGGAGGGGGCAACGCCCCCTGCTGAGTCATTCATGCCGCTCCCTGGGGCCAGCACCCCACAGTTTCGCAATGGGGCACTGACTCGGGTGGGAGAGCGCCCCCACTGGGGCACGGCAGCACAACCCCCCAGCTCAGCACAGGGTCAGCATTGACTCCGCTGATATGCTGTCTTCCTTTTCCTGTCCCAAACTGCTGGGAAGCTTTGCTGTGTGTGCTGTTCAACGGCTGCTGCGCTCCACCCCAGAGGCAGCTGCATTGGTGGGCTCAGAAGGGCGACGGAAGGTGAAGTGCCATGGATTCATGGGTGAGGGGCACTAGACAACAGCTGCCAAGGACAGAGCGAGAGAAGTGCTTGAAGCCTCCCCGGCCTTTGCCTCCCGCGAGGGCTTTGGTGTGATGCCACTCCAGGGGTGTTAGTAGCTTGGTCAGACCTTACAGCCTCAGGCCTGGGCGTGTGCTACGGGGCTGGAGCAGGCTGCTGGGTCTGTTCGTACCGCTGTCTCCCATTCCTCTGGGCTGTCCTGTCCCATAGCAGGCTCTGACCCTGCCCCAGGGCCTGTCCCATCCCTGCCCTGGGACCTGACACCTCTGGGCTGGCTCTGCCCACGCGCCAGCCTGGGCTGCCTTTCCCTCCCTCAGCATGCTGGCCCTCGACTTCCATTACAAAGACAGGTCAGTGCTGCTGTTACAGATGGGGAAACTGAGGCGCAGAGCGGGGCTGTGAGTCAGAGCTGGGGGTAGAACCCAGGAGTCCGAACCCTCCCAATCCTCTGCTCTGACTACATAAAGGTGCTGCCCTAAACCCTCCTCCCACCGTGGGCTCTGCAGTGCCTGATGTCGGGGCCAGAGGCCGGTGTGCATAGAGGGACTGCCTGATGCTGGCGGAATCACGGGGCATTGACTGGTGGTGTCTCTCCACCCCCAAGCCCACATGCCTGTGACCCACGCCTCTGCCTGTCTGTCTGTCCAGGTGTTCAGCGGGAAGCGCCCCGAGGCAGAGTTCCCGCTCCAGCCCCAGGCCCCCTTCCCCAAGCTCTCCAGCCCGTCGCCCGCCGAGGAGGGGCAGCAGGCCCTGACCTGCCTGATCAGCGAGAGGGACCTGATGCTCTTCGAGAAGCTGGGCGATGGCTCCTTTGGCGTTGTGCGGCGCGGCGAGTGGGGCACGCCCACTGGCAAGATGGTAAGGGACCCGGAGCACGCCAGGGCGAACCCAGTACACGGCCCGAGGGGCTGCGTGATCCCAGCAGGAAATGGGGCTAACTCAGGATTGCCTGACTGAGGCCCTTCGCTGGGCTGGGGCAGCGAATCCAGGCTGGTCAGTTTCCCCATCGGCATCGAGTCGGGATCCCAGCACCACCATCCACCCCTACCAGCCCCCGAATCTGCAGATGGCTCTGCCCCTGCCAGGGCGCCCACCCCCTGGGTGCCAACACCGTTCCTCATGCCTGGCCCGGGACGGTCAGTCTTCTGCCCTCCACTCTGGATCTGTCCCTGTTACCACCTGGGGTCATGTGGACCTAGAGACTGGACTGGGACCACTAATTCCTTTCATGCAGGGCCTGCCTTTGAGTCTCCCAGCCTGAGGCGGTGCTGGGGCTGATGCTCTTTGCAGCCAGTGCCACCCCCTTCCCCATCGCTCCCATGCCTGGGGTGTGGCAGGGAGGCTTGGGGGACTGTGTGAATACCCATCCCCTGCATGCCGGCCACTACGGCCTACCCCAGAGGTGAGCAAATTGGTCCCCTGGGGTGGGAGCTGCTGCAGGGACCTCACTGGCCTGTGTTTTCCCGCAGCTCACCGTGGCTGTGAAGTGTCTCAAGACGGATGTGCTGAGCCAGCCAGAGGCGCTGGACGACTTCATCCGGGAGGTGAATGCCATGCACTCTCTGGACCACTGCAACCTGATCCGGCTCTATGGCGTGGTGCTCTCACCCCCCATGAAGATGGTGAGTGTGAGAGCATGTGGGGGCATTCACCCCCCCGGGCGGCCCAGTCCCAAGGGAATAGCTGGGGGGGCAACTGCCTCTCTGGTGCTGAGGGCTGGCTCCTCCAGGCGGGATGGACCCCCAGGCTTGGCGCGTGGCTGTGTGGGCACAGAGCACTGTGGCACCATGGGGCAGGGATAGACTGGCGTGTGGCTATGTGGGTGCAGAGCCCCATGGCACCACAGGAATGGAGCCCATCCCCATGGATTGCCTCCCATCCCGCTCTCCGTGGCTGGGGCCTGACTCAACCCCTCTGCCCCATTTGCCCAGGTGACGGAGCTGGCCCCGCTGGGCTCCCTGCTGGACCGGCTGCGGAAGAACCAGGGCCATTTCCTCATCTCCACGCTGTGCCAGTACGCCATCCAGATTGCCAAGGGCATGGCCTACCTGGAGTCCAAGCGCTTCATCCATCGCGACCTGGCTGCCCGCAACATCCTGCTGGCCTCCAGCGACCTGGTCAAGATCGGCGACTTTGGGCTCATGCGGGCGCTGCCCAAGAACGACGACCACTACGTCATGCAGGAGCACCGCAAGGTGCCCTTCGCCTGGTGAGCCCCCGCCGTGTGCATTTCTCTCGCAGCACCCCCCTGCCAGCTTGCCTGCCCACAGAATACAGCTCAGTGCCTGGGGCCTGTTAGCTGTGGGTGGCTCACCCCCCCACGCCTCCTTGTCCCTCCAGCTGGGCGTCCTGCCAGCCCCCTTCCAGGGAGAGGGAAGTGGCGTCCTGGGGGGCAGCTGGCTTGGCTGGCCCTCGGCCCCTGTGTGGGGGGACCCCAGAGGGCTGGAGCTGAGCAGGGAGCCCCACTCTGCCAGGCTGGATGGGGCCGCCTGCGGGGGCGTCAGTAACTCTGCCAGCCCTTCTCTGCAGGTGTGCCCCGGAGAGCCTGAAGACGCGCACCTTCTCGCACGCCAGCGACACCTGGATGTTTGGGGTTACTCTCTGGGAAATGTTCACCTACGGGCAAGAGCCGTGGGTCGGCCTCAGCGGCAGCCAGGTACCTAGCACAGCCCCATGCCACGTGCCCTGGGGCCTGCACTCTTGGGCCTGGCCCCTCTGGGGAGGGGAGACGCCCTCTGCCCCCTCATATGGGGATTTCTGCGCCTCGCGCTGACAGCATCGCTCAGGCCCAGCTGGCATCACTGAGCTGTGGCGTCTCAGGGCCGTTCCGGCAGAGCAGGAGGGAGGGGCTGTCGCAGAGCAAGGGGGCGTTGAGGCCTGGGGATCCCAGGGAGTTTTTTCAGGGGCTCCTCTCCCCTGGTGGCACACGCACTGCACCCCTGAGGGAGCCTGCCGGGGAACGTCCGGCTTGTGCCTGTGGGCGCCTGACAGGATAGGCACTTTGAGCTTCTTCCACACCCAGCTCTGCTGTTGCCCCTCACTCCTGACCCACAGCCCCCTGCTAGCCCAGCCCTGGGCTCCCCACACCCAGCTCTGCTGGTGCCCCTTGTCACGGAGTCCCCGGGCGATGCTCGGGAACTGCTCCCTACGAAGCCAGGCAGGATTCTGGGGAAGTCTCCTCTGTGGGAGCAGCCTGTCTGCAGGACACACAGTTCACACGGCTTCCACCTTGCTGGGTCTGACCTCGGAGCATTCAGCATCCTCTGCCCCTCCGTGCACTTCCCACAGCCAGTCCACCCAGGCGGGGTCCTGGGGAAGCCAGAAGGTCCTGCCCCCCAACTCCGCAGTCAGATGGGACTCTCAGCCAGCCAGTAAAACAGAGGTTTATTAGACGACAGGGACGTGGTCTAACACAGAGCTTGTAGGTGCAGAGAACAGGACCCCTCAGCTGGGTCCATTTTCGGGGGCAGTGAGCCAGACAACCATGTCTGCACTTCACTCCATGTCCCAGCCAGCCCCAAACTGAAACTCCCTCCAGTCCCCCTTCCTCCGGGCTTTGTCCCTTTCCCGGGCCAGGAGGGCACCTGATTCCTTTGTTCTCCAACCCTTTAGCTCTCACCTTGCAGGGGGGAAGGGCCCAGGCCATCAGTTGCCAGGAAACAGGGCCGTTCTCTGTGTCCAGACCCCTGCACACACCTGTCCTCTAGGGCTCTGCAACAATCATACACCCTTATCCCACCACCTAGACACTTAAGAACTGCATAGGGGAAACTGAGGCACCCCCACAATATTCAGAGGAAACATTAAGAACAGTCCCACTTCGTCACACCTCTCAATCCCAACCCGTAGGCCCCTGCTAACCCCCACTCCTGACCCGCAGCCCCCTGCTAACCCCCCACACCCAGCTCTGCTGGTGCCCCCCACTCCTGACCTGCAGCCCCCTGCTAGCCCAGCCCTGGGCTCCCCACACCCAGCTCTGCTGGTACACCTCAATCCTGACCCACAGCCTCCTGCTAACCCCCCACACCCAGCTCTGCTGGTGCCCCTCACTCCTGACCTGCAGCCCCCTGCTAGCCCAGCCCTGGGCTCCCCACACCCAGCTCTGCTGGTACCCCTCAATCCCGACCCGCAGCCCCCGCTAGCCCCCCACACCCAGCTCTGCTGGTGCCCCCCACTCCTGACCTGCAGCCCCCTGCTAGCCCAGCCCTGGGCTCCCCACACCCAGCTCTGCTGGTACCCCTCAATCCCGACCCGCAGCCCCCGCTAGCCCCCCACACCCAGCTCTGCTGGTGCCCCCCACTCCTGACCTGCAGCCCCCTGCTAGCCCAGCCCTGGGCTCCCCACACCCAGCTCTGCTGGTACCCCTCACTCCCGACCCACAGCCCCCGCTAGCCCAGCCCTGGGCTCCACCCCCCCCAGCTCAGCTGGTGCCCCTCACTCCTGGCCCGCAGCCCCCTGCTAGCCCAGCCCTGGGCTCCCCACACCCAGCTCTGCTGGTGCCCCTCACTCCCGACCCGCAGCCCCCTGCTAGCCCCCCACACCCAACTCTGCTGGTGCCCCTCACTCCTGACCCGCAGCACCCTGCTAGCCCGGCCCTGGGCTCCCCACACCCAGCTCTGGGCTCCCCACACCCAGCTCTGCCAGTGTCCCTCACTCCTGACCCACAGCCCTCTGCTAGCCTATCCCTGGTCCTTCTTCATCAGAGATCCCTGAAATGGGAATGGGCTGAGACCTGCCCGATGGATTTTGGCTTGGAAGCTAGGGCATGATTTGAACGGGGTCTCCAGGCTGGGGGGCAAGCATGTTGGCCCCAATGCCCCTAGGCAGGGAGGAGTGTTGTGGTTAGGATGTCCATGGCCCCTCAGTTCTGATGGCTGGCGCCTGCCCCTGGCCCACCCTCTTTGACTCCCAGGTGCCCGCTCCCGGCCTGTCCCGGGGCACCCTTCAAGCCAGGCAGTTTGATTCCTGCTTTCACTGGTGGGTTGGTGCCCGTCAGTCACACTAGAAGGGGACTCTGTGCCCCCCACCTGACCCAGACAGGCTGTGTCCATCCCCACGGCTAATCCATGCAGCTCGCCCAGCAGGATTCCTCGCTGATGGGGAGGGCCGGGCCTCCGTCCCCTCGGCACTGGCCCCACCCGTCCCCAGGGCTTGTCCCTCGGCTACGGAGCTGAAGGATCAGCCCAGAGAGGGAGGCTTGGTGCCCAGGGGTGTTCCCGCCCGTTACATGCTGCAAGCCTCAGGCCTCTGCCAGCGCCTCGACCAAGCCCCCGTCGGGCAGTCTTCCTCCTGCGCCTGGCCAGTCTCCGCTCCCGCCTCTGCCAGGTGTAACCCCGTCCAGCCCCCTGCCATGGCTGCCTGAGCCCCCTCTGCTCCGCCCGACACTGACCGCGGCCTCTGCCCTCCATGCCCGCAGATCCTCCACAAGATTGACAAGGAGGGCGAGCGGCTGCCGCGGCCCGAGGACTGCCCTCAGGACATCTACAATGTCATGCTGCAATGCTGGGCACACAAGCCCGAGGACCGGCCCACCTTCGTGGCCCTGCGTGACTTTTTGCTGGAGGTAGGCAGTGGGGGGCGGAGGGGCGGCTGGCCCTGGCTTGCGTGGGTCCATGCCCCTCTGTGCCACCCGGCCTAGGTGTCCTCCCTGGAGCTGTGCGCCAGGCACCGAGCCCCTGCAAATCCCATTCCTGCCGGAAGTGCTGCCAGCTGCGCCCCTTCCTGTGGGAGCCCAAATACGGGCCAAGCTGCTCAGAACTCCGGGGCCCGGCCCCGTTGGTTTCCTGGGAGTCTGGGGCCTCGGGAGGCCCTGGGCCTAGGTGCAGAGTGGGGCCCATGGGCCCACAGGTCCTGGCTGAGCCAGCTGGAAGGAGCCCTAGAGCTCCCCCATCTCTGCCCCTCCCTGCCAGGCCCCTGCACTGTGCAGAGCTGGGGGGGGAATGGGGAAGTGACGTGCCCCCGGGGGGGGCACGGCCAGGCTGACGGGGAGAGGTGCATGCTGGACCCGTTGTCTCCATATGGAAGCTGTGGCCAGGCTGCGCTGCCCTCCCCCCAGCCTTCAGCCTCAGCTCTGGTGGGGGACAGACTCGACTTGGCCGCTGGCAAGCACCCCGTGGGCCTTTGGCAAGGAGCGTGCTGTGCCCAACTGGGGGCACCTCTGGCCTGGAGACTTCCCCTCCCCTGCTCAGCATGGCGTGTGGAGTGTGGCCTGGTGGTGAGAGCAGGGAGCAGGCCCCGTTGCAGATTCACTGTTCGGAGCTCTCTCGGGGAGATTCTGGCCATAGGGGTGGCCTGTGCTCAGCGAGCAGCCTGGCCCCATGCAGCCAGGGCAGGGAGGGTGCTGCCTGGCTCCGGGCTGGCTGGGGCAGCTGGCTCCATTCCTGCAAGTGGCTGCTTCCTGGCCTGTCACCAGCCTGGCCACGTGGGGCCCAGGACTCTGGATCTGGGTGTCTGGCTATCGCAACGGGCCCGGCCCAGGGAGCCCAGAGCCTTTCTGGGCAGAGGCTCCTGCTGTGAGCTCTCACCCGAGGGGTGGGTCAGGCCCAGCCGTAACGTGGACGGCTCTGGGGGGGACCCTGGCGCTGCCAGCCCTCACCCCCCGGCTCTCTGCCTTCCCAGGCCCAGCCCACGGACATGAGAGCCCTGCAGGACGTGGAGGAGCCAGAGAAGCTGCACATCCAGATGAACGACGTCATCACAGTCATCGAGGGCAGGTATCGTCTGGAGAGTCCTGGGGTGGCTCCACGGCGTCCCCCCTGCCTCCCCCACCAGCTTCTCTCAGCCCCCCCTTCCCTGGGGCGGCTCCACAGCCAGCGCCTCCCCCCACCGCCCCCTGCTCCCATCAGCCCCCTTCCCTCCATGCGCTGAGTGCCCGTGGTTGGATGGGGGGGTCCTGGCCTGTCATTGGCCAGACTTGGCTTCTGACCCCAGCTGTGTCCCCAGGGAGCACGGCCCAGCCTAGTCCCCTGGCTCTGTGTGTCCCCAGGCTGCTGCGTCGGGTGCCATGACAGGCTGTGTCTGCTCAAGGGCTGAGGGCTGGAATCGCAGGCAGGCTGCAGGTTGGGGCTGAGGAGTGATGGCTGAGCTGGGGGGGCAGGGGGCTGAGGGGCGATGGCAGAGCTGGGGGGGGGGCAAGGGGCTGCAGGGCGGGGCTGAGGGGCGATGGCAGAACTGGGGAGTCAGGGGGGCTGCAGGTCGGGGCTGAGGGGCGATGGCAGAGCTGGAGGGGCAGGGGGCTGCAGGTGCTAAGCTCTGGCTGAGGCTGTGGTGGGCGCTGTCTGCATGCAGGGTTCGGCTGCCCTGATCCCTTGGTCATCTTGGTATACAGACATAGAATATCAGGATTGGAAGGGACCTCAGGAGGTCATTTAGTCCAACCCCCTGCTTGAAGCAGGACCAATCCCCAATTTTTGCCCCAAATGGCCCCCTCAAGGATTGAACTCACAACCCTAGATTTAGCAGGCCAATGCTCAAACCACTGAGCTATCCCTGGGGTGATGCTGCGCTGCCCTGGGCCTCTCCCTCCGGCTGCTCCCAGCTAGCTCGGGGCAAGGCACTGCTGGGCTGGGGTGACGGGCAGCTAAGCTAAGGACCGGGAGTCGGGGCCACTTGGTGCACGGCAAGGGGCTGAGTCCTCCAACCCCCTTCCAGAGTGGGGAGAGCTGTCCAGTGCGAGGATCCTCCGTCTGCCACAGATGGGGAAACTGAGGCCCAGTGAAGGGAAGGGCTACGCACATGGTCCCCCAGCAAGTCAGTGGCGGAGCTGGGACTGGAACCCAGGAGTCCTGCCTGCCGGCGCCCCTGCTCTGACCACTTGACCCCACTCCCTGCGTGCCGTGCACGCAGAGTGCCTGAGAAGCAAGCCCCAGGGTCTCTGCGAGCACCCGCAGTGGCAGGTCAGAGACCGTCCCAGCGGCACTGGCCCCGCCCGTCTCCGGGGCTTGTCCCTCGGCTACGGAGCTGAAGGATCAGCCCGGAGAGGGAGGCTTGGTGCCCAGGGCCGTTCCCGCCCGTTACATGCTGTAAGCCACTGCTCTGCCTTTGCCTTTGTCCGTCCCCCGCAGCTCTGGGTGAGTCACTTCCCTGGGTGCTGCTGCACTTGTTAGTTTGCCCTCCCTTGTGAGCAGCCGGAGCGCTGCCCTCGGCACGCACGCCCCCACCCCCGCGGCCACTCCCGCTGCTCACAGTTATCTGAGCCGCCCGGAGCGGGAAGCCACGCCAGGGGTAAACTGGGACAGCTTCCCAGAACTGAGCAACGGTGATGGGAAGGGGAGAGAACAGCTGCTCCTTCCTTAGCCCCAGCGTAGAGGGTCCTGGATGCCCCAAGCCCCCTGCGCGCTGGATCGGTGGCTTATGTGTGGGTAAACTGAGGCACATAGTGGTGATCGTGACCGGAATAGAGCTAGGATCTTTTAATTCCCAGGAGCCTCCTGCTTCCTATCTGCTTTGCTGCTGTTCTGGCCCCACGCTGCCCTGTGTCTGTGCTGGCACAAGGGGCAGGGGTCAAGAGCCCCCATTTCTGGGCGTGCCAGGGAATCTGGTGCTGCACATCCCAGGCCTTCATTCCCAGATGGCCCCCCAGCGGAGGGCTGGAGAGAGGACAGGGCATCTGGAGACCCTCCAGAAGTGCTGAGCTCTCGGGACCGAGCAAAGGGTTTTGGGGGCAGGCTGGGGGGCTGGGAAAGGTGGCTGGTGGAGGGGCCGAGGGCTCTGAAATGGCAGAATCGGAACCAGGTGCAGAGGGTCTCAGCATGGGGGGGGGCCAGCGGGACCAGGGGGCCCTGCTCCAAGACAGGCAGAGTGCAGCCCAAGGGCCATGGCTAACTACAAAGCCCCGCAGTGTGTTTGGTGGTATCCCACCCAGGGGGTGTTTGTGCGGGAACACGTGTGTGTGTGTGTGTAGACACAGAATCCTGCCAGCTTTCCCCTCCAGCTCTGCAAGCACCCCCGAATCCAAGCCTGCAGCCTCCCGTCCTGCTCCTCTCACAGAGCGAGGAGGGGGATCCCACCCCACCCGGGCTCTCCCGAGGGCAACAGCCTGTGTTGCGGGGGCCATGCCTTTCGTCACGGCAGAGGGGATGAATCAGGCAGGACTGTGTGTCTTTAGGGACTGGCGATGACTCTTGCACGAGGGCTGGCAGTTTAATTGCAGGGAGGGATTCGTCAGCGGAGCCGGAGCGGAGGGTGTAGTTAATGCAGAACCAGTGTGTGCACGCCGCCCCGATTGCATCATGGTCTGGGGCCGGGGCTGAGCCGTTCCAGCTGCCGGAGCTGGCGGGTTTAGCCACTTTCAGGCAGACGCTCTCTGGGCCACACGCCGGGAGCACGCTGGCCCTGACGCGGGGCTCGGCTGGGCTGCCCGCCTGCAGCGAGGAGCCGGTTCGGCGCGCGCCTCGTTCCCTGGGAGACCCGACGGACCCGTCTGAGGTGAAAGGCAGGCTGTCCAGGGCCACTGCCCGGTGGCTTGGGGCTGGGGTTCTGCTGCGGCAGGGTCTGGGGGGCTAAGGTGAGCGCGGGCTGGGGGCCTGGCGTGTGCTGTGAAAGAGGCCACGGGGGCTAGAGGACAGAGCCCAGGACCAGGACTGGGAGGGTCTGTGTTCTTGTTGCAGTGACCCCCTGGGGGAGCAGGGGGCAGGCACACTGCTCAACCCACCTGTGCCTCAGTTTCCCCTGTGAAAGGGGCGGGCCATGCTGGGCGGCGGGAAGGGTGAAGTAGTGACACGGGGGAAGGGAAACATCTTTGCAATGCCAGTCACTGAGTGCTGCTTTTGCCACGGGACCATTGGCATCGGTGGTTTGGACCAGTGACCGTGGGGAATCGGGGAACCTGGGTGGCAGCAGGTGGCATCGTCCTGTTCCCAAAGCACCAGCCCGAACAGGCGCAGTTCGTGCTTTGCCACTGCAGCTGCGGGAGCTTCGGGCCAGGCCCGACGGGCTCGGTATTGGGGGTCACTCGTGCACCACCTGCCGCCGCGCCCTGGGGAGCTGGGACCCAGGAGATGGCCCAGCATTGCGGCAGGCGGAGGCTGGCGGGGTGGGAAAGGCTGCTGCCCGCGGGGGTGTGCTGCGAGGGCCTCGAAACCAGCCGCTGCTGGGAGATATCTCCCAACCGGCCGCCATTCCCTGTGGCCGTGTGCATCGGGCCAGCCTTCCCTGCCCAAAGCTGGGGGGTCTAGTGGGAAGCGCACGGGACTGGGAGCCAGGAGACCAGGGTTCTAGTCCTGCCTCTGCTGCTGGTTTGCCAAGTGACTTTAGACAAGCCACTTGCCCACTTTGTGCCTCAGTTTCTCTGCTTGTGAATGGTGGGATAACTGACCCCCACCCTCTTGCCTCTCTTTGGGGATTCTCTGCCATATGATAATCAGAAGCTATCAGCCTGTAGGGCTAAAGGGAGTCCCCGAGGGGAGAACAGCAGCCAGCTGCATGACACGAGTTTTGTCCGTTGTCAGACCCGCTCCATCCCTCAGGGGAATGGTCCCCACAGGCCCTGGAAGGCTGTACATACAGTGGGACCTACTTTAAACTCATTTGCTCCTAGCCAGAGCCCACAGAGGGAAATAGACCCCCAGTTAATATAGCAGGACCTACCTTAAAGCCCGTTAGGTTCTCTCCTTTGCTTGGGCCAGTGTGCAGGCCCCCCTCTCTCCCCAGCATTAAACATGAAGGGCTGCGAACTTCGCACCCTCGGGGCTGGGCCCAGCGTCCCGGCTGGGGGACATTAGACGGGCCCAGCGGGGCGTGTCAGAGCAGAGGGGTGGGCTCCTGGCCACAGGGCACTGGCCCCTCGGGGAGCAGAGGTGGCTGGGGTGATGGAGGGGGAGAAGGAGCGGGGAGAGCCACGGGGGCCTGGCAGAGGGCTGCCCTGGCGGGGAGCAGCCCCCCCAGGCGAGGGAGGAGGCGCTGGTGCCAGCAGCTTGCTCAGGGGTCCCGGCGCTGAGTAATATCCTGGGCCCCGGAGCGGAGCCGGGGCTGGGCCGGCAGGCAGGGCCACCAGCCGCGGGCTCAGAGGTAAACAGGAAAAGGGCTGAGTCGGGCCTGCCGTGAGTCACAGGTAGTTCCAGGAAACGCCAAGGCTCAGCCTGGGCAGGGATCCCGGCGCCCCCTCCCTCAGCAGCCGGGGGAGGGACCCAGGGATCTGCGGGGGTGGGGGGGTGCTTCAGTCCCTGTCATTGACAATACCCCTGCCCCCGCCTGGAAAGCTTTACAAGGGGCTCTGTGTCCTCCCCCCGTGACTCCCCTCCGGAGGCTTGTGGGGCTGCTGCTGAGGACGGGTGATGTTGGTGGGCCAGTTGGGGGGGCGCACTCCACTGGGGGGTGCTGAGCCCGGCACCCCCTCCTGGCACTACGGGGGAATTGCGCTGCGGGAACTGGCCCCAGCGTGATGCTCGGGGTGCTGCGCTGCCAGGGGTGGGGCTCAGACGGGGGCGCTCTGCACTGCTGGCTCCAGTCCTCACTGTGGGGCGGGGGGGGGTTCAGTAGGGGGTGCTGTGTGGAGGTCAGCGGGGGGCGCTGCAGGGAGCGGGGGGGTTCAGTAGGGGGTGCTGTGTGGAGGTCAGCGGGGGGCGGGGTGCTGCAGGGAGTGGGGGGGTTCAGTAGGGGGTGCTGTGTGGAGGTCAGCGGGGGGCCCTGCGCTGCAGGGAGCGGTGTGGGGTTGGCTGGGGCATTATGCTGGGGGGACGGGGGGTCAGCAGGGAGTAGTGACTCAGTGGGGGTGCTGCATTGTGGGGAGCGGTGGGGGGGTCGGCGGGGAGCGGTGGGGGTGCTGCGCTGCGGGGAGCAGTGGAGACTCAGCGGGGGGTGCTGCGCTGTGGGGAGCAATGGGGGGGCTGGTGGGGGCGCTGTGCTGCGAGGAGCAGGGGGATCAGCAGGGAACACTGGTGGGTCGGCAGGGGTGCTGCATTCCGGGGAGCAGTGGGGGGGTCGTTGGGGGCACTGTGCTGCGGGGAGCGGTGGAGACTCAGCATGGGGTGCTGCACTGCGGAGAGCAGGGGGAGCGGCGGGGAGCGGCGGAGGGTCGTTGGGGGCGCTGTGCTGCGGGGAGCGGCGGAGGATCGTTGGGGGGCGCGGCGGGGAGCGGCAGAGGGTCGGCGGGGGTGCTGCGCTGCGGGGAGCGGCGGAGGGTCGTTGGGGGGCGCGGCGGGGGAGCGGCAGAGGGTCGGCGGGGGTGCTGTGCTGTGGGGAGCGGCGGAGGGTCGTTGGGGGGCGCGGCGGGGAGCGGCGGAGGGTCGGCGGGGGTGCTGCGCTGTGGGGAGCGGTGGAGGGTCATTGGGGGCGCTGTGCTGTGGGGAGCGGCAGAGGGTCGTTGGGGGCGCGGCGGGGAGCGGCGGAGGGTCGGCGGGGGTGCTGCGCTGTGGGGAGCGGCGGAGGGTCATTGGGGGCGCTGCGGGGAGCGGCGGAGGGTCATTGGGGGTGCGGCGGGGAGCGACGGAGGGTCGGCGGGGGTGCTGCGCTGCGGGGAGCGGCGGAGGGTCGTTGGGGGCGCTGTGGGGGAGCGGTGGAGGGTCGGCGGGGGCCCTTTGCTGTGGGGAGCGGCGGAGGGTCGTTGGGGGCCCTGCGCTGTGGGGAGCGGCGGAGACTCAGCATGGGGTGCTGCACTGCGGAGAGCAGGGGGAGCGGCGGGGAGCGGCGGAGGGTCGTTGGGGGCGCTGTGCTGTGGGGAGCGGCGGAGGATCGTTGGGGGCGCGGCGGGGAGTGGCAGAGGGTCGGCGGGGGTGCTGCGCTGCGGGGAGCGGCGGAGGGTCGTTGGGGGCGCGGCGGGGAGCGGCAGAGGGTCGGCGGGGGTGCTGTGCTGTGGGGAGCGGCGGAGGGTCGTTGGGGGCGCGGCGGGGAGCGGCGGAGGGTCGGCGGGGGTGCTGCGCTGTGGGGAGCGGTGGAAGGTCATTGGGGGCGCTGTGCTGTGGGGAGCGGCAGAGGGTCGTTGGGGGCGCGGCGGGGAGCGGCGGAGGGTCGGCGGGGGTGCTGCGCTGTGGGGAGCGGCGGAGGGTCATTGGGGGCGCTGCGGGGAGCGGCGGAGGGTCATTGGGGGCGCGGCGGGGAGCGACGGAGGGTCGGCGGGGGTGCTGCGCTGCGGGGAGCAGCGGAGGGTCGTTGGGGGCGCTGCGGGGAGCGGTGGAGGGTCGGCGGGGGCCCTGCGCTGTGGGGAGCGGCGGAGGGTCGGCGGGGGCCCTGCGCTGTGGGGAGCGGCGGAGGGTCGTTGGGGGCCCTGCGCTGCGGGGAGCGGCGGAGGGTCGTTGGGGGCCCTGCGCTGCGGGGAGCGGCGGAGGGTCGTTGGGGGAGCTGCGCTGCGGGGAGCGGCGGAGGGTCGGCGGGGGCCCTGCGCTGTGGGGAGCGGCGGAGGGTCGTTGGGGGCGCGGTGGGGGAGCGGCGGAGGGTCGGCGGGGGCGCTGCGCTGTGGGGAGCGGTGGAGGGTCATTGGGGGAGCTGCGCTGCGGGGAGCGGTGGAGGGTCGTTGGGGGCGCTGTGGGGAGCGGCGGAGGGTCGGCGGGGGCCCTGCGCTGCGGGGAGCGGCGGAGGGTCGGCGGGGGCCCTGCGCTGCGGGGAGCGGCGGAGGGTCGTTGGGGGGCGCGGTGGGGAGCGGCGGAGGGTCGGCGGGGGGCGCTGCGCTGTGGGGAGCGGTGGAGGGTCATTGGGGGGAGCTGCGCTGCGGGGAGCGGTGGAGGGTCGTTGGGGGCGCTGCGGGGGAGCGGCGGAGGGTCGGCGGGGGCCCTGCGCTGCGGGGAGCGGCGGAGGGTCGGCGGGGGCGCTGTGGGGAGCGGCGGAGGGTCGTTGGGGGCGCTGTGGGGAGCGGCGGAGGGTCGGCGGGGGCCCTGCGCTGCGGGGAGCGGCGGAGGGTTGGCGGGGGCCCTGCGCTGCGGGGAGCGGCGGAGGGTTGGCGGGGGCGCTGCGGGGAGCGGCAGGGAGCGGCGGAGGGTCGTTGGGGGCGCTGCAGGGAGCGGCGGAGGGTCGTTGGGGGGCGCTGTGGGGAGCGGCGGAGGGTCGGCGGGGGCCCTGCGCTGCGGGGAGCAGCGGGGAGCGGCGGAGGGTCGGCGGGGGCGCTGCGGAGAGCGGCAGGGAGCGGCGGAGGGTCGTTGGGGGCGCTGCGGGGAGCGGCGGAGGGTCGGCGGGGGCCCTGCGCTGCGGGGAGCGGCGGAGGGTCGGCGGGGGCCCTGCGCTGCGGGGAGCGGCGGAGGGTCGGCGGGGGCCCTGCGCTGCGGGGAGCGGCGGAGGGTCGGCGGGGGCGCTGCGCTGTGGGGAGCGGCGGAGGGTCGGCGGGGGCCCTGCGCTGCGGGGAGCAGCGGAGGGTCGTTGGGGGGCGCTGCGGGGAGCGGCGGAGGGTCGGCGGGGGCCCTGCGCTGCGGGGAGCGGCGGAGGGTCGTTGGGGGCGCTGTGGGGAGCGGCGGAGGGTCGGCGGGGGCACTGTGCTGCGGGGAGCGGCGGAGGGTCGGCGGGGGCGCTGCGCTGTGGGGAGCGGCGGAGGGTCGGCGGGGGCGCTGCGCTGCGGGGAGCGGCGGAGGGTCGGCGGGGGCCCTGCGCTGTGGGGAGCGGCGGAGGGTCGGCGGGGGCACTGTGCTGCGGGGAGCGGTGGAGGGTCGTTGGGGGCGCTGCGGGGAGCGGCGGAGGGTCGTTGGGGGCCCTGCGCTGCGGGGAGCGGTGGAGGGTCGTTGGGAGCGCTGCGCTGCCGGGAGCGGCGGAGGGTCGGCAGGGGGTCCCGTGGGGGCAGTTCAGTGGGGGCATTCTCCCCTCAGAGTCAGCACCCCAGTGTGGTCCTAGGGCTGCTGCTTGTTCCTCTGTCAGATTCGATTGGAATCTGAGGTCCCAACCAGCAGTGGCCATTGACCATCCCGCAGCAATTTCTGGGGCACTTGGGCGTCAGCCCAGTGTCCTGGCCAAACCCCACCTGGGGTGTTGGCACACGGTTCCCCAAAATCCCTCTGTTGTTTCACTGCCCTGCAGTGTAGTGTTGCTGTGCCATGCTAAGCAGCTGCCACCTTCCACCCCAGAGGTGGCTGCATTTCACTAATGGGTACAATGATTCCGCTAGGCTGGTGACAGCCTGAGGGGCAGGGCAGGGCAGATCCTGCCCGTCGGCATTACACGCCCCCACCTGCGCACCTCTGGCTGGCCTGTGCACAGCTCTCCTTGCCCTCAAGTGATCCCATGGAGTCCAGGGCCAGAGAGGGCGTGTCGGACTGGGCACCAGGACGCCTGGGTTCTGCTCCTGGCTCTCGTGGGGGGAGCAGGGCAAGTTGGTCCAAGCTGGGACCTGGGACTCAGGACTCCTGGGTTCTGTTCCGGATTCTGCTACTGACTGGCCGGGTGAGCTTGGGTGAGTCACTTAGCCCTGGGTGCAAAGCAGGGACAAGCCTGGCCGGCGCGAGGAGGGCTGTGCGTCCCGGCAGGGCCCTGCGGTGCTCACCTTTCCAGTGCCCGAGTCTCTCTTGGCAGCGCTGGCCATGGCTGGACGCTTTCTCGTGTCAGTAACGAGGGCCTTTTTGTTCCTTAGGGCTGAGAATTATTGGTGGCGGGGTCAGAATAAGAGGACCCTTAAAGTGGGGCAGTTCCCCCGAAACACAGTGACCTCCGTGGCAGGGCTGTCGGCCCACGACATCAGCCAGCCGCTAAAAAACAGCTTCATCCACACTGGCCATGGAGACACCAACTCCCAGCACTGCTGGGGCTTCCCCGATAAGATCGATGAGTAAGAACCACGTCCGTCTGCTCTGCTTCCCTCTGCCTTTCCTCCACTCCCCGTGGCCCCGGGTGCAGGGACGGGTGGGGGGCGCGAGTCGCCTGCCCTCTGTGGGCATGGAGCCTGAGGGGACGTGGGGGGCCCGTGTGGCTGTTTGGTTTGCTCTGGCTTCAGGCCAGTCCACCCTGTCCACGACCCTTCCCTCCCTGCCCCCCGGAAGAGGCACAATCTGCTGAGGAGCCTGCAGCAAGCCTGGGCACCAGGGGACATGCCAGGAATCGTGCCGCGTGGGGGCCGCATAGCTGGTGGCGTCTAACTTCCTCCCCCTCTCTTCGTACTAACGTGCATGGCTGATCTCCCTCAGCCCCTGCTGGGGCTTTGGGCGGGGCCCGGGCACGCCAGCGCTTGGGCAGGGGGCAGCAGGAGCTGGCAATTCAGCAGGAGGCGCGGATCCCTGACCCTACCGGCTGCTGTGCCCCATCGGGCGCTATCAGCCAGGTGAGTGTCCAGACCTCTCCTGGCTCCCCTGGGCCCTTTGCCTGAGAGTTTGGGGTCATGGTGCTGTGTGAGCACGGCGGGAGGCCTGTCCTTGAGGAACCCCTTTCCCTTCTAATGGAGTGGGCCCTAAACTGCCATGTGTTGCTCTGAGCTGTTAAACAGCTGCCTCGCTCCACTCCAGAGGTGGCTGCATTTCAGTGAGGTGGGAAGTTCTCCCTGTTGGTTGTGCATGATTATAGCATACATGTTAGTTCCAGCTTCTGTTAAAACCTCCCTTTCGTGGTTGCTCACAGATTTCCAAACCAAGTCTGTGATGTTGCCCATACTCGCTCTTGGCTCCGGGGAGACGTTTGCTCAGTTTTGGTTCTGCCATTTTGGAATTCTGTGTGTCCATGAAAAAACCCTACATCCCCGTGTGTGACACAGAGAAACGATGCAACTACTGGGGGTCAAACTGGGCTTGTTTTGTAGATCCCGTTGAGCTCTAAGAAATAAGCTTCTTTTGGGGAATCAGGACAGTGGGTTTAAAGTCAGAGGCACGTACAGTTCCCCTCCCCCTCCCCCTCCCCCCCCCATGCTTGTCCAGCTCTCTGGATGTCTGAGACATGCCAGGGGTCGTGCCAGGAGAGTTATAGCCTCTTGGTTCCCATTCCCACCAAGGCACAATGCCAATAACTTCAGTGGGGCGGGGCGGTGCAGAAACTGGTGACAAGGCTCAGCTCAGCGAGCCGGCTCCCGCGGAGGCCTGGAGCAGCAGCGGGTGGCTGTAGAATTATGTTCAAATCCCCACAAAGCAGCCTCTGCCCCCGCCCCGGCTGGGATTCTTAACACTGGCTTGAATTCCTCGGGGGGGCTCAGCGGCGGGTGGATCCTGTCTGAGCCCGGTTGTGGTCTGTGACCTGGGACGTTGTAGCGTGGACAGGAGCCCTCCTTTGGGGTATGGCTGTGCAGCAAAAGCTGGGCCAGCTGGCACAGGGCCTGGCAGCCTGGTCTCGCAAACCGAGGATGTGCCCAGGGTCCACGCCAGGCTGGCACCACCCGCACTGCACAGGCTGCACCGCGGTCGTGACGCACTAGCTGGATTCCGGCCAGCCCACATCCGGCTCTCGGGCTCAGGGAGGCCGCCAGGCAGGGGGCGGCCCGGAGAGCAGGGCGGTGGGGACGTGGTGCCTGGGGAGCTGGGTCGTGCCGCCTGACCTCAGCTCACGGCCGGCATGGAATAAGTGGTGATGGCTGGGGCTGGGTACGCGTCCCTGTACACCGCTCTGCCAGTGCCCCCCAATCCCGACCCGCAGCCCCCTGCTAGCCCAGCCCGGGACTCCCAGTCCCCAGCTCTGCCGGTGCCCCCCAATCCCGACCCGCAGCCCCCTGCTAGCCCAGCCCGGGACTCCCAATCCCCAGCTCTGCTGGAGCCCCCCAATCCCGACCTGCAGCCACCTGCCTCCCCAGCCCTGGGCTCCCCACCCCCAGCTCTCCCGGTGCCCCCCAATCCCGACCCGCAGCCCCTGCTAGTCCAGTCCTGGGCCCCTGTACACAGCTCTGCCGGTGCCCCCCAATCCCAACCCACAGCCCTCTGCTAGCCCAGCCCTGGGCTCCCCACCCCCAGCTATGCTGGTGCCCCCCAATCCTGACCCGCAGCGACGTGCCACCCCAGCCCTGGGCTCCCCACACCCAGCTCTGCCGGTGCTCCCCAATCCCGACCCACAGCCCCCTGCTAGCCCAGCCCTGGGCTCCCCAACCCCAGCTCTACCGGTGCCCCACAATCCCATCCCGCAGCCCCTGCTAGCCCAGCCCTGGGCCCCTGTAAACAGCTCTGCCGGTGCCTCATACCCAACCCCTGCCTGGCTGCACTCTGGCACTAAGCTCCCCGCCCTGCTGCTTATCTTTATCACCCTCTGCATCTCCCCCAAGTCTTTCCCAGGCCCTGCCCAGCAGGAGCCCTGCACTGCCCTGCCCAGGTGCGGAGCATGGGGATGTGGCACCCAGGCTGACACGTACCCAGGGAGAGGGAACCTACGCCCAGGCCTCCGGATCCCTCCCTCTCACTCGCCTGGCACTTTCCCACCACACCCTGCTTGGCACAGCTCACCCAGGGAGAACCCAGCCCTGCCGCTGCCATCCCTGGGCACTGGCCCTGGCCTTGCCCTGTGCCCTGGCCCTTGGCTGCTCCTGGGGTCCTGGCCATGAGGATGGAGCTGGGGAAAGGGCTCTGGAGATGGTCTGAGTGGGGCCAGGGGAGTGTGAAATCCCCTCGGAACTCAGCCCCGCAGAGCCGCCATGGGGCGCAGCCCATGGGGTCTGGACGGCGGAGACCTCCGCTGTCATGGGAGCTGAGTGTATGGCCCCTGGGGCACACATGCACCAAGGCTGGGAAGAGGCCGGGTGGCCTGTGGTTATGGCAAGAGGCTGCGATTCTGGGGACCCCACGTCGATCCCCTGCTCTGCCACTGACATCCTGTCTGACCGTGGCCACATCCCTTAGCGGCCCCCCACCTGTACCCAGGGGTGAGAATCTGGCCCTGCCCCATGGGTGGGGGTTGCCAGCCGCTGGGGATTGGCCGTGCTTAGGGCCAGCCACAGTCAGTACCTGGGAGGGGCAAGAGTGGCAAAATGGGAGCTCCTCGGCCGGGAGGGGTTAGCGGGCTGTGCTGGTCTCTGGGGCCAGCCCAGGGGAGACCCGAGTAGCCCCCCATGCCCCGCCACGTGGTTCTCCCGCCCTGGGAGGCCCTGCAGACAGGCTGCACCTTTCAGCCACCATGCCCTGAGCCGCCGGGATGGGACTGGGCTCCTGCCTGAGAGGGGCAGCGTCATGTGGCCGGGTGCCAGGAGTGCCCGAGGGCCGGGCTTCCCACAGCACCGGGGTGGTGAGCCCCTGGTGCGGGGCGTGCTGCTGACCGTCCTGCATGTTCTCTCCCTTCAGGCTGTACCTGGGAAACCCCATGGACCCTCCCGATGTGCTAGGCGTGGACCTGAACGCAGCCAGACCCACCCAGCTCCCGGGCCGGGCAAAAAGTAAGCCATGCTGCCATCCTGCTGCGGGCACTGCCCAGACAGGCATGCCTGCAACCCATGCCGCATGGCCCGTAATGGTCCTGGACCTCAAACTACCAGTCCCAGCATGCAATGCTCTGTGGGACCCTGGCACCTGCTGTCCCCAGCACTGTTGCCTGCTGGGACCTGTAGTCTCCACAGGCCGCTCCTGCCCCTTAGGTTAGGGCAGCTGCAGTAGGAGCCCCCGGCTGGGCTCCCTGGCCGCGTGGTGCCAGGGGGAGGAGAGCATGGGTGCAGGGACGAGCGTGCCCAGCGAAGCGGGCGTGTTGCTCCTGCTGGCCTTAGACCTTCCTCCCTTCTGTCAAGGGAAACTCTCCCCAGCGCTCGACCGTCTCCATGGCTCTATTGTGGCCGCTTGGCGGAGCCAGTCGAGTCCCGGCCCCCGAGCCCTGGCCGGCGGCAGAGCTCCTCCCGCCGCTCTGCCGCCCCAGATCTCCTGCCCTTCCAGCAGGACCCAGGCCTCTGCTTCCTGTCCGATACTGTCGAGCGGCTTTGCTGAGCTCAGCTGCCAGCCCGGAGCGGGTCGCTCCTTCCCTGCTGTGTTCAGGTGGTGCTGAAGCCCTAAGGGTCCTACGAGGGAGGCCCCTGGCACAGGCCTGGCCTGTCGGGCCGGTTCCATGACGGGCTTCAAATGCTTGGGCACCCTTGAAAATTTGCCTGAGGTTTGGGTGCCCAGCTGGAGACCGCTTGGCCCTGACTCTCTGCAGTGCCCCATGCCCGCCGCTCCCAGTGACCCAGGTGGAGCTGAGGGGGCTCCCGCCCAGCTGGCTCCAGTGGGGCATCCAGAGTCAGGGGCCACGTCGGAGAAACCCGGCGTTAGCTGTTCCAGCCGGATCCCCGGCCAGCTGTGTTGCTGGGCCCTGGCAGTCCTGCCTGCTACCTGCTCCATTACTAAACCAGCTGCCTCCCAGCTTCCTCTGGCTTCCCTGCCTCTGCGCTCTGCCAGCTAACCCCTCCTCTTTCCTCTGGGGCCTCTCTCTTCTGCTGCAGGGAAGCCACCGCCTCGGCCACCACAGCCGGCCATCCTCCTTTCGAGTAAGTTGGGCCGTTCTCCGCTCCTGTCCTCTCTCTTCTCTCCTCACTCCTCTCTGCCAGGTACGGGGGCATGCGGGGCGCTTCCGGCCGGGGAGCTGCTGGCTCCCTGCGCCGAGATGCCAGTGCCAATGGGGTGCCTGCCAGTGCGGGCACACAGGGCACAAGGAGAGCCCTGTTGCCAGCCAGCCCCGCGCATAGACACAGATGAGCACACGCCCTGTGTGAGCGCGGGCAGTGCCAGCTTCCCCGCATGGCCCTGCTCGGAGTGTCCCGGCCCTGCTCGGAGTGTCCCGGCCCTGCTCCCCTCTAGGGGCCAGAGGTGAGTCCATGCTCCCTGCCCCATTCAGTCCTTCGTCTCTCGGCTGAGCTGGCCGGCTGCAGCAGAGGCTGGTGGATTCCCCTGGCCTCTCCCACCACCAGACACACCCGACTGGCACACACACCCGGGCTCCCCGTGGGACCAGCCCTCGGCTCAGTGACTCAGGCCCCTCTCTGCTTCCCACCTGCTGGCGACTCCGAACCCCCCCTACCCTGTCAGGGTCCGGCTCAGGCTCTCACTGGCCTGGACTCCGCTGCATGTACTAACCTCTGGGCTGGGCTGGAGGCAGATAGAGCAGGCGGGAGGCCGCTAGGCGGGCAGGGGCTGCGGTGAGAGCTGGCACCTCCAGGAGTGTGCCCCTGGGGAGCAGAGACCAGTACATGGGGTAGGGGGCATTGGATGTATGCAGCGAGCTCTGACCCCAGACCTAGACCTCTAGGGCAAAGCTCAGGGATACCTGGTCCAGGAAAAGCTTAAACAGAGAGACTGAGGAGGGCAAGGTAGAGGGCAAATACATGGTGGTCCTGGGTTCAGATCCTGCATGGGTCAGGAGTGAACATTGAATTTTGGTGGCCTCCCTTCCTAAGCCCCAGTGGCTGCTTGTCAGTTTCACATGCCCATCATCCGGGAAGCCTGTGCTGAGGAAGGTGATCAGGAGCAGTCAACATGGATTCACCGAGGGCAAGTCATGCCTGACCAACCTGATTGCCTTCGATGAGGAGATAACTGGCTCTGTGGATATGGGGAAAGCAGTGGACGTGTTATTCCTTGACTTTAGCAAAGCTTTTGATTCGTCTCCTACAGTATTGGACTGTAAGGTAGAGAGAAAGCTGGCTAGATTGTCAGGCTCTCCGGGTGGTGATTAATGGCTCCATGTCTAGCCGGCAGCCAGTATCAAGCAGAGTGCCCCAGGGGTCAGTCCTGGGGCCAGTTTTGGTCAACATCTTTATTAATGATATGGATGATGGGATGGATTGCACCCTCAGCAAGTTCACAGATGACACTAAGCTGCGGGGAGAGGTAGATATGCTGGAGGGTAGGGATAGGGTCCAGATTGACTTAGACAAATTGGAGGATTGGGCCAAAAGAAATCTGATGAGGTTCAACAAGGACAAGTGCAGAGTCCTGCACTTAGGACGGAAGAATCCCATGCACCGCTACAGACTAGGGACCGACTGGCTCGGCAGCAGTTCTGCAGAAAAGGACCTGGGGATTACAGTGGACGAGAAGCTGGATATGAGTCAGCAGTGTGCCCTTGTTGCCAAGAAGGCTAACGGCATATTGGGCATTAGTTGGAGCATTGCCAGCAGATGGAGGGAAGTGATTATTCCCCTCTATTCGGCACTGGTGAGGCCACATCTGGAGTATTAGTTTTGGGCCCCCCACTACAGAAGGGATGTGGACAAATTGAAGCAAGTCCAGCGGAGGGCAACAAAAATGATTAGGGGTCTGGAACACATGACTTATGAGGAGAGGCTGAGGGAGCTGGGATTGTTTAGCCTGCAGAAGAGAAGAATGAGGGGGGATTTGATAGCTGCTTTCAACTACCTGAAAGGGGGTTCCAAAGAGGATGGAGCTAGACTGTTCTCAGTGGCAGCAGATGACAGAACAAGGAGCAATGGTCTCAAGTTGCAGTGGGGGAGGTTGGATATTAGGAAACACTGTTTCACTAGGAGGGTGGTGAAGCACCGGAATGGGTTCCCTAGGGAGGTGGTGGAATCTCCATCCGTAGAGGTTTTTAAGGTCAGGCTTGACAAAGCCCTGGCTGGGATGACTTCGTTGGGGATTGGTCCTGCTCTGAGCAGGGGTTGGACTAGATACCTCCTGAGGTCCCTTCCAACCCTAGTCTTCTACGATTCTGTGATTCTAAGCCTGTGCTCAGGAGGGGCCCAGGGCTCGGCTAGCAGGGGGCTGTGGGTCGGGAGTGAGGGGCATCAGCAGAGCTAGGGGTGGGGAGCCTAGGGCTGGGCTAGCAGGGGGCTACGGGTCAGGACTGAGGGGCGCTGGTGGAGTTGGGTTTGGGGAGCCCACGGCTGGGATGGCCAGGGCCTGTGGGTTGGGACTATCAGCCCTTCTCAGGCACATGCTAAACTGCCCTGCAGTTGCCCTGAAAGCCCCACGGCGGGAGCAGCACCATCTCCTCCTCCCGCAATGTGGATCCAGATGGGGAGGGGCCCAGAGTTCCCACCAGGGCTCCAGGCCGGGCGCAGCACTGCCTGGAGAAGGGGCCCTCAGCAGGGCCTGTTCCCATGCTGGGCAGGTGCGGAGGTCACCCCATCAGTGCCTGGCCCATGGGCGTCCTGCGGTGCTGAGATCTCCCCCTCCCTGTGTTCCAGAGCCCTCGTACGACCCCGTCAGTGGGGAGGACGACTCCCTCTCCACGGGCCTCAAGCGGCTGTGCCTGAGGAAGCCGGGCCCCCCAAAGGGGCTGAAGCTGGTGAAGCCTTCGGCCTGGGTGTCGGGCACCAAGGTGGGCGAGCGGCAGCCGAGCCGGGCCAAGGGCGGGGTCACCTACTGTGGCGAGGCACCACTGATCGACTTTGGGGACGAGCCTTCCCCCACCACCCCCTCGCCAGTCGGGGAGCTGGGCGCCCCCTCCCTCGCCAGGCTGGCCATGGAGGCTTTCTCCCTGCTGGACAAGACGCCCCCCCAGAGCCCCACACAGGCACTGCCCCGGCCCCTCCACCCCACCCCTGTGGTGGACTGGGACGCACGGCCCCTGCCCCCGCCGCCGGCCTACGACGACGTGGCCCAGGACGAGACCGACTTCGAGGTGTGCTCCATAAACAGCGCGGAGGGGCTGGCGGGGCGGCCGGCCTGGGCCGAGGACGAGAAGGCGGCGGGGGAGTGGGGCTCGGCGCCGCTGGAGGACAACCTCTTCCTGCCGCCCCACGGGGCCAAGCAGCCGAGCCTGGCGCAGACTACCGAGATCTTCCAGGAGCTGCAGCAGGAGTGCATGAAGCGGCTGCACGTGCCCCAGGGCCCCGGCGAGGACAAGCCGCAGATCCCGCCCCGCGTGCCCATCCCGCCCCGGCCCCTGCGGAGGAACGAGCCCGGGTGCTGGTCGGGGGAGCTGTCCCCGGCCTCGGGGGGTGAGGAAGACCGGCCGCCCCAGATCCCGCCCCGCGACCCCTTGTCCCAGCCCACCTCCAGGACTCCCAGCCCCATGGCGCTGCAGGTGGGCTCCCCGCAGCAAAGGGCCAGCCTCTGCTCCCCCTTGGCCCTGGCCGCCTGCCTCTCCACCTCCCCGGGCAAGGCCATGCCCACCACGCAGAGCTTCGCCTCGGACCCCAAGTACGCCACGCCCAAGGTCATCCTGGCGCAGGACAAGGACAGCGCCAGGGGCCCCTGCATCCTGCCCATTGTCAAGGACGGCCGGAAGGTGAGCAACACCCACTACTACCTGCTGCCCGAGCGCCCAGCCTACCTGCACAAGTACGAGAAGTTCTTCAAGGAAGCCCAGAGCCCTGAGGAGCCGGCGCCCCGCGTGGTCAGCACCGCCGCCGTCCGGCCCAGGGTGCAGCAGTCCAACTGCTCGGCCAACAACAGCAACCCCGGCCCCCGGGGGGCGCTCAGGGCCTCCTGCAGCGTCCAGACCATCGTCTACGACAGCAGCGACGGCTGCCGGGCCGCCGAGAAAGTGCAGCTGGTGAGTGGCTCCTCCCGGGGCGATTGGCGAAGGGGGCCAGTGTGGGGTGGGGCCAGCTCAGGGCCCAGCCTGCGAGCGACGGCAGGGCCTTGCCCCTGGCCGCGGGGGGAGCAGCTGCAGCGCTGCACCAGCTCTGGTGTGGGTCGAGGCCGTCCCTGCCCCGCAGAGTTCGCAGCAGGGGGAGAGCCCAGGGGCCAGTGCGGGAAGCTGACTCTGCTCAGCCTGGGAGAGCAGGGCTGTGCCACAGATTCGTTGCCTCACCTGGGGCACATCCTACCCCTTTGCCGTGCCTCAGTTTCCCCACTCTCCCCAGGCCCCTTTCCCAGAGGGGGGCAGGCAAATGAATTGGGTGCGAACGGGCCGAGCCCCTCAGAGGGGGGAACCCTGCGCATTTTCCACGTAGCAGGCGCGCACCAGGTGGGTGCCCGACTGTGGGGCAGCGTGGGGTGCGATGCCTGTGCCCTACCCACTCAGTGGGATCCAGGCTCCAGCCCCTTTCGCCATCGCTAATGTCAGAGCCAGCCTGCCCCGCTCCAGTGCCCAGGCAGTGAACTCTCTGGGGCTGATCCTGCTTGGTTGGACCTGCGTGATTCCACCCCATGTGCCCCTGCCCCTCATGTACTGGTGGGGCAGACACCGACCCCGGCACGCCAGGCCTGACAGTCACATGAAGGGCACCAGTGGGCTCAGCTCTGGCTGGCTGCCCCCCAGTGCCAGGGCGGGCTGCACGGCTGCCTCTGCCCAGCGAAGTGCAGTCACTGGAAAGTAGCACCCGGGGCAGGGGGAGGCCACCCTGCCTGGGAACGGCTGGTGTGACGTGCTGCCGGGAGCCCCGAAAGAGAGGGCGCTCCCGCTCTGCCCTCTGCCTGCTCAGGGCAGGACTACCCAGCCTGCATCACTAGTGTCTCCCCTGGCAGGTTTGGGCACCACCCTGGCTTAAGTGCCCCCAGACCCTGTGCTGGGCTCTGCGCCCTGGAGCTGATCGGGCTACACAGCTCGGTCCCTCCTGAGCTCAGCTTGTTGCTGCTGGCCCCGCAGCAGCCAGGCGCATCGCGCCCGCGGATCCAGCCGCCCCCTGAGCCCATTCTAGGGCAGGGCACCAATAACCCCTGCGGGGGGGCAGGGCATGAGAGTGACAAGCCGGGCTGGAGCCGGCCCCCTGACCCAGACGCCCCTGCAGCTGGAGATCCCTGCCCAGGAGGGGACGGGGGACGGACAGGCTGGGACCTGGCTGGGCTTGGATGACCTGGCTGGAGGGCCTGGCAGCCAGGACACCTGGGTTCCGCTGGCGGCCTGAGGGGCCGTGTCTCCCGCTCTCTGCACCTCGTTTTCCTGTTTGTGCCTCGGAGATACGGAGCCGGGAGCCGTCCGTGGTCAGCAGCCGTTTGGGCCGGAGAGCAGGAGATCTGCACCAGCGCCGGACGGCATGTTGGGGAGCAGACCGCCGGGGCCAGGGGTGGGACGACTCAGACGCTTCCCTCCCCAACCCCTGCGGCTCGTGGGTTGTGGGGGGTGACCCCCTTTCCCCTGGTGGAGCCCCAAGGCCAGGCCCTGTCTCTAGCGAGTGCTGCAGGGTCTGTCTGGAGCGGGGCCCAGTCCTTGCCCTTGAAGGCCTGGGGGGCCACCTGCTGTTCCAGCATGAGATTGCAGCCTCTCGCTGCTGGGGCCCACAGAGCAGCCTGCCCAGTGGGGCCTGGGGAGGTCTTGGGGGGAGCCACAGGCTGCGGGGGACGTTCTGCTACAAAGAGGGCAGCCATTCCCCGCTGACCCAGCCTGGGTATCCCGCAGCCATTGCAGGTGGGCGGGGCTCAGGACTCCTGGGTTCTCTTCCTGACACTGAGACTGTCACCCTGGCCAAGTCACTGTCTCTCCCGCCCCTGTGTGCCTCAGTTTCCTCATCTGTAAGTGGGGCTGAGGTGAAGCTGCTGCCCAGCGGGGGCGTGAGGGTGGCTGATGGTCCCAAACGGTTGGAGACTGGGTGAGCTCCATGTCGCCGATCTGCGTTGCCATTGCTGCTGGGGCCCAGGCGCCACGAGGATGGGCACCTCAGCTGTACCCACCTATACAGATTGTGCTGGTTGCTTTCCCCCAGCATCCTTACTGACGCCCGTAACGCAGCCTTTGGGTGCTGCTGAAACGTCTGGGGAGCCCAGAGGCGGCTGCTGCAGCCGCGTCCCTGCCCTGGCCATATGAAACCAGCCCCTCCCAGTCAGTGCCACCAGAGCCCTGGGCCCTGTGCTGCCCCAGGAGCCTGTGCGGAGGGGGATGAGCTGCCCAAGGACAGCCTGCCCACCCGCCCACGGCCGGAGTCCTGCCCCCACCCTGCCCTCGGCGTGCTGCTCTCAGACTCTTCAGTGGGGCTGGGCAGAGCTCCCAGCTCCCCCCGACTCAACGGGCTGCGAGCCCTCGGCTCCCTCCCAGCCCCCGGCAGTGCCAGCCTGTCCGGACCGAGCGCTCACGGGCTGTGTCCACAGGTGCAAGAGATGGTGCACGGCGTGACCACCGAGGAGTGCCAGGCCGCCCTGCAGAACCACGGCTGGAGCGTCCAGCGGGCCATCCAGTATCTGAAGGTACGGGGCAGGGGCCGGGCAGCTCTGGGACCCCCACCCCGCAGGCCGTGTCCGGAGCAGTGCAGTGCCTGCAGGGACGGGCCGTGGTTTTTGGGTGGGCAGCAGGACCTGAGCCCTGGCTTGTGTGACGGCGCCAAGCCTGGAGCGCCCCCGCTGGGGGTGGCCTGATCCCACCGGGGGGGGGAGGGCAGAGGGGTGCTGTTCGTACACTGGTTGACGCTCGATGCCGGAGGGCCCAGGAGCAGAGCTGGGCACGTGCGCCCAGGTCATGCCCCTCCCGTCCGACCTGGGTACAGTCAGCACAGCCCCCTGCCACCGCCGGCACCGTGTCTGCCTATCAGACCCGCCATGCGGGGATGAAGAAGCACAGGGGAGCCCCCCCCACACACACACTCTGCGCATGGGCCAGGCTGGCCCAGCTCCTGGGGAATGTCAGGATTCTGCGTGGACAGCGTCCCTACCCCTCCCGCTGCCCGGGGCGCCCCCTACTCACCCTCTGTGCCCTGTGGTTTGCAGGTGGAGCACCTTTTCTGCCTGGGCCTGAAGACCAGGGGGGAGTGCCACAGGGTTCTGGAGATGTTCGACTGGAACCTGGAGCAGGCCAGCTGCCACCTGCTGGACCCCGCCAGCGCCGCCAGGCAGAAGTAGGCCACCCCCTTGCCCCAGTCCCACCCCTGCGCTGGCGTGGCGAACCCCAGGGGTTCACAGCCTCAGCACGAGCTCTCGGGGATGCCCCTTTTGTAACCCGACAGCTGGGCCCCTCCGGGGGCACCACAGGAGCTGTGGCCTGCCCGGGCCGGCCAGGCTCCATCCCGTGGCTGCTTGGTGACCTCTGCCAAAGGAGTTGCAGCTGTCGCCCAGCAGGATGGACGCCACTCTCGGAATTGGCCATGGAGCCCAGCCCCCATCCCTGGCAGGGTGCGGGCAGAGCTGGGCTGGAGAGACGGGGGAACGGACACAGCTGTGTTTCCCCAGGGGGTGGGGCCCAGCAGGGGAGGAGCAGGGGCTCAGGGCCAGGCTCTGCCCCTGCGGCCTGCGGGAGCCCCTCCCTGGGAGCTGTGTGGGGCCCCCAGCACATGCTCCAGCCGATGACAGCGCGGCTGCCCGTGCAGGCGGGACTGGGTGGCCCGGAGCAGAGCCTGCTGCCCAGCATGGTTGTGGGGAGGAAGGGCACATTCCAGCCCAGGGAGGGACTGGCCAGGCAGCCGGTGGGGCTCAGACCCAGAGAGCAGGGCCCAGCTGCAGAGGGCCTGATCCTGTGGGGCACCCCTGTGAGCACAGAGGGCCCGCTGTGTCTCAGGATTGGGCCCCCAGCTCACCTGCTCCCCTTGTCCTGCAGGCGGTGACGGCGGCAGGCCGGGAAGCTGAGTCAGAGCTGGAGCGGGCACCTGCCACCTCTGCGGTGCCTTCCCCCCACATTGGACTGAGCCGGCCAGAGCGTGGCTGGAGAGCCAGGAGCAGGGCTGAGAGCCTGACCAGGGGCTCAGGACTGGCGAGGGGCAGCCCCCAGGATCCCGCTGGGGGTCACCCAGGAGCTCGCTGGGGAATTGTTTTGTAAAGAGAAATGTAATTTTAATATATATATAAATATTCTATTGGAGAGGAACCCGGTGCCCCCCAGCTGTGTACTGCGCCCTGCCTGCCCCTGGGCCTTGGCTAGCGAAGGGGCTCAGGAGCGGCCTCCCTGCCCCCGGCTCCGGTGCCAGGGAGCGCAGAGCAAGAGAGCAGCACTCAGCACAGATCCTGCCCCCCTTGGACCTGGCTCTTCTCTCCCGAGCTCCATGCGGCCCCAGGCCTGGCACAAAAGGGACGAGCCATCACCCACAGGCCCCTTTCAGCCTTGCATGCTTCCCGGGGTCTGCAGCACCAGGAGCCAGGCCCGGAGGGCACCCTGCCGCGGGCGAGGGCCAACGTCCCGCTGACCAGCCCTGCAGCAGGCCCACAGGCCCAGAGGAGAAGGGCAGACCAGCCCCTGCGGCCCTTCCATGGCAGGGGGTCAGCATTCAGCCTGGTGCCGCCTAGCCCTGGACTGACTGGCAGAGCAGGCGGGGAGCCTGGGCTCACTCCATTGGCAGGGCTGGGCGAGGGCAGACACTGGCTCATCAAGCACCAGCCATGCCTCTGCCCAACCTAGGGGAGGAGCGTGGGGAGAGAGCCCAGCCCAGGCCTGGTGCCCTAGGGCACAGAGCTCACTGTGGGGCCAAAGCCACCCCCGCATCAGCCCCAGGGTGAGTACTTTGTGCCCCCACCCGATTCCTCCCCAAGGCTGCTTCGTTTCCGCCCCATATTAGTGGCCTCGTCCATCACACCGATGGGACAGTGCCCAGTGACCCAAAGGGGAAGCACGCGGGGGGGAGAAGAGCCCACTGGCACTGCCTGAGAGGTGGGGAGAGTGGCTGCATGTGCAAGGATCGGGGCAGAGGGATTGGAGGCAGTGCCCATGGGCCCTATCTGGGAGGCAAAGAGATGGGGCAGGCCCACAGACACGAATGGGGCCAGCACCCGTGGACACTAGGGGCCAGAGGGCTGGGGCAATGCCCACGGGCATCGTCGGGGACAGTGCCAGAGGACACGGGGATGGGGCGATGTCCATGGGCAGAGGGAGGGGGGGCTGGGCCCATTGACACAGAAATGGGGGCAGTGACCATGGGCATTGGGATGCCCTTTCCTTGCGGAGGAAGCTAGTCCAGGTGAGTCCGAGGGCTGCTTGCACCTGGGGCCATTGCTGTGACCACCCACCATTCCCTGCAGAAGGGGTCTGCCCTGGCAGCCCTGCCCCTGCCCCCCCACAGCTAGAGTGCAGGGGAGCTGCACGTGGCCCCGGCCTGGACAGAGTTTGAGACTCGCTTTGACATGCACAGCAAAGGGCCCTGGCTGAGGGTCGCCCACCATCACCTGCTGCTGCCCCTTTAATGCCCTTGAATTGGGCTCATCAGGTACACACACACCCTCCGCTAAACAAACGGGCTGCTCTAGTGAGCAGAGCAGGGTCCCGGATGCCTGGGTTCTGGTCCTCATTCTGTCTCTGACCTGCTGAGTAGCCTTGGGCAGGTCCCAGCCGCTCATTGGGCCTCAGTTTCCCCTTCTCCAGCATGCAATGAGGGTACGGGTGTGTCCCAGCTCATCCATGTCTGTGAAGCGTGTTATGGGCCATGGTTGGTGGGCTATAGAAATCCTCCGCCTGTGCCCTTAAACCCACCCCCACCCCCCAGTACTCTCACCCCTGATCTGCTGGGCCCCAGGCTGTGTGCCACGCCCTGGCTGGATCCCAGGCCCCAGTGAATGGGGGGGGGGCGCGGGGGGTGGAGAACGGACTTGAGTCCTCACTGCATGAGTCCTCACTCCCAGCAGGGCTGGCTTAGTGCCAGGGCTGCAGACTGCCCAGGGGACTGTGCCCACCTTTCCCAGCCAAATTGTCCCAGCCGTGGAAGCAAACCGAGGGGAGGTTTGAAGTGCTGCTGAAGTGAGGGTGTATTTGCTTTGCAAGGCCAGCGCCGCAAAGGGAATGCGGAGTTCCCGCCCCTGTAGGTGAGTCAACACAGCCAGTCAAAACGCTGGCGCCCTGGTCTGGCCATTAGCGTAGGGGCGGGCGTCGGGCCTCCTCGATTCCCAGGCCAGACGGCACCGGGCTGATCACCTTGTCGGAGCTGTGTAACCCAGGGCAGAGGCTTCCAGCCCGCGGTTCCTCCATCCAGCCCCTCGTTTCTGGCAGCGCGAGAGCAGATCTCTTCGAAAGAGACGTCCAGGCTTGCCGTCAAGTGCGGGCGGCTCAGCCACGTTCCTGGGGCGCTGTTGCAAAGGTTAGTTCGCCCCGTTGTGAAAATGCTGCCCCATGTGCCCACGTTGACTTTACTTCCCTTCCCTGTCACCAACTGGCCTTTGTTCGGCCTCCGGCTGGGGCACTTGTTCCTCTTGTGGAGGAAATTCACCCGGGCCCAGATGTCCCCCACAGAGCCCCCACACCGCTGACGGCCTCTGAACAGGGCTGAGGGAGGACTTACCGGGTGCCATTCGCAAGGCCTATGCGCCACTCCCATTTATTGTGCGTGTCCGCCCTGGAGCCCAACTCCCCGCTTCTGCTCAGCCCAGCCGGGAGCAGAAACGTGCCACGGGCCAGAGTTACTGACTGTCAAACGCTCACAACAACCCGCTCTCCAGCCGCCTGATGTCACTGGCACTAGTCACAGGAGCCAGTCCGGCAGGAGCAGCACTTTTGTCCAAGGTTAAGTGGCTCTCCTGGCTTTGTGGTTCCTTCCCTTCTGCTTGCAGCTCCCTCCTTTTGCAGCCAGCAGCCCCCCTCTCGCTCTTCCTTTCACTCCCTTTGAAACGCTGTTCAGTGGTGATCCACCACAGAGAAAAGCATTCCACAGCGCACCAGCGACCTCCCCCCGTAGCAGGTTCCCCAGCCATGGGCACGGGCCCGGGTGACCCCCTACGCTGGTACTCGAATACCCCGATGGTCGGCGTTCCGGCCACCACCAGGTCGGACTGCGTGTTCCGAGCACACTGCTGGCACACGGTCACTGGTGCGAATACTCTTCCAAGTCTTTATTTGCAAAGAGGAATTGCTCTTTGGGTAACACGGACGCCCTCTTACAAAACCTGCCGGATTTCCCCCCCAGAGCATCCCACCAGCTCTGCGAATCGGGAACGCTTCAGCCCTACACTCCACGGAGGAGATCTCACATCGTGTTACGGGTTCTTTACTGGTCCCATTTAGCGAAGCAGGGGCGAGGGTGGCCGTGGAGAACAGCCAAAGGCCTGGAGCAGATGGAGTCTCAATCTGTAACGAATAAAAAGAAGCGCCAGGGGCTTCTGCTAAAGAAACAACACCACCAGCAGGCGTACCTAACCGTCGTTTACTGGAAGGCCTGAAATGAAGATGGCGGGACCTAGCTTGAAGTGTCGGACATTGGCCCATGGCATAACTGCCTTCACGTAGCGAGCCTAGACCCACACCTGCAGCAGCACGGAGGTGGCTGAAATGGGACATTCGCTACCCGGCTTGCAGAACAACACCCATGTGCGAAAATTTGTCCTGCTCATGCCAGGACAATCCTGGCAGGCTTCCAAGCTGCAGACCAGTCAGTGAACAAACCCCACAGAAATCGTACATGACTAGCGACGCCCGTCCCAGCGCGAGTGAAATCAGCGCGACCCGCGTTTCCTCTCGCCAAGGGGGGGGGGGGGAGTTGATGAAAATGAGAGGATCGTGCAATAACACGGGACAGCTGTCGGCTCTTTGTCTCCCTGGCCATGGCAAACGCATTGGAGAGAATGAACCAGGCCCGGATCTTGAAAGATCCAGCTTCTTTAGGTGCATCACTCCTATTGATTTCAACGGGCGTTAGCCCCAGGCCCAGCCCCTGGGGAGTGTATCACAAAAGCCAGAGCCCAGGATGCGAAAGCAATGACCACAGCTGCCAGGGAACAAGGCTAGTGAGCTACCACCGATGGGGCAGCACAGTTAGGATCCACACAAATTGCTCACTTACTGCCCCCCCTCGCAAAACCGACCAGGCACATTTATACCGACAGATCCTCTGCTCTGAGGAAATGCAGCTCCCTCCGCTGAGGGTCCCTTGCTCCCTGCACACCTTGGGGCTGGAAGCCCCATAAAACAACAAAGGCCCTGGTGGGGCACTGCAGGAATCCAGTCCCTGCACTCAGCACCCGCAGCTCCCGTTGGCTTTCACTGGTGCTGCAGGTGCTCAGCACCCTGGACAAATCAGCTCCTCCACGTCTGCCTGCTGCTGGAGCTCCCCAGTTCTCCGAGCTGCTCTGCCTGCTTTCAGCTAGTAAGAAAGTTCTCGGGCCAGGGGACCAGGGTGCAGGAAGGAACGCAAAGCCCGGCCCCGCCCAGTGTGCTCACCTCTTCCTTCCTCGGAATAGCTCTCTGCCTCTTCTGAGGACCTTGCTGTTGGAGAAAGAAAGAGAGGAAATGGTGTGGGCTGGCATCGTGTTGTTCTTTACTCTCACTTGAGTCTAGCATCCTCCGATTGTGACAGCTTATTAACAAGCTGGGATCCTGGTCTAATAACATGATCAGTGCAGGAGAAATCAGAGCTTTTACCAAGAAGCATATGACTTGCTATACTGGCTCTGAGCAGTGACCCATTGAGTCTAGTCTCCGGGCTTCAACAGTAGCCAGCTCAAGAAGAAGGCATGAAACACTGAGCGTGAACAGTTTTACACTGTGTAAATTTCTCCCTGTGGCACTTCAGTAGTGCATAGGCCTGGCGCTGGCCCGCTACACAGAGATCCATTTCACTGCAACCTTTTCCCCTGTCCTATGGATGTCCAAAGTACAACCATACAAGCTGAGACCCATAGAGCCAACCAGCTCCAGATTCTGTAAAAATCCTCACCTGGCCCAGTGGGTTCTGCTTGGAAATCTTGACACCAGGTGTGCAGAGAACTCAGTACAAGGGGGTGAAAATAACATAAAGGTGGAGACAGAAAGCGACCCATGCACGGATTCTCTGGAGTGCTTTTAGCTTTTGCTGCTGGCTGTTGTTAAACTGGCCAAAGGTGCATTAACGTTCAGCCCCCAGCCCCTAGGAAAATCACGCCTAAGCTGGCAGATGACAGGTGCACTCCCTGCGTCCCAGTTCCAGGAACTCACTTTGGTTTGGCAGCCTGTATCCAGCACAGCTGATCTTTGGTCTCTTCTGACTGTACTTAGCACAGAGCTGGGGGCTCCCCGCCTGCCGGCAACACCAGTCATGCAACTTTAACTCTGCATCTGGAGATGGAAATTACAGCACAGTGTTACGCAGGGAAAAGTTACAAACATCTGCCAGGAAACTGGGCAGAATCCGATGCCCCTTGGAGTCAGTGAAGAAAACGCCCCATTTCTGTCAGTGGCTCTTGGATTGGGTCCCACGCGTCGCTCCTCCCTTAGCAGACAAACTGACAAAAGCTGATGTGCAGAGAAGTTAAAACGGTTCATAAGCCTTGTTTATGGGCAATGGCAAATGCCGAATCAGCCGTGTGACGCAGCGCGGGGGGCCCAATCCTGCAGTCTTTGCTCACCTAACTCTTCCAGTAGAGCCAAGAGGGCATTTTAATTAACCCAGGAACTCCACCCCAAGCCCTTTCGAGTGAAAAAATGTCAAACACCGGGAACTCATATTTCAGAGCAATTTAGTGACATTCTCATTAGCGGGATCTGATATTAGTAATACGCCGATCCCGCTGCAACCTGGTCTGCCCTGTCTCGTGCCTCCAGCACTTGGTGTGGACCAGTTAGTAACAGGTTGGGAATTGCACTGGGCAGGCACCCACTGGCCTCACAGCTACCCAGACAGTCAAAGAAAAATCTTAATTTCCGTGGAAAAATCACCGAAAAGCTGAGGAAGGCCCAGCCCACGTGGTTCCCGTTGCACGACGGGGGAGCCAGTTGCCAAAACTCCTCAGACGCGCTTACCACGGTCGGGGGACACTTGGCGTGAGTCCTTCCAGGATCTCTCCTGCCGCCCGTCAACGAGCTCATTCTGGCTGTTGTAGAGACAGCGGACACCGGCGCCGTATTGGTTTGGGGAGGCTGGATACAGCATCGTCACACGGTCGTCCGCCAAACCTGCAACAACCCACCAGTTGCGCGGCAGCCCCGGAGCCGTGCAGCACAAAAGGCCTCCCTGGCAGTGCAGCCCCTGGGTTTCCAGCCCAACCCAAAGCCCAGTGAAGTCATGGAAAGGTTCCCCTGGATTTCAGCAGGCTTTGGCTCAGGATCTTAGCAAGCCAGTTCCCACAAAGCTCCTCTGAGCCCCTGAACTCACATACTCTTGTGTCGGGATTTATTCTCCAGCTCACCATGCAATGGGGATATCCAGCAATACCTGGTTTCTAACTGGGCATTCAGGACCTTTGACGGCCCCTTATCACAGCCCGGGTCAATTCATTATGCATCGTGGCTGCTGCGGGCTGTGGTGATTCCAGGGTCCACCCACGCTGCAGCAACAAACGTAAGGGGGGGCGGGGCGGAGACACACCCCAGAATCATTAAATTACAACCGAGTGTAAACACATAGAGGGACCGAGTGAAGTTGGAGCTGGGTGAATTTCCTGCTGCTGTTTCTTTCAAGCCTCTCTAGGCAATGCTTCGCTCGCAAAGGGGAGACATGAGCAAACAGTATCAATTCACCTGCAAAGGCTAAATCCCAGACAAAGTAGCCTGGTAGAGTGCAGGGCACACAGGCTGGGTGTGGCCTGTCTTTTACCTGTCTCAGATCACAGCAGGAGAGAGGGTTCATGGACCCTGCAGTGCCTCAGTCTCCCCACTGTGTACAGAGTTAATTACCAATGCTTGCCTGCCCCTAGGGGTGTTTTGAGGATAAACGAGATAAAATGGCTAAGCACCATTCTTGAGAAGACAGCCCAAAACTACAGGGGACAGAGTTTGGGGCCTCAATGGGCTTGGGACCCATGGTGAGTTGTATTCCCGCTGGCAGGAACCGGGATTCTCTCTCCCCACAAGAGCTGAGCTGGGATCATTGCTTAGGGAGGGATGGGTCCACGTAACTAATTCCCTGTCATTGCAGGGGAAGAGGTACTGGGGGGATTGCACCCCTTCTCGGCTGCTGGGTCTCTATGGAGACGAGCAGGTCCGGCCCTCTCTGCGGGGCAGGAGCTTTCTCCATACTAACCCGTAACAGCCTCGTAAGGAGAAGCCATGAGTCCATCTCATTCACAGTGAACGGAGGTGCCGTGTTAGAGCTAACCTCGCTCAGAGCGTGGTGAGGACTAGATCTAACAGGCCCATCTGGCCCCGGCATTGTCAGCATACCCCACCTCCTCGGCTCTGTCGGTAGTGCCGATCCAACGCTCCATGTCGCAGAGAGCAAGGGCAGGATGGCAGATCCTTGTTCCAACCCGCTGGATCTTGCTGGGTGCTAAGCCAGGCCAGACACCTCAGTCTGTAGTTCACACGCACATGACTGGCTAGACTGTATATCCACAGCCCACGCAGATCTAGGGCAAAAACAATCAACAGGTTTTGCCTTCTACTGAGTCAACAGCAAGATTGTACTCGCTCAGGCAGAGAGAGACTTGACTAAGCTGAGTTCTTGGACAGCTCTGACCATACAGGAGACTAACTGGTGATATTTTCTGAAATGGGGTGGTAACCCGGGCCTTGTTACAGCCTCCGAATGTCGCCATTGGAACGCTCCAGAAACTCACGCTCCGAGTCTGAAAGCACCATCGCGGTCGCTCTGGGGATGGTCTCTCAGCTAGGCACTGTCACTGTGAGTGGACGTAGGAATCATCCCCGGTTTGCAAAGTAACAGGCCATGGGCGCAGCCAGTCCTGAGGGGCATGTCTGCCTGGGTCCAGTACCGCGCAAGGGGCATTCCTGGGGAGTTAGCTGAACGTCCAGGTGGCCATTCAGCGGTTCATCAGGGACCAGTAACTCACCGTGAAAGATTGGTCCCACTGACAGCCCTGGGAGTTTTGCCCTGGTTTCAAGAGAGCCAGGAGTTCACCCACAGCGTCTGGGAGAACCTGGGAATCTCTCACCTCGGCACAGTCTTTGCCTATCTCCACTCAGCAGCAGAAGGAAACCCTTTGGCTGCGGTGCCCGTACCTGTGTTGTAGCCTCTGACCTGGTCGGGGCGATATTTGGCGGCTGGGGGCCTTCGGGTCAGATCATCATTTCGGTAAAATCCATCCCCGCTGAACAACAAAGCAAACCCTACATCACCCTTCCTGGCAGGAGCAGGGTTCTTCTCCACACCAGCCCCAGCAAGTTCTCTAGGAACAACTCCCGGCCTGCCAATCCCATCGCCCACCTCATACGCAGGGGGGATGGGGGCACACAGCTGATCAACGGAGAAGCACCCCCAACTCACAGAGCACAGGGCTGAGCCTATGACCATCTCGCCAGGAAGCAGCTGTGGTGCTGAACGCTCTGAAGCTTCCATGCCTTTGCTGGCGGGGTAGGGCTGCTTTTAAGGTTTCACGGAGTGTGCAGAGAACTGCCGCCATTGAGTGTAGCCTGTTACTGAGGAGACACACACACTCTGCTTTCTCCCAGGGGAACTTGACTTTGAGTCGTATTGGACTTGTTTGGCTTCATCTAGACTAAAAGACTGAAAGCCTGTGCTGGTCTCTGGATCTGGAGAGAGACAGCCGGGAGTGACTCTCTCATTCATTAACTTGCAAGCAAAGCAATGGACAGATCCCTTAATTGTGATCAGTCCAAAGTTCACAAGACACCCAATGCTCAGTTATATTTGTAAATCCTCAGCCTTCAAAGGGGTCGCCTGGATTTGAACTACACAACACCCTCGGGAGACAGAAGGGCACGGTCAATGGCACATTATGGTAGTTCTGAGGTTGCAATGTTACCCAGCTGCAAAAGGGTAATTGGGATTCGAATTAATGGCTCCATAGAGGAGTGAGCATACAGCACCTGGAGTAGCCCATCAGCACATTGGTCAAACCCATCTTGGTGTAATCCCATTGCATGCCGCCATCTTGGTAAAGGATGAGGACATAAGACTTGATTCCATCCGTGGTGAGGACAGCCTGGTATGTGTTTGTCTAGAGAAACACAAAGTGCGCGGGTAAGGAAGAAGGGGCTGTGTTCCACAAAGTGTAAACGAGGGGGTACAAATCACTATTCAGTGAGAGACAATAAACAGCACTAATGCTAACGAGGAGTTCTCTGTTCTGACAATGGGGCGTAAGGGTGAATCTGTGCAACTCCCGGAAAGCATGGCAGTAATAAAAACCTGACACAGGAAGCAACAACAGGTGTAATTCTCGAAATAAGTGTCACAGGCCACCAAAGAATGGGCAAGCAAACTTGGCCACCAAACATTGTCAACATTTCTTATTTTTCATGGAAAGCATTGTTAGGATATAGATATTCAGGCCTGTCTGTAAAGGCCTGTACTCTAAGAATTTAAGTGTATTCTTATCACTTGGCTAGTTATAGAGGTATAAAAGAAAGAATCAAAATCACTGTCTGCCGGTGTAAGGGCCTTCTCTTACGGTGATAGTCTGAGGCCCTGTGCTTAGGCTAAGGCCTCTGGCTAAGCAGCAGAGGCAGCCATAAGCTGGGAAGCGACCGGTCACCTCCTCACATTCCAAACTAGTCCCATTGAAATAAGGTGCTATTGGGCTGTTAGGATACAATCCTGTCCTGACAATGCCGATCGCCTCCAGAGAAAGGGAAGTGCCTAGAAGATGTGAAAGGAAACGTAGTTTGATAGCATCCTGCCTGGCAAGAACTCACTTATCAATAGCTGGGATGTGAAATCCTCACTTCTGTATTGTTTTGTCATTATAGTTCCCACTTTGCGATTGTTTGTCTGTATAATCTCTGTCTGGTTCTGTGATTGTTTCTGTCTGCTGTATAATTAATTTTGCTGGTTTCAGAGGAACAGCCGTGTTAGTCTGTATTCGCAAAAAGAAAAGGAGTACTTGTGGCACCTTAGAGACTAACGAATTTATTTGAGCATGAGCTTTCGTGAGCTACAGCTCACTTCATCAGATGTTTACCGTGGAAACTGCAGCAGACTTTATATACACACAGAGAATATGAAACAATACCTCCTCCCACCCCACTGTCCTGCTGGTAATAGCTTATCTAAAGTGATCAACAGGTGGGCCATTTCCAGCACAAATCCAGGTTTTCTCACCCTCCACCCCCCACACAAATTCACTCTCCTGCTGGTGCTAGCCCATCCAAAGTGACAACTCTTTGCATAATCAAGTCGGGCTATTTCCTGCATAGATCAAGGTTTTCTCACATCCCCCCCACCCCCATACACACACAAACTCACTCTCCTGCTGGTAATAGCTCATCTAAACTGACCACTCTCCAAGTTTAAATCCAAGTTAAACCAGAGGGTTTAACTTGGATTTAAACTTGGAGAGTGGTCAGTTTAGATGAGCTATTACCAGCAGGAGAGTGAGTTTGTGTGTGTATGGGGGTGGGGGGGATGTGAGAAAACCTTGATCTATGCAGGAAATAGCCCGACTTGATTATGTAAAGAGTTGTCACTTTGGATGGGCTAGCACCAGCAGGAGAGTGAATTTGTGTGGGGGGTGGAGGGTGAGAAAACCTGGATTTGTGCTGGAAATGGCCCACCTGTTGATCACTTTAGATAAGCTATTACCAGCAGGACAGTGGGGTGGGAGGAGGTATTGTTTCATATTCTCTGTGTGTATATAAAGTCTGCTGCAGTTTCCACGGTAAACATCTGATGAAGTGAGCTGTAGCTCACGAAAGCTCATGCTCAAATAAATTCGTTAGTCTCTAAGGTGCCACAAGTACTCCTTTTCTAATTTTGCTGGGTGTAAACTAATTAAGGTGGTGGGATATAATTGGTTAGCTAATCATGTTAACAATATGTTAGGATTGGTTAGTTAAATTTCAGAGATAATGATTGGTTAAGGTATAGCTAAGCAGAACTCACGCTTTTACCATATAGTCTGCAGTCAATCAGGAAGTGGGTGGGTGGGAAATGGGAACAGGGAATGGGGGTGGGGAAATTGGAATCATGTTTGGCTAAGGGCAGGAATGGGAACAGGGAATGGGGCTGGGGAAACTGGAATCATGTTTTGCTAAAGGGGGAAATGGGAACAGGGAATGGGGGTGGGGAAATGGGAACAGGGACACAGGCGTAAGGTTCTGTGGTGTCAGAGCGGGGAAGGGGGACACTAAGGAAGGAAACTGGAATCATGGTTGCTGGAAGTTCACCCCAATAAACATCAAATTGTTTGCACCTTTGGACTTCGGGTATTGTTGCTCTCTGTTCATGTGAGAAGGACCAGGGAAGTGGGAGAGTGAAGGAATAAGCTCTCTAACAAGCGTTGTGACATTTTAGGTCTAAGGTTTTATCAAAAATGTTATTAAAATTGTCAAACACTTTAATTTACTGAAAATAGCTCTTTTGGTCAAGCAAAGCTTCCCATAACCACTTTGAAAAGGTTTCCAATAAAAATGTGTATAAATGCCAAATTGAAAATATATTTTGAAAAATAATTCCAGATCACCAAAAAACGGGCTTATTTCAAAGGGTTTGAAACAAAAAACTTAAAAATTGGTTTCAACATGTGATAGTTTTTGATCAGCTCCATACGCAATTGAACATGTAACAAACAGAAAGATTATATTACTTAGGGTGTCTCAATGAAAAGTGAGCATAGGGGGCTTTATCTAGAGACCCACCTAAGCCCTCTTTTGCATAGGTCTCATGCATGGGGTGAATTTATCTTTGATAAATGTTCAAGTGAAACACTCAAAAGTTAACTTGCTTCTCCCAACGAGTGCACAGGAGTAATGGTACCACGGGTTCTGAATTCATGCCCGCTCTAAGTTCACAAACTCAGTCTATCGTAGGTCATCTGGCCCTCGTCACGAGCATCTGAGCACTTCACAGTGTTTAATGTAGGTACTGTCCCATTTTACACATGGGAAACTGAGGCACAGAGAGACAGGGACTTGCCCAAGGTCACATGGGACCTGTGTAGTGAAGCAGTAAACTGAACCCAACTTTTCCGAGTCCCAGACTAGCATCCTAATCACTGAATCGTCCTTCCTCCCATAGAAGTTCCCCAGAACATTTGGAAATCGATCCAGACCAATCCAGAAGTAACAGCGCTCTTGAGAAAAGCTGCCGGGGGTGTCTAAATATGCCTCGTGTATCACAGGACACAGACACAATGCAGCAGCCTAGGCCTGACCAAGACTGGGAGGTACGGGGCAGGAAGCCACTTTGACAATAGCTTCCTGAAGCCCATGTGGCCACTTACCCGAGTGACAGGCTGCCGTGCTGGAAAGGCCGGGGCCTTCTCCCAGGTGATCTTAAGGGTCCATTTTGCAGAGTACGAAGTCTTCAGGTATCGCCGAATCTTGGCCTCCACGTCTTGGACAAACGGGTGTTCGGCAGAATCCAGAGTAACAAACTCCTGTGGGTTTTGCACAGGTATGTTACACCTCCAGGGCAGGGAAGTGCAGAACTAGCATTAGGCATGCGAAGGTATCAAAGGCGACCGGAACCCCCCGGCTCACTCATGCATTCCTCCCATTGACTAAGGACTTAAACGATGCTTAGGCCTTACGCAGACCCTCTGCAAAGGGGCAAATTTCATGCCGAGTGAGGATGGACTCAGACGTTAGGGGACCAGCAGGAACTGCTGAATCTGGCAAGGCCTGTAAACCCCACTGCTCGGTCATCTCCACGGCGGCAGGCTATCCAACGACTTGCTAAATCATACGCTGCATAATGCGAAGAAGGGCAGCCTAACTGAGCCTGCCGTTGAGCACGTCTCACTGGGCCTCACCACGTGTAAAAACTGACCTGGTAAAACATGGTGCCAACGCCTTCGGAGAAATCCGCGTTAGCCCAAAACACAGCGACCATTGGTACTTTCTCATGGCCAGTAAATCCTCCGGGAGGTGGGTTTGGAGACGGGAACACGTCACTGTCCGAGGCTGGGAAAATGATTTGTCCATTGTCTGTAAACTAAACGACAGTATTGCTTACATTAGCTCCTTCACGGGAGAGATGAAATAATGCCTAACGAGGCACAGGGTCTGTCTCCACAGCCACGAGACACCCGCAGCTGGCCTGTGCCTGCCGACGCCGGCTCGCAGGGCTTGGGCTGCGGGGCTGCTTCACTGCTGGGTAGCCATCTGGAGCCTGGGCTCTAGGACTCTGCAAGGTGGGAGGTTCCCAGAGCTCAGGCTCCAGCCCAAGCCCAGACATCTACACAGCAATGGAACAGCCCCATGAGCCCAAGTCGGCTGGCACAGGCCAGCTGCGGGTTTTCCTTTGCTGTGTAGACAGAGAGTTATGGGCTTGCTGCAGAGTCCACTGAAGTCAATAGAAAGACGCCCGTTGACTTTAGGGGATTTGGGGATCAGACCTAACTGAAGTGTGTATTCGATCATTATTACCGCTGTTTATATTGCTGAAGTGCCTAGCAGATCCAGTCACCGGCCAGGCCCGCACTGAGCCAGATGCCGTGCAGGCACTGGGGGAAAAGGGAGCCCCCACTATAGTTTAATTTTTTACTGCTTCATTGCAAAACTTTTTTTTTTTAATTAGAAAGTGACTCTGATCTTAATAAATCCTCTAAATCCCATGAAAACACCTCTGGCCCAGACATGGGAGATAAAATCCAAGGAATAGTTTTTCCAACCACCAATAAAAATGATTTTTATTTCTACAAAAATTAATCCACATTTGTTGAAAATGAAGAAACAAACCCCACATTTATCCCCGACCAGCTAAAATCTTAATACACTGTGCCAGTTCCAATAGATCTTTGTCCGTTTCCAAAGGACTGGCCAAGTGCACATCTCATTTAGACTTACGTATAGGGAATCACGCAGCGTTTTCCCAAGTGGGAACCCAATCTCGGGTTTGAACACAGGGGAGTTAAAATCCATTCTTCTTTCCACGAATTGCTTATCGGTTTCCTTTGCTCCATACGGATACAGTGGCACAGCTGTAACTAAAACACAATGATTACAAGCAGCTTCCTTTAATTCACTCACTGAAGATTTTCAAATATCAAAGGGACTGAGCAGATGGCAGGGGACCAAAAGACCTGGTTTGAGCAGGGGAAGCAGCGTGGAATTAAGGCGGGTTCCTTAGACCATAGGATTCGGGTCCGAGGGGACCCCGATGCTGCAATGAGTCAGCCGCAGAGCAGCAGGCGTTATTGTATGGGGGTAAATCATCAGGGGGACAGTGGAGGTCGTGTTCGGTTGCAGAAATCTGTCTCTTGCTCAGAAATCCATGGTAGGTGACTTACGTGTAGCTGACTGTCCTGTACCACTTGTAGTGGCTTCTCTGGTTCCAGCTGAAACAGACGCTGTTCGCTCCTGGTCAGACCCTGCTCTAGTATCGGACCGAAGGGCTGCTGACACAACCAAAGCAATATCTCAGGAGTTGGGAGGGGAAATCACACGCCACTCAGAACCCTCGATGTTTACGTCACAAGTCGGGTTTTTACGGCCCGTTTTCACACCTCTGCAACTTATTACAGGCACAAATGATATAACTTAGGTGTTCGACTACCTGACACGTGGCCAGATGGTCAAATACATAACTAGCCTCAGCAGCACTCTGTTATTTGGGCCAGCAGCGAAAAGGGAAAGGCTAGGTTGGAAAGCAGGCTGTGAAAGTATTCGGAGATCAAGGCTTTACCCAAACCTGCATTGACAGGGAGAGGCCTAGTGGGGTATCGGCCATTGTTTCCGAGGTGCTAGGCACAAATAAAGTACAGATCAAAGACGTGAGTAAATATTATGAGGCTCCTATCACAAGCGCTGAATTCCTCACTTCCATTTAGGACCTGGGGCTTTCACAGAAGACACTAAGTAACCCTCCATAACTGAGCTCCACAAAACCAACATGGCTTCCACCCTGGTCACCTGCCATCCCGGGGGCCCCTGTCCCACACTGCCCAGGAAACCAGGTCTCCCCACGTGCCCCAGACCTGAGCTCGGGAGACCCACGACGTGCTACTGCCTGAAATGAACCCATCTGGGGACACTAGTTATCAGTGCGTGACATACCTGTTGTTCCCAAGAAGGGGAACGGTGTCTCTGCCCGTCCTCTGGAGAGTGCTGGAGTGGTGGCAGCTGGCACCTGCGGTGCACCAGCCGAACCCAGGTTAGCCCCCCGTTCTGGGGGCATTTTCCCCTTCTCCGCATGGAGGGAAGGGGAGTGGGATCCCGTGGCAGAGGGAGCACGAGAGGTGGCCAGGCGTAGCGTTGTTAGCGATTGCCCGGTACGTGCCTCCAGTCCTGGTAATGCTGCAGGGACTCCTGAGTCACTGGCAGAGACGGCTGCTTCTTTCGTAACGCCAGCGGGCCCAGTTACTGTCGGCCCCTCAGGAGAGGCAGGGACGGGCACCGGGGCACTAGAAAACAAAGGATCTGGCCGTGCAGCCTCTGGAGCTGAGGGCCCAGCAGCGGTTTCACCGGGAGAGGCAAAGGCAGCTGGGGATGTTTCCCCTGACGGGGCGTGTATTCCTGTGGCTCCCCCATCTCCTGAGGGTGAATATGGGGAGGTCTCAGCATTGGCCGAGACACCTCCTTCTCCCGGGGGCAGCTCTGCCCTGCTTGCTGGACTCGCCTCCGCAGGCTGGCCATCGGGGTTAGAGGTGGTGGTTTCCTCGTTGGCTGCAGCCGCGTCTCCCCTTCCTTCTCTCTCACCAGCTGAAGACAGAGGAGCAGAACCCATGGCGCTGGGGCCTCCCGGTGAGTGTGAGATGGAGGGGAGAGAGGCCGGGTCCCCAAGCACTACAAAGACGGGCGCGGACGTTCCCTCGCTGGCTGCCGACGTCTCCCTTGTGGGGGCTGGACAGGGAGCCCTGAGGGCACCGGACAATCCGTTTGTTGCATCGCCCGTCGTTTCCGGCTCAGCCAGGGCTCCGCTGGGAGATGCAAAGGCAGGTGGGGACGTTCCTCCCGATGGAGTGAGTCTGCCTGGCATGGTCCCGTATCCTAAGGGCGCACGAGGGGAAGCTTCGGCTTTGGCCACGGCTGCTGTTTCTCCTGAAGGCAGCTCTGCTGCGTCCCCGGGACTCAGCTCTGGGACGGAGGGTGAGGGATTTGTCACACTCTGGAGATAGGGGTTGGAAATCGGGGTTTCTCCATGCGCCACAGATACAGGACTAGCCATATCCTCTCCGTTTTCTGAGGGTGCCGGGGCCAGGGCTGTCTCCCGAGCCGAGGATGGCTGAGGAGAATCCATAGCCAACGCTCTGGGTTCTCCGGTTGGCAGCTCGCCCATGGGAGCTGGATTTGGCTCTGCGCCCCGGGGCGAGGGATCTCTTTCACTCCAGGTGCCAGCGTGAGATGTTGTGGCTGCCTCGTTCGCTGACCTATTGGCTGCTAGCTCTGCACTGGAAGGTGCAGCTACCCCACTGGCAAAGCCTCCAGAAACATTTACTCCCGCAGGACCTTTGGCTGCTGCAGCGGGTGACGCAGACTCCAGGACTGATGGAGCAAGGGGTGTTCCCTTCACACTAGGCTGGGCAGAGTTTGCCAGTTCCTCTCCTGCCCCAGCAGCAACAGGGGCTGTCCCTACTGCAGCGTCTGGAGGGGCCTGTGGAGAACTGGGAGCACCAGAGAATCCAGCCCAGGAGGATCCTGTACTTTCACTCTCTGAAATGGACGGCTCGGCAGGGATGTCACTGGGAGCTGGGATGGCAGACGGGGCCGTTTCTCCCGACGGCGTAGGTATGGCTGTCACCGTCCCAGGCTCTAGAAAGGAATGAGGGGAAGTTCTGGCACTGGACAAAGCCCCCGGATCTCCCGTAGGTAGCTCCTCTGTGTTAGCCAGACTCTGCTCTGCGTCAGAGGGCAAGGGATTTGGTTGGCTCTGGGTATCAATCACAGATATTGGGGTTTCCTCTCTTCCTTCCGGAGCTGCAGGGGCAGTAACTCTCTCGCTCTCTGAAGCCGGGTGAGCAGAACCAGTAATGCTAGAAAACGCCCTTCGGGGGAGCCCCTCTCTCTCAGTCTCTGCGGGTCCTAATGACCCAACCTCTTCCCTCCCGGCTACAAAGGCAGGTGGGGATGTTTCCCCTGCCGGTGCAGATGTTCCTCGTCCTGTCTTGCTCTCTGACGGTGGATCTGGGGATGCCGGAGCACTAGCTCCATCATGCCCTGGGCTTTCGGTCTCTGAAACGAAGGCCTTAGCAGCAGGGGCGGCAGGAGACTGGAACGCTGCACGAGTTGACTCCGTCTCTCCCACCGATGGAGAAAGAGGCCTTCCACTGGACACAGCAGTGCCAGTGGATGCCAAGTCCTCTGGTCCCCCTCCAGTGCCGGGTGTGGCTCTCCCGTTCTCAGCAGCTGCAGAGAGAGAAGAGGAGGTGGTGACACCGGGGAGCGCGCCAGGAACGGATCTCGTTACCTCCAGCTCGGCAGGTAAGAAGAGGGTCGGGTGAGGGTCTGTTGGGCTGGAGTAGAAGAAGGCCAACGTGATGGCTGCTTCTCCTGCTGGAGTCGTGGCAACTGTCCCGTTTTCTGAAGAGGCGTGCGAAGGGTTTGTCGCCCTCGCTGAAGTCTCTGCTTCTTCTGTCGGGATCTCGGCTGCTTCACCTCCGCTGGCCCCTGGCTCTGGCGGGGAAGACACTGTTTCAGGGGCAGAATTTACATTGTCCCCATTCACCGCTGACACCAAACTAGCTGTTGCTACCTCTGCCGGAAAGGAGGAGCCGGCTTCGCTGGCGTGGCCGCTTGAAATGGCGCTTTCTCCAGGCAACGTGGTCACGCCGGCGTTGGCCGCCATGTCGGACAGGGACAGAGGAGCTTGTGCTGCCGAGGTGATTGCTGTCTCCGGGGCTGCCAGGCTTGCAGCACGGAGCAAACCGCGCTCCGCCATTGGGGGAAGACCCGGCTCCAGGGGTGAGCTCATTCTCTGGAGGAGCTGGGACAGCAGAGGTGGGCCCCGGGTCTGCGCAGGCTGGAGGAGATGAAACAAAGGCGTAAGCAATTCTAAGAAGCAGCTTGGTTATAAATCCAGCTTGGTTCACAAACGACTCACTGCTTCTCTGTGCAGGACAATGCTACAGAACAGGGTTCTTTTGGCGCACCCGGGAAAGGGCTCAGACACTGAGCGGGCATCAATGCTAATTCAATTAGACTTCCGTTTGCCAGGTAAGGAATCCACATAAGGTGCTTTCTCCCTCAGGGGCAGCAGGTCACACATTTGCCATTGGTTTCCTGTGTTTTCAGGCTTTTGCGCACCCCCCAGGGTAATCCACCCCCAGGATTACTAAAAATGGGCCTGGCCTGGCACATTCTTCTATGAGCAAATGGCATCTTGGCAACGCCATTCTGACACCTTGGGGGGGCAGCCTGCTGGTTTTGAGCAGCAGAGCGAGCATGGCAGCCTCCCCGAATTGCCTGAACTCCTGGGTTCAGTTCCTTGCTTTGCTGCTGCTGGCAAGCTGAGGGTGGCCACCCCCTTGGAAAAGCAGGCCATCAACCACTAGTTGTGTGCCTCAGTTTCCCTCTCTGTCAGAGCAAAATAGTGACAGCCAGCTCAGAGGGATGCTGTGAGGACCGATTAGTTAATGTCTTTACAGTGCAGGAAAGTGCTGTATAAAGCCTTCAAAATATGACCCTTATCACCCATGTTACCTTGCTTACCCTAAGCCAAATTTGGGGCAAACTTCACTGCAAGGATGGAGCCCAGACTGGAACAGCTGTTTTCCCAAAACACTCAGGAGGCCAAGTTCCCTGTTTTGTCCACCTTACACTGGGGGTAGCAGAACTGGGGGACTCCCTGAGTCTCAGCCTGATCCAAGGTGCATCTTAGCGCAGAACAGTCCCAGGGAACCACGTACCAGCTGGGACTAGCCAGAGAGTTATGGTCACTCCCCCTCACCTTCTCCTGCACCGGGGGCTGTGGAGAGGGAGGAGAAGGAGTTGGCTACGCTGGCTCTACACCTACCAGAGACTCCCCCAGCCAGCAGAGGACTTGTGGCCTGTTACACATTCCCTTTACCCCACCTGAGTGATGTAAAGGGAGCAAAAGGGGCTGAGAAGCCAACCCAGGGTATCTTTGGTCCTCCAGGAGTCTGAATATGTGCTTCAATCTCTCAGGTATTTTAAGAGGGGGATGATTTCAGGGGGGTGAGGAGAAGGCTGGGCGCTGCCGTCAGCTAGATGTTTTAGGGAAGTTGACTTGCAAGGGGTGAGAAAGCCGGTCACTCCTGCAGAGGTTAGTATAGGACGGGGGCATTTTCCAAGCAGCTGGGCAGAGGTATTGTGTGGCTAGTCTATTGACTGGTCATGGTGCAACCAGACTCCTCGCGTAGGTGGATCTGTTCAGGCGGAAGGAGCATGCAGGGTGCGGATGGAGCGAGGTGCTGAATACATAGTCGCTCATTTGCATAACTGATGCCACGCTGCTTGTACGCCAGCCAGAGCACTGCCCTGCGTAGCCCCACCTAGATCATTAACATCCAGGCCCCCAGCACCGTGCCACCCTCTAAGCCTTTCGATGGGTACAGTTCCGAGGGGCAGAAGGTGACATGGGGTAGGACAAAAGCTGGCACTCCAGCAGACAAACGGTAGATAGGACTGGGGGTTCGGAGGGGACCTGGGGCAGGGAGGTGGAATGTGTGGGTGGGTAGGGAGAGCCGGGGGGAGTGGGGGGGTATCTCTGTCCCAGAATCATTGGCAGCTGTGAGCAGCTGCCTGAGGGTGCCGGGATGGGACACACCACGGAGGGCCCCCTTCAGGGAACGCTCTCGATGCTATGTCCCCTATAGGCAAATTTCTAGGGGACCCACAGTGGGATATGGGTGCCTCTCTAGGCGGCCAGTGCCATTGCTGTGACCAGGCAGCCACCCGGGAGCCTACGACAGGGACCCTGCAATCGAGGCTCCTGGGGAGAATGCCAGATGCCGTCCTGCCTAACAGCTGTTAAAAGCCAGGTTGCTAGATCCTGATCCTGCTGCCCTTAGCCATGCTGAGTAGCACCTTGCCCCCACCCACCCCACCCCAGACCCAGGCGTGCCCCTTGGTTCACAGGGTAACCAACAGGTAAACTGCAGCACACGGCTTATTTATTTGGGTGGAGGGGAGATTTTATGTGCATTATTATTTAAGCTCAGTACCTATGTGGACACAAGAACAAATGGATATAAACTGGCCATCAGGAAGTTTATAGACTTGAAATTAGATGAAGGTTTCTAACCATCAGAGGAGTGAAGTTCTGGAACAGCCTTCCAAGGGGAGCAATGGGGGCAAAAGACCTATCTGGCTTCAAGACTAAGCTTGATAAGTTTATGGAGGAGATGGTATGATGGGATAGCCTAATTTTGGCAAGTAATTGATCTTCAACTATTAACGGTAAATATGCCCAGTGGCCTGTGATGGGATGTTAGATAGGGTGGGATCTGAGTTACTACAGAGAATTCTTTCCTGGGTGTCTGGCTGGTGAGTCTTGCCCACATGCTCAGGGTTCAGCTGATCACTATATTTGGCATCGGGGAGGAATTTTCCTCCAGGGCAGATTGGCAGAGGCCCTGGGGTTTTTTTGCCTTCCTCTGCAGCGTGGGACACAGGTCACTTGCTGGAGGATTCTCTGCACCTTGAAGTCTTTAAACTATGAGTTGAGGACTTCAATAGCTCAGGTTAGGGGTTTGTTACAGGAGTGGGTGGGTGAGATTCTGTGGCCTGCGATGTGCAGGGGGTCAGACTAGACGACCATAATGGTCCCTTCTGACCTTAAAGTCTGTGATTCTATGTGCAGGAATGTTTAGTGGCAGGAGGCATTTTTAAAACCCCCTTTTTGCTTATTTTATCTGCAGCCGCCGGGTTCATTAGGGGGAGGCGCTATGTTTCTGCAGGCCTAGTGCATTTCCAGCACGCGCAGCGACCCAGTCAGTTCGCAATGACTGCCCATATTCCAGCCTGCTCCAGGCACACCAGAGCCGCTGCGTTGAGATGATACATCTGGAACTCAGGGCTTCAAAGCTCGTGGCCCCAAGCATCAGTGCCACTGACGACAAGACGGGACGCAACGCATTCCAGAGATGCTAGCGAGTGTCTCTAAGGAAGGCTCAGACTGTATCTGTAACAGGATGGAACATCCTGACGTAGGAAGCTGCAGAGCAGTGCAATGCCGCTCCCGTTAACACAAGAAGACGGGGTGTTTACAGTCAAAAAAGCAAACAGAATATTGGGACTCATCAAGAAAGGGATAGATAATAGGACAGAAAATATCATGTTGCCTCTATATAAATCCAGGGTACGCCCACATCTTGAATACTGCGTGCAGATGTGGTCGCCCCATCTCAAAAAAGGTATATTGGAATTGGAAAAGGTTCAGAAAAGGGCAACAAAAATGATTAGGGGTATAGAACGGCTTCCCTATGAGGAGAGATTAATAAGACTGGGACTTTTCAGCTTGGAAAAGAGACGACTAAGGGGGGATATGATAAAGGTCTACAAAATCATGGGTGGTATAGAGAAAGTAAATAAGGAAGTGTTATTTACTCCTTCTCATAATACAAGAACAAGGAGCCGCCAAATGAAATGAATAGGTAGCAGATTTAAAACAAACACAAAAAGGATTTTTTCACGCAATGCACTGTCAACCTCTGGAACTCCTTGCCAGAGGGTGTTGTGAATGCCAAGACTATAACAGGGTTCAAAAGGGAGTCAGATAGATTCATGGAGGATAGGTCCATCAATGGCTATTAGCCAGGATGGGCAGGGATGGTGTCCCTAGCCTCTGTTTGCCAGAAGCTGGGAATGGGAGACAGGGGATGGACCACTTGATGTTTACCTGTTCTGTTCATTGCCTCTGGAGCACCTGGCACTGGCCACTGTCCGAAGACAGGATACTGAGCTAGATGGAACTTTGGTCTGACCCAGTATGGCCGTTCTTATGTTCTTTGAGAAGGACATTATGGGACTTACCCTAGCTCAGTTTCCCTAGCTGTCAAATGGGAACAACAACACATCCCCGCGTTTGTCAAGTACTTTCACATCCTCTGATGGAAGCTTCTCTGCAAAGGGCAACACATGGGTATTACTGTGCCTGTCATTTGTACCTTCTTGCATATTTCCCTCTGGTTGGGGAGGTGGGGCTGATTTATCAAAGCACAAACTTGTTGCCAGAAATCTTTGGCATACAGTCAAAGAACGCCTCTGTAATGCATTGGGTTTACAGAGAAACACCTGGGACCAAATGCCATTTTTAAGGAGAACAGGTTAATTCACCCTCTTCTTGGGCTTGATCCTGCAAGATGCTGCACAGCGCCTGCAAACTAGGGAGCTGCCTTAACTCCTGTGTTCTCAGCACCTTGGAGGAAATGACCAGCAGATCTCAGGATCAGGCCCAAGTTCTATTCTCAACTCTCCCTGGCTCAGTTTCCCCAGCTATCAGGAGACCTACCTGTGTAAAGCAGTTGTCTCCCCTCTCATGAAAGACTGTGGTATAAAAGTGCAGGAGTACTGTTAATAAAGCTTCAGACATTACCAAGAGGCCATAGTCTCTTACAATCTCTGCCTCTGAGCCTCCCTGTCTCTGAGGCCGGGCGAGCTTGTGTCAGCAGCTTGATCCAGTTTACAGTAACACATACGAGTGAGCAAAACGCAGGACTTACTGTGTAGAATCCACACCCAGCAGCCTAAGAAGGTCCAGGGGATTGGTCTCCACATCCCCATGTCTCAGTGAAGCGCGCCAACAAGTACGATCTGCGAAGGCGGAGAAGTGTGCTAGGGAAAAGGTAGCTAATGGGAGATGCAGGTCTCCTCCCTCTGTCCTCCGGGAGCTGGAATGAAACAGGTGCAATCCCCTGGCTCCCGCCCACGGCTACTTATAGGGGCTGACAAAAGAAGGCGGGCTGCAATGATTGCATCACACCCTGTGCCCCCTCATGTTCTTCCCCCACACCACCCCCACCCGAAAACCCCCTCCCCAATAGCTTCCTGTTACTGTACATGTTCCTGGCCAGCCCCTGAGAACACACATTCCTGTCGCTCTCACATGAGTGCCCGGCAATAAAGTGAAGTGTCCGAGCGTCAGCACTTGGCTTTGAGTTCCCGCCTGGGTCCCTACCACACAGGGCTGAGAAGCATACCAGGGGTGCCCATGCTACCCAACGGGCGACTGCGGACACCGCAGGAGAACATGACTGGCGGGGGCGTGGTGCCCTGGGTGGCCGTTTAGGGGCCCTGAACACTGGGAAGGGGATGTAAGGGAAGAGACAGACCCTGGGGGGCTGGTTGAAATTCTGCCTGCCACCAGCCCGCTCACCCCCTTTTCTGCATCAGAGACAGGTATGAAAGCCCTGCGCCTCCAACCTCCCCCACGAGGAGCTGCCCCTGGGAGTAGGGGGTGTCTAACCAGGCTCAAATCAATAGTAGGGCCACAGGACCCAGTTTAGAACATGGGCCAGAGGCAAAGCTAGTTAGGAGCTTAACGCCCATTGGTTTCAATGGGAGTTAGCTACCTAAATACCTTTGTGAATCTGGGCCAAGGTCTATGGTGGCCAGGGAAAACTAACCCACCAGCAAGTACCACTCTTTACATACAAGGTCTAGCTGAGGCTGCTGGGCTCTGGAGAGAGTCTGCTCTGAACTGTGCTATGCATCACATGCAGCCGGTGGGGTTCTGGCTCCTTCCTACCATAACGACATGCTACAGTGGTCCAGCGTTCAAATGGGGTGGGGGACACCTGCCTTTGGGGCAGTTCACTCCCTCCACCAGGGAGGAATCACTGGGGCCCTTCTGGAGAAGGTATTTTCCCTGTGACTTTAGCATGAAGAGAGGAACTGGAGAAAGAGGATCAGGCTCCAGGGGGGCCCAACTCTGGTGCAGCACTTGGAGTTCAGAGGGTACAAGCTGAACCAGGCTGCTATTAGATAAACACAGGCTTCTTGGCACGTACCACTGGCCTCCACATCGGCTCAATGAAGATCCTTTTCCTATAACTCTGCCTGCTCGCTGCATCACTTATCGCTAATGAAACATGCTGGTAGAAGTGGGATTTGAACCCAACACTCCCAGAGAGGCGCACCAAATGTCCCTGATGGTGCCAGTGTTGAGGCATGAATCCAATCCAGCTCTTCTGGCTCTCAATCCATTTCCATACCCACTACATTACACCGCTCCCCACGCTCTGAATTCACACCTAGCAACCACCATGCCTGTCACCAAGGGGCAGCAAGCCAAGGATATAAGGGACACCACACAGCAAACCCTCGGAGGAGATGAAATTACCAGACACCCGTGCAAAAATAAAACATAGGTGCCATGCCTGTGATCACCAGGTACCACCATTCAGCCCCCTACATGAGGAGCCCTAGCGCTGTGAACCACAGGGTCTGATGAATGGGGGCATGGCAAACACACCCAGCACAGCACTATAGCTGTTTGCCTCAAAATGTTTGCCTCAAAAACCCATTCAGACTTCACAGCAGCTCGCAACACCGGTGAACTCACCCAACACCCAAAGAGGCGCAACCCAGCGCCTAGAGACTGCAGGAGAAGTCAGGAGCCGGTCAACATTGTCACCGCCACCTGAGAAGACATCTAAGATAAGGAGAGGTTTCCTGGGGCTTGTTGGGAGAGGCAGGAGGAGAAGAGAGGGCTAGAGAGGAATCAGACCTGAATTTGATTCCCCAGTAGGGGCACCGACTCTCTATTATGTCACATAACCGCTCTGTGCCTCAGTTTCCCCCACAAATAAACAGAGTAATGCTACTTAGCCCCCATTTGTAAGGTGCTTTGAGATCCTTGGACGAAAGGCGTGTAAATGCAGAGTATCGAAGTATCATTTACTGTCGTAAGAGATTAGATGCATTTCCTAGCCGTAAATACCTCCAAGCGCCCAAAGTGATTGCTGCTAGGTGTCATTACTAGTGTTGTAAGCAACAAACAATTAGTACGTTGTGTCCCAGGACAGTCTGCCGGGGAGCAGTGCCTTAGGTTGTCCCTAGAGTCGAGCATCACCCAATCGGCTGGCCAGCTGCCCTGAAACCCGCAGCACTTGGAAGGGAAATGCCAAGTGAAGTCACATCACGGTTGATGAGAGCTGGTAGTATAAACACACTACTTCCACCAGTGCCGGAGCGGTCCATTAGCATTGCTGATGGGGGTCACAGATTGCAAATCATTAAGGGCTCTCCGCTCACTTGGAACAAATGCCAAGAGCAATTCAAACCCATTTGCAAAGCTAGGAAAGGGCCACATGTTACCAGCATATGAAATCTGACACAGGTGATAATGGGGAAATGGCTTATGAATGGACATATAGACAAATGTCACAGTGAGCTGATATCAGTTTAGAATCATGCAAGGTTAATGAGGGATGGAAAAAGATCTGGTACCAGTAAGATTGAATTCCAGCTTCCATTCTTTTTAGTAGTGCATACATTTTTCGTGCTCCTTTGAGACTGGAATTTTCCAATCTTGGCATCAGCCCAATGCTAACTTTTTTTTTTTAAAAGTGTGAGGAAAATTGCTCCCATCAGCTTGCTTCTGAGTTACGTGAGGGCACGTGGGAGGAAACTGCACTTTTCCTATTTTGTGCCAACCAGACAGCTCAAACAGCAGAAGCAAGGCACTTCAAACTTGTCTTGTTTTACAGATCTCATTGTTTTGCAGATCTCACTCGGGTATTAAAAACAAGACAGTCTTGAAGCAAATCAGTTGAGGAGATTTTAAAGCCTATGGATACAAGTAGGAAATTACAAGTACACTCTTTAGGGTATAATTCACCTCTTTGCAAAGGGCCTGTACAAGGCCTAGACCACCACTTAAGCCCTCTTTGGGGGCAGTTAAGAAAGGCTCTGGTGGTGTCTAGGACTTGTGCTTCTTCTCTTCACAGGGGGGAAATCTTACCTTTGAAGAATTAATACCTTCCCTTCTCTAAAAGCCAACTAAATCCAAAGCTCCTAAATGCTGCAGCCCATCTGTCACCCAAGAAGCTTACAACCTCCTCCGCTGGCAAAGCCTGCAAGCTTCTCCAAACAGCTGCAGATAGCAAACAGGTGGGTTCCACCGGCAGAGTGCGGAAATAGTGATTTTTGCCCCTGTTGGGCCAAGGGGCCAGCCAATATTCAGGTCTTACTGGGTTGTTTCTGTTACAAGGAGAAATGGATGAGAGGATTCAGGTATTTCTTTGGCCCACTTTATGCACTACTTCTGTCACGGTCTTTTGGCTTTCGGGATCTAATACACACAGACAGCAACCTGCAGACAATCACTCTGCTCATGCCTGCATTTGCAACTAGTCCGAGGGAAACCCCTCCGAGTCCCTTCCGCTTACTTTCATGTGAAACAAACATGTACAAAATAAGCCAGAACTCCATCTGGTGACATGGACAATGATGCTCAGAGCTGATGAGGGAAAGCAAAACTCTGCAGCATTTTCTAAGAGTCACCTACATCTAGTCCCTAAGCCTCACAAATTGGCACTCCAGGAAAGAAATTGAATGTTCTACGGAGTGTCGTTTTAGACCTGGCTCCAGAAGCTTAGCACAAGTGGAAGGGCACAGCATGGAGGAAACATGCCAGGAGTACAATGAAGGGATAATTAAACATTACAACATGGTTTTGAGCGGATATTAGCAAAGTTATGCCATAATATTTTAAGTACCCTGGTGTGTCCCCATTAGCATCAAACTAGCACTGAGGACTAATGGTTAGTAGAACAGAAATGTAGCTGCATGCCAGAGGGAACTAAAGTCTGGCTAAAGAGGAAGCTGAGTAAAGATCTAGAGGCATCAGAACCATCCAGCAGTGCATGGCATGCACTCTTTGGTATTAGAACTATAAAGGGATTTTGTGTAGGGTAAAGAAAGATTGATAATAGCTTTGAATCGGAGTCATAACAACACCTATTGATGGTCTTTAGACTAGAATCTATGTACGTTAACCACAATCTGTCCAAATGCTATTGGCGGATTTATTGACAGAGATTTCTAAACTCAACCGTGCCTTGTCAACTAGTCAGTGTTGTTTGAGCTGGGATACACAGAACATCAGCAACCTTTGAGCAAATGAATGGAGCAGTTGTTCCAATACCATTTAGATTACAGCACATCTCACTTGGCTCGCCCCATCGTTTTATAGCACTGAGCATGGTTGCCAATGCACTGGAAAGGGCTGGGTTAACCATAGATCCTGCTACGTTCTGTGTAACAGCCTTGTTAAAGTTGTGATAAGTGCCATACAGGCTGCCCAAGATGAATGTGCAATGGACCCATGGACCCTAGGTGGGACCTGAACTCCCGCGTACCTCAGACTCTCAGGATGAGCCTTTCCCAGGGCCAGGTGTGTGCAATACACTGACTTAATGCATCTGAGCACGTCTCTCTGGCAAGTCACTGCTCACTCAGCCAGACAAGTGCCCTGTTAGCTCGAGTGACAGGGGCCTGGGCTGTTGGTAGCCAAGGACCCAGTTTGATCCTTACTGATGACCAGGGTGTCTGTGGGCCAGGTCCTCAGCATCATTAAGGCTGGTTTGCACCACACCAACAGTGCAAATCAGCCATACAGTCATTGTAATTGGAACAAGCCAGCTGGAGATTCCCCTGGGGCAGAGGCGTGACAAATTTGAGGATCTGTTTCAGCTTACAAGTTCTGGTTGACATTACACCGTGTTTCTATCAAAATGGCTGTATCATGAATGTCTCTCTGCCCGGGATAGCTCAGTGGTTTGAGCATTGGCCTGCTAAACCCAGGATTGTGAGTTCAATCCTTGAGGGGGCCATTTAGGGATCTGGGACAAAAATTGGGGATTGGTCCTGCTTTGAGCAGGAGGTGGGACTAGACGACCTCCTGAGGTCCCTTCCAACCCTGAGATTCTAGGATTCTATGTCTTGCCCAGTCGAGAGGCATGCCTTCCTCAGCCTGAGGACAATCAGAAGGTATTTCACATTTGAGGGTGGTACTTTGGTCACAGTAGGATACTAAAGAGTAACTGCAACCTTGGAAAACCAGTTTCATCTCAGAGTAAGTCGACACTAGAAATGCCACAGCAGCACTGTAGCGTGGTGACGGAAGAAATCCACCTCTCTGAGCGGCAGTAGCTAGGCTGATGGAAGAATCCTTCTCTCGACCCAGCGGTGTCTACACCAGGGGTTAGGTTAGCTTAATTACATCGCACCGGGCAGGAAATTTTTAAGCTGGCCTAACTTTATAGTGTAGAGCAGCCCTTACCCCTCTGATCGGGGGAGGAAGAGGAGAGCAGTGGAAAGCCACCAAAAGATGGAACAAAGGAATCCAGGTGTGGAGAGGGGAGCGTACAAACTCCAGAGAGTGGCACGGGAAGAGGGAGCAGTGGGGAAGAAGTCTCCATGAGGGAGAAGCAACCCAGCATGTAGCAGGCTCATGGGGCAGGTGAACCTGCCTGCTTTCCTGAGCCCAGCTGGGCCCCCAAGAACTTCCCAGGGAAAGGTGAGCTAGTGAGGGGCATTGCAGCCAGGAGGTCCGTTGTTTACTAAATGATCCATGCACTCTTGTGCTTTATAGGATGAAATAAAAGAGCAATAATGTGCCAGATTTGTGCAAAGTGTGTGTGTGCCTGTTATCTGCTTCACAACTGCCACCTTCTTGCCTTCTGGGAGGGTTCCACAGTACCCCAGAGCTCTGGGAGAGGGTGTGTTTAAGTACAGGGGAGTCTGAAGAGCCAGCCTGGCGCCTGGGGCTAGGCAACTGGATAGCAGGTTCCAGCTCGCAGGATAGGCTGCTAGACAAAGGGTCTGCACCCCAAGAGTGCGCCTAGGTGCCCCCAGACTGGGGCAGTGGCTGTGGCTAGCCTCCATGCAGGCTCTGGGAGGAGCAATTTGGATTCCCCTGGTAGCAGTCTACGAAGGCCAGCACACAGATCTGCGGCCAGAGCAATGCCAGACTGAGGGTCAGTGTGGCCGGCTCTACGTCGCTCTCTCCCAGCCTGCCAGCGTAGGGGGCATGGCCAGGGGAAAGGGGCCTGGCCAGAACACTCACACTCTGGTGAGCCCTTGCGGCTGCTGGCAGCTGGCACCACCTGATTGCTTCTCCACACCAGCTGAGTGCCCGGCAGGCCACAGTTTGAGGGCACATAAAGGAGGTATCCGCCTCTTTGCGCTGCCCCCTGTCCCCCGAGGCGGGACTGGACGTGAATCAGCCAGCGCCCAGGACCAGCTGCAGGATCCTTATGCACGGATCCCTGTGACCGAATGGGGGCTCTGTTTCCTTCGGGTTAGCTGGTTACTTCTGACAGCTCCTACTGGACCCTTTGCCATACCTGCACCTTGGCCCGATGTTTCACGCCAGCTCCACTCCTCCAGCTGCCTGGTGACCTGGCATTGCCCCAGGACGCCTGGGGTGACCAGTTTTCAGTTTCCCCTCCAGGCCTTAATAAGCTTCCCATGCATCTGCCTGCTCCAGCGATGGAGGGATTGGAGACTGTCTCCTCTCTGGTCAACAGTCCTGCGATCCAGGAGGCAGCCAGCATTTGCTCAGCACCCGTCTTATTAATTCCCAACAACCAGCTCAGCAGCCTGGTGAGAGAGGCTGGCAGCTACCGGCTGGCCTCTGAGCTCAAGCAGCAGCCTGTGAACTGAGCCCCCAGCAAGGTCTTGGTACAATTAACTGGCTCTCGTGAGCAGCACGCTCCTCTGAAAGAGATTGTGAACGGAGCCAGGCCTGCTGCTGCGGCAAAAGGCCAGAGCCAGCTGTTGCCGGCGGGATGTGGCTGCGTCGGGAGCACGGTGCTTTTCTCAAGCTGCAGCTAGCTGCACCGGCTGTATACCCCTTCCCAGAGCAGGTGTCAGGCATGTTGGCCTGCAGCTGAGCCTGGGCCCACTAGCTGACCTGCAGCTGCACATCCTGATTGACCCGCCCTGATTTGCTGAGAGGCGTCACCAGGCCAAGGGGCACAAGGATCACTGGAAAACTGAGCCATCTCTTCTCTCTGCTCAGCATCCCTGAGTGCCCAGGAGCCACGCTGAGCGGCCGCTGGTACACACTGGCTCCAGTTCAAACCGTGGGAGTAGTCACCTTCTGAGTCCAGCACCAGAGCAAGCCCTTGGAATCTTTCCCTTCCTTTGTGACGCAGGTTGGCTTGATTATACCGGCCTTGGATCTGTTCCATGACCTGGGGTCCAAAGTTATGGAGTCAGCAGCCATCGAAATCAGTCCAGTGGGACATTGTGTGGGAGGACTAATTTCCTGGAGGTCTTCCAAGGTGTAGGCAGAGCTTCAGGATTAGGTCACGTAGCCCTAGTATAAACCCCACACCAGGACCCTGTTGACCCTGTTTGCAACCTTTCTGATAGCTTAGAGACTCAACAGCAGAGAACTCCAGAAATCGCTGGATGCTAAGAGAAAAGGAGTACTTGTGGCACCTTAGAGACTAACCAATTTATTTGAGCATAAGCTTTCGTGAGCTACAGCTCATTTCATCGGATGTATACTGTGGAAAGTACAGAAGATCTTTTTATACACACAAACCATGAAAAAATGGGTGTTTACCACTACAAAAGGTTTTCTCTCCCCCCACCCCACTCTCCTGTTGGTAATAGCTTATCTAAAGTTATCACTCTCCTTACAATGTGTATGATAATCAAGGTGGGCCATTTCCAGCACAAATCCAGGGTTTAACAAGAACGTCTAATGCTAAGAGAACCTACTGGTTCCCTACGCCAGTGGCCAGATCCTCCACTGCCCAGCTCCACACTGCCAAGAATGAGGAGAGCTCAAAGGAGCCCTCTTGTAACAATCAGACACCTCCAGAAGAGGACAGCAGGTCTGAAAGCAAAAAAATAAGCAATTGAATCAACTGGTTGCATACACCGTTGTTATGTACAAATAGATATCAAATAAAGTCTGTTATGAAAGCTTGTAATGATCTCAACTTGATGGGCATTAGGAGCTCTGTTTATTGGTTGTGTGTGTGTGCTTCCAAGCCAGCTGTTTACACAAAACCAATGTCAAGTACCCATCTATTGTCCAGCCAGGGAAAGACAATGGGCGACCATTCAAATTTATGGGAAAGCACTGAAACAACTTGAAACTGAAAAGAAAACTAGCAATTGGCTGAACAAGAAGTAGGACTGAGTGGACTTGTAGGCTCTGAAGTTTTACATTGTTTTGTTTTTGTTATGTAACAAAAAAAATCTACATTTGTAAGCTGCACTTTCATGATAAAGAGATTGCACTACAGTACTTGTATGAGGTGAATTGAAAAATACTGTTTCTTTTGTTTATCATTTTTACAGTGTAAATATTTGTAATCAAAAATACTATACACTTTGATTTCAATTACAACACAGAATACAATATATATGAAAATGTAGAAAAACATTCCAAATATTTAATACATTTCAATTGGTATTCTATTGTTTAACAGTGCGATTAAAACTGCAATTAATCACGATTAATTTTTTTGAGTTAATCGCATGAGTTAACTGCGATTAATCAACAGCCCTACAAATAAACTTTTTGTTTATTTCTACTCCACTGCATATAATTCTAGACAAATTGGCAATCCTCTTCTTGGGCTGGCCAACACCCAAAGGAGGAGAACACAGACACGCAATCACAACCTCCAGTCGCTCCACAGCCTGAGGTTCCCTGCATCCAGGGAGGATGCTGTGAGCACAGAGAAGTGGGAGATGAAGGTGTAAATGGGGTGGAACCTGGATAGAACCCCACATGAATGAATGGATGAAATTCAATAAGGAAAAATGCAAACTACACCCCTTAGGAAGGAACAATCAGTTGCACACACATAAAATGGGAAATGACTGCCTAGGAAGGAGTACTGCGGAAAGGGGTCTGGGGGTCATAGTTGATCACAAGGTAAATATGAGTCAACAGTGTAACGTTGTTGCAAAAAAAGCAAACGTCATTCTGGGATGTATTAGCAGGAGTGTTGCAAGCAAGACACAAGAAGTGATTCTTCTGCTCTCCTCCCCGCTGATTAGGCCTCAACTGGAGTATTGTGTCCAGTTCTGGATGCCACATTTCAGGAAAGATGTGGATGAAGTGGAGAAAGTCCAGAGAAGAGCAACAAAAATGATTAAAGGTCTAGAAAACATGACCTCTGAGGGAAGATTGAAAAAAATTTGGTTTGTTCAGTCTGGAGAAGAGAGGACTGAGAGGGGACATGAGAACAGCTTTTACGTACATAAAAGGTTGTTACAAGAAGGAGGGAGAAAAATTGTTCTCATTAACCTCTGAGGACAGGACAAGAACCAATGGGCTTAAATTGCAGCAAGGGAGGTTTAGGTTGGACATTAGGGAAAACTACCTAACTGTCAGGGTGGTTAAGCACTGGAATAAATTGCCTAGGGAGGTTGTGGAATCTCCATCATTGGGGATTTTTAAGAGCAGGTTAGACAAACACCTGTCAGGGATGGTCTAGATAATACACAGTCCTGCCTTGAGTGCAGGGGACTGGACTAGACGACCTCTCGAGGTCCCTTCCAGTTCTACACTTCAATGATTCTATGTGTTACTTAGCACAGGGCCCTGGAAAACGTACTGCTTAGGGCCAGCCCACATATCGGAGCTGTTTACCTTTAAAGGTAGGGGGGAGGTAAAGAGAGTGCAAACAACACAGGTGAGCAGTCTAGTCTCTGAGAGGGCACTAGCCGGGCTCCTGGCTGGGAACACAGGCTCTGCCTCAGTTTACATAAGGGGGTCTTCTGTGTTTTATATATGCAGCATGATGTGGGAGAGAATCAGAACCAGCAGCTTTGCTCCCTGGGCTTGGAGGTTGGAAGAGAAACCCAACTTGCATCAGCCCTGTTATCCGTCCATCCACCCACCTGGTTCCCATCACCACTGTATCTGATGAGGCGTATCAGTGATGCTCAGACTATGGCCTAAGAAAGGACCACTGCTGGTCTGCAGAGACCTCTCTCGTGGCTGGCAGGACCATGAGAGCAGACAGAACTCTGCACGGCCGGTGTGGGACTGGGACCAGAAGGGGTCCACAGGGGAATGGTTTCCGAAGTGGTGTGCAAAATGCAATGTGCGAGAACCTCTCTGGCGGGTGACAATGGCGAGAGCTGCAGGCACATTGTCCTGTCTCCCGCTGGGAAGCTGCGCTCCAACACCAGTCTCGGTCTCGTGACAATGGGGAGTCACCCAGCCCACACCTCCTGGATTCCTGGAAAAGGAAAAAGGCCAGTGGGGTCCATGTGCAGGATGGGCAGAGATGTCGCAGATATGGGTGTAGCTGCTGTTAGTTTACCGCCACCGTATTGAACGTGCTCCTACTGGGACACACCAGCAGCACAATCCCACACGGGACGAAAAATAGGGTCAGTCCCCATACGTCCGCGAAGGGCCAAACATCCTTATGATTCCTGGGTCCTTGCACACCCATTGCACACAGACAGGGAAAGGCAAACCAACAAAGGGGGGAAACCAGGCGCTGGACACACACATGGGTAGGGCTGCCAGTGTGCGACTGGTGCCCAGAACATATGATGCATCCTACCAGCTCCATGGTCCACGTACTGAGCTATATGTGACCCCTCACCGCCTCCTTATGGCTGATCATGTGTTGCAGCAGCATCCAGCAGTGCCACGTTCAGCATTTCAGGCCACTCGTAGGGGTGGGAAGAACCTACAATTTAACTGAGATTTGTTTAACTTCAGCTAAGATTCATGCTCCTGGGATCTGGTCAATGCTTGGGTAAGGTTTTATTCCAGCCCAATCAGTTTGCAAGTCATTATAGCTTCTTTTAGGGGCTCCCCTCTCTCCACAAATATAAGAGGGTGAATTCCTCAGATCAGCATTGGAAGTTCAGCATATTAGCCGAGGAGAACACGCACACTTCACTGAATAGGACCCCAAGTCCTCAGTTACTCCATTCCTGTGCTGGGCACAGGATGGGGGAGGGGGGCAGAACTGAAGGGGGAATGGCAGGGGGACCGTCCCAGATCGCACCCAGTTGTGCCCAGAGTGGTCTTTTAAAATTATTTTAAAACAGCTAATAAAGATAACAAAGAAAAGAACAGTAACTAAGCCGAAGTAGAGAACCATTATCAGATTATACAATAAAGTAAGTCCAAGCTTTTTCACGGGTGAGGGCAAAGAAGAATATAACAAATACAATTATTAACTGGTAAAGAGATTTGCCCACCCAAATCATGTGATAATGGTCATTTTGTTATGCCCTGGTTTGGGGTTCTCTGAGATCATGAAACTAGTCTTCAGTTCTATACCCGCCAGTGTATCTTCAGGGTCCATTTCTGTCCTCTTTGAGGCCCCGTTATTCTGCCCGAGCAGCTCACAGGGGCCAGAGTGTAACTGACAATTCCTAGATTCCAAGGCAGATGGGACCATTGTGATCAGCTAGTCTGACCTCCTGCGTAACACATGCCAGAGAATGGCCCCCAGATTATTCCAGGAGCAGATATTTTAGAGAAACATCCAACTGTGATTTTAAAATTGCCAGTGATGGAGAATCCACTGCGACCCTGGGTAAATTGTTCCAGTGGTTAATTACTCTCGCGGTTAAAAACGTTACACCTTATTTCCAGTCTGAATCCAGTGCTAGGCCAGGAATTAAATAAAAAAAAAATTATTATTTGATTTGGTCTTGAAATTCCCAAAATTCTGTTTTTTTGGAGTTGTTAAAACAAGGGGAGGGTTTAAAAAATTGCTCGAACTAATCATTGTTTCAGTGTGATTTTATCTGGCTGATTGACCAGTTAATGAATTACTAGTTTCATTTGCCTCGGGGAGGGGACAAACTGCTTAGCTGGGACTGGAAAAATCCAGCAAAGGACCCTGCAGAACTGGGTTTCCATCACTGCTTCCTTCATACTCCCAGGTAGCCAGGGTCAGTACCAGGGTGGGTTTTAACTATCAGGACAAAGATGTAAAATGGACTCTGCATTCAGTGGGGAGCCACTGCAGAGAGTCCCTAAGCAGTGTGCTCACAGTGGCTTGTGTTGCTAAGCGGATGGGCTGCAGCTGTCAGGAGGAGCAAACTACTATGAAAAATGCAAAACAGGGGTCAAAAAGGAGGAATAATGATTGAGCAGGGGGGTGAATAAAGGGTGAGGCCATCCTCTGCCCTGCGGAGCTCCTGCTGCTAACACAGAGCGCATTGCTGGAGTGACACTCCCCGGGCGTGCCAGGATGGCTGAATGTTCACTGCCAAAGAGGAACAAGGAAGAGATTTTTCTTTTATTCATTTCCCTGCTACTGTTGTTTGGAAGGGCTGGGCCCAGGAAGGAGGCAGAGAGCTAATGACTAGGGGGGGTGAAATTCATTCCTCTCTGGGGGGTTCGCACTAGGCCTACTTATATTTTAAGTTGCCCTTAAGCCCTATGCGGTGCTTAGCATTCACTGCACATTGCCTTGGGTTGCAAAGACCTTTCTCTCTGTTCCAGAGGATGGTTGAGGGAGGCACATTGGCAGGACAGTGTGGGAAAGCTCTCACCGATGCAGTCCTCGCTCCAGCTGAGTGGTAGACAGAAGACTTTCATCTCCAGGCCCATCAGCCCACCACCTGCCAGATAACGACTCATTCTGGAAACAGACAGAGAAACATCCCGATCCACCCCGGGGGCTGGTGGGAGCCACGGAAACAACTGCCCAGATCTTACAGCCAAGAATTTATTCCAGAGAACGAAAGTGAAGGCAGCAGGGCTGGGGACACGTCCTGGGAGGGAGGTTAGCCTCTCTGGTCCCTGATGGGTGACCCGTTCCATTTCTCTGGGTCCAGGGTCAATACAACCCAAAACATAAACATAACTTGGAAAAAACAATTCCTTTTACCCTGGGCTCGCAGGATTCGCCTGCACCTGGACAGCCAACAATGCAGCAGCAGTCAGAGCCTCCACTCGCTGTTCGCCCACAAGATCCCAATATTATTGATTATATGACAGCAAGGCCTAGTGGCTGCGACTGAGATATGGTGCTAGGATGTACATATATATAGTCAGAGACAGCCCCAAGAGCTTGCAATTCAAATCATTGGCTCCTTTCATACAGGAAGAGAGGACGGAGAGGGGTAATCTCCAGACTTGACATTTTTCATCTTCACTGGGACCTTTAAAGGGCATTCACCTCTTTTTTGAATTCTTACTGACTATGGAATCTCCCAAGGGCTTTGGCCTTTGAGAACCAGAGTCCAGGAGGGTTATGGCATAAGAAAGCCTGAGGTCTCAGCATGCAGAAGAGAGATTTCTTCTCCTGGGGTTAAACCTGTATCTTCCGGTTTCCACTCCGGAGTTGAGGAGCACAGGTAGCCGCAGCCGCGTGGTCCCCTTTCGTGTCGTGGGCCTTGTCCCGCTCACTGTGGTACCCAGACACGAAGCCGGCGGTTCCTTGGGGGCCAGCAGAGTCACTGCTCACTTTTCTCGGACTCCTTTCCAGAGGACATTGAACTCGGTGCATGTGAACTTCATTTTTAGCTCTTGCTCAAGCTGCGGGGAAAAGCATGGGGATGAAACCCACATAGCATGAGGATAGTGCTAAAACAGTGCCCCCGTGTCCCAACCCCGCTCTGTGGCAGCAGCACTGGGCAGGAGAGGCGGGAAAATCCCCCCCAGCAGCCTCTGACCCTGTCCCTGGCAGAAGCCGTGGGAAGCGGGAAGCCCCCCCGTCCCCCTGCCCACACCCAGCATGCCCCAACCCTTTCCCCAGCAGAAGCCATGGGGCAGCAGGGAAAGCCCCTGCACCCAACCCCACTCTGTGGCAGAAGCACTGGGCAGGCGGGGCTGGAGAAGCCTGAGCGCCCTGACCCTGGTCCCCTACAGAAGCTGGGGGGGCAGGGGAGGAAGCCTCAGCACCCGGAGCCCTGCTGTGGCCCCAGGACTGGAGGAGCTCTCATTCCCCACTGCGCCCCAGGGCCATGGTGCAGGGACAGAGCTTCTCCAGTCGTGGGGCTGCAGTGGGGTGTGGGGGAGGAGAAAGGAGCAAAAGGGGTTGCGGGGCTGCAGTGGGGGAGGCAGCGTGGGGGGGACCCTGGGTGGAACAAGGGTGAGCCCTGGGGAAGGGGCGGAAAGGGGTGGGGCTGTGGGCAGGGCCGCAGGCAGAAGGGGTGGGGAGGGGTTCCCCACTTGCTCTGGCCCAGGATCCCAGGAAACCTTAATCCTCCTCTGGACCATGGACTGCATCTTTTTACAGTGCTAGCGGCTATTCAGCCCCAACTCTTCAACCTTTGCTTTTAAAGGCAAACCCCTTGGCGGCCTACTTCATACGCTGCGTTGACATTCTGTGTTAGAGATGTCAGGTTTCACAAATCTCACCTTGGACAAAACCAGACGCCTAACCTGGGGCTCCCTGAGGTTCAGGTGAGTGGTGAGTCCCACCGATAGGACGATGTGAGCACCAGCTAGGAATGGAGAGAGCAAATTATTATTAGGTTACCAAGAATTTCCATCCCAGTAGTATATAGACTCCCCCACCAAGATCAGAGCCCCATAGCGCTAGGTGCTGTACATACTTATTGAATGAGAAGGAGCCTGCCCCAAATCTAAATAGACAAGAGCATTGTACAGATGGGGAACTGAGGCACAGAGAGACTCAGGGTCTGTCTACACTGCAATTAGACACCCACAGCTGGCCCGTGCCAGCTGACTCGGGCTCCTGGGGCTCAGGCTAAGGGGCTGTTTAACTGCAGTGTAGACAGGCTTGGGCTGCAGCCTGAGCTCTGGGACCCTCCCACCTCATGGGGTCCTAGAGCCTGGGCTCCAGCCGGAGTCCGAATGTCTCCACCGCAATTAACAACCACTTAGCCCGAGTCAGCTGGCCCGGGCTGGCTGCGGGTGTCTAACTGCAGACCCTGCAGACCCTGCATACCTCGCCCAAGGGAACACAGGGAGTCTGCAGCACAGCCGGGAATTGAAGCCAGCCCGATGCCTTATCACAAGATCACCCTTCCTCTCCTTTCTAATCCCTAAACCAACCCTTTGGGCCACTGTTCCCTCTAAGCTGTGGGCGTGTGCACGCCCACACAGACCCTAAACCCCACGCACACGGCGAAACACCGTGTGCTCAAAAATTTTCCCAGAAGCACAAAAATGTGTACAGAAGAAATTTTTTGCGCACACGGCCTGCCAAAAATTAGAGGGAATATTGCTTTGGGCCAGCTCTGCCCTCGATTCACAGGCTCTGTGTGTCACTGTCTATCGCATCCAGGCAGCGGGTGAGGACTCCGGGGACTCCTGGACCAACCCCTCATAAGCCATTGTACCGGAACGCCCTTCCGGCTCCCAAAGACAGGCCGGAACAGCAAGCTGGACATTCAGCTCGAGACCTGGCCCATGGTCCTTGGCCAGGAATCCCCGGAGACCCCGGCTGGAGAACAGACCTCCTTGTGCACAGAAAGCAAGAGACAAGGTCTCTCAATTTATGGCACAGCTGATCTGGGGGAGGGGGATTAAAAACTACAAACTACAAAGGCACCTGTGGAACGTCGGGCTTGTCAGGGGTGCAGCACTCGCTGCCAGACCTCCCATAGCTGAGGGGAGAGGAATCAGCAGGGGGCAGGGCTGGTGGGCCTGCGGCTGCCCAGATCCACTAGCCATTCAAGAGCAGAGGCTCCGAGGATGCCGCAGTTGCCATGGCGTGGCCTGGCAAGAGGATCCCTTTCTCTCGGTTGCCAGCACACAGCCCGGCCACTCAAGCAGGGATGAGGACTTGCCCCCAGCAGTTACAGCCCTTACTTGCGTTGGCAGCTGGAGGGTGGCAGGTGGGCAGCGCTGTTTTCTGCTCTTCCGTCATGACACCTGGGACCCAGGGCAGGGCCGTGGAGTTAGGCCTAGCGGCGGATTCCGTGGCTGTTTAAAAGAAAGCTGCCATCAGTGCTGTCTGCAGAGACATGCAGATACTGCGCTGGATGCAATGGAGGGGAGCCCAGCTCCGAAAAGCCAAGCATTTTCCTTCTTCTGTAAGTCCTGTCTCTGAGGAAAGAACCAGCATAAACCTGCCACTTCTTCCTCGGCTTCTGATACCTCCACCTCTGAGTTTCCCCTCTCCACAACAGAGCTTGTCTACATGCAATTATTCCTGCTTAAATCTATGGGTGGGTGCTCTTATTCCAGAATAATAATGCCTTCTTTGCAAGTGGATTCAGCTACTTGGGAATAAGACACTCTGATTCTGGAATGAGAGCACACAGGGAATTAAGCAGGCATAGTTAATCTGCTTTAATTTATACCCTAGTTTATTCTGTATTCATTTTCATGTGTAGACAAACCCACATATAGACAATGTGTTTTTCAGGGTTATAATCTGTGCTGGAATGTAATAAACTATAGCTGAAATGTAGCACACTTGTAAAGTTAGTGGTGTGCCCCTCCTCACCCCACACAGTGGCTGGTTCACCTAGAGGATAACAACCTACTACTCCTGCCAGCTAATGGACTTATTCCTTTACCTCAAGTGGACAGTTCAGAGTTCAAACCCTGCTGATGACCGGTGGTGGAGGAGTGTTACACACACCTTCCATCTCTCAAACCATATTAGTAATCAAATAATAAAGGTCAGAGAAATTGACAAAACTCTGTACAGAGAACCCAAGCCCAGATGGGGTACACACATCCATCTGGCTATATACTCTAGGGGAGTCTTTATTTATTAGAACTTGTAGGATGATGATTTTTCAGAACACAAATGAATTCCCAGATTCCTCCCTTGCCTCTCCGACATCATCCCCCATGCCACTGGGTTCCCATTTCACATGTTCTGCCATTCCCGGCGTGGAAGCATTTATCCACAGCACAACATGTCCTTGTTTGGGTTCTCCCAAGCCCTCACCTAGCACATGAATGTGCCCCCTTGTGATTGGTGGCTAACAAGGCCCTGCAGTGGTTACCTGTCCAATGCTTGGTTTGCTTTTTTGCAGCACGCCGGCTTTTTGGAAATCATGCACCCAGGCAAACACTCCAGATACCTTCTGTACCTCTTCCCGTGCCAGCCGCACCAAGCTAGCTCAGCTCCACGGGACTAGGCGAGGAGGGTGAAATTCACTCCTCTGCAGAGGTCCGGCACAGGGCTCCTGAACCTCATAAAGCTCACTAAGATCTATTGAAAAGCCCTAAGCGGCACCTAGGCCAGGTCACGGCCCTTCTGCCCAAGGATGAAGTTCGTCCTGCAGGAATACAGGGGAATATTTACACTCATTCCATACCGAAGGCCCTTTGTTGTGCGAGCAGCAGGAGCGGGGGTGGCGGGGGACTGGGGTGGAGTTGTCCTGTGTGCTGCTATTGCCTGGCGGGATGAGCGCCGCGCCCGGCTGTGAGCTGGGGGCCAGGGCTCGGAATGGCTTGTGCGGCTGTCTGAAAAACAGACTCCCGTTGGTGCTGGCTACAGAGAAACCCATATTCCATCCGCTCGGTACCAAGGGGAAAGCACAAACCCATCCTGCTATGCCAGCTCAGGAAATCCCAGCCACCCCTGACGCCCGTGGTCACGGGGAAGCTGGTATAAACGCTGAGTGCTGCGTTCCAGAGGCTGCGCAAGCTGCACTCAGGGCCCAACCTCGGGCCGAAGGCGGCCGTTGGTGTGGCCCATTTGTAACGCCTGATCTCCCCCGGAGCAGGATTGCGTTATTACCTTCTGTGGGGCTGACGCAATTGGGTCTTTCCTGCGTAGACCCAGCCGCGCCACGTTCCAATGACATTGAAACCCTGCCATCCTGATATTCAAATACCCATTACTTCAAACCTGGTTCCCTCCCGGCCCAGTCCCGACACTGCCTCTTGCTCCATCCTTGCCTCCCTCTCCCAGACGGCTGGCCATGCATCTCGGCACAGCACCTCCCTTACTTCTGGAAGCTGCACCCCTTACTTGGAGCTGCACTGAAGTTCTGAGTGGCGGGAGTGGTACCCGGGGGCACCTTGCTGCTCGGTGCGGCCGCAGTGGGGCTAGCTGTAGCTGGGAATTTAACCGTCGTGCTTCCAGCTGGGACGGCGGTAGCACGGACTGTTCGGGGAACCTCTCTTCTTGCCGTGGAGCTGCCGGCCGTTGCGGCATTGGCTGTTCTGTCGGTGGTGAGTGTCTCTTTCACGGTGCCTGTTGGAGTTCCCCTTTCTGCTGCCGCGGTGTGAGGACCTGGGGCTGTGCTCTCGCTCGTTGCAGTACGCGACACGCCAGTGGGGCTGTTGGCCGCCGGAGTGGTTTCTGTGCTGGAGCCCACGCTTGATGCTGTTTCCGTCGTGGACGCGGTGACAGACGTTGGTGCGGTGATCTCAGCAGCCCTGGTACTCACCCTCAGTGAAGGGCTGGTTTCTGTCGCTGTGGGGATAGCCCCTTGAGTTGTGGTTGTGTCTGGCATGGCGACCACAGAGGCTGTTGTGAGTGTCTCTCCTCCTGCAGTTGTCTCACGGTGTGTGGTGGTTGTCGGATCTGCTGGGGAGGTTTCTCCTGCGCTGGTCAGAGTTGCCATGGGTGTCATGTCATCTGGCGTGGGGACAGCCTTGGTTGCTGTGGTCAGGGTCGCTGTCTTTGCGGTTCCACCGGGCTGGCTGATGGCAGCATTGGCTCTGGCCATCTCTGCTGCCAAGCTGGTGGTCGGTAAAGCTGGGGTTGCATTTGGTGTGGATTCCACTACCGGTGTAGTTAGCACCCGTGGGGGGGTATCCTGTGCGGTTGTGTTTGTCCCTGCTGCCGTAGACCTAGATGCAGCTGCTGTAGAGAAGGGATAGGCTGTGCTTGTCATTGCTCCGGGAGTGGGATCCGTTCTTGGTCCGGTTGTGTTCCCCATCGCGAGGGTGACCATTGTGGTGGTTTCTGCGGCTGGGGTGGTGGCCGCACCAGCAGGGGTTCCAGCCGGTGGGAGGGCAAAATGGACACGTGTCTCTGCGGCTGCACTGGGGATTTCAGCTGTCACAGAACTGAGTGGGGCTGCCGTGAGTCTCTCGTCTGTCGCCGTGCTGCCTGCTAAGGTGGTTTCAGATGGTGTGAGGGCAGCCTGGGCTGCTGGGCTGGCCTCTGCTGCAGGGCTGGTGGCTTCGGCGGCTGTGCTTGGACCATGCTGGCTAGAGACAGTCGCTGCTCCAGTGGCCGAAGCTGCTGCCATGGTGGCCGGTAGAGCTGGGGTCTCACTTGGCGCTGGGGTAGCAGGGTCTGTTGGGGAGGGTGCTGGAGCTTCTGGGTCTGTTCCTGTGATCCCCGCCGCTGTAAATAGATGTGAACAGTCAACGGGGCAAGACTCTCGCTCTCCCAGTAATGACTGAAATCACCTCCACAGCGAGCCCGGCAGCCCGCGCGCTCCCTTTTATTGTCATCCTCCAGTAGAACGCAGCTCTGCTGAGTGACTAACAGGCTGCAAACCTCCCAGCCTTGGGAAGTTCCCCAGATGGCCAACAATCGGCCTGCTGCTTTTCCCGCACAGCCCAACGACCTCACCGCCTCTGGGGTGGGTTCCATGTTATCTCAGGTGCCCAACTTCCTCACGCTCTGGGATTCGGGGGGCACCAGCCCCAGCCTTCCCGCTTGCTGGTGGTAGCTGGGCAGGTCCCCCCTCAGGAGCGCCCAGAACGTTTCTGGAGCTCACACAGCCACCCACCACTATGTCGTCAGTGTTGTGTCCGCTTTGTTACTGTGTCACTTCCTTACGTCCCCAAACTTGCCTGCCTGATACTTCCTCCTCCTCAGACACCTCACACCACTGAGCCAGCGCTAGGCACCCGCAACAGGCAGCCAGCAAAGAAAGGCAAAGTGCGGCCCAGGAGACTTCCACCTCTGGCTGGTCGTAGCAGCGCGGGTGGCCGCGGAGTGACACCGTACTCGGGGGACTTATTTTCAATGCTGCATTTTTATGATCAGCACCTGTGTTCTCAGCCAGGACCAGTCCTCAGTAATTTAGACCCTGGTGACAGGGACTCAATTCACTTCAGAGGCTGTTTTGGGGGGGAAAACCCATTGTGCTGGCTGCAGAGAAACACAGGGCTGGCTTCTGTGTAAAGAGGGGAGGACACGGCCGGCCCCTGTGGGAATCCCAGCTCCGTTTTGCATTCCTAGAAGGACCTAGAAACTGATATCACAGGCAGTTTTTAATCAAAGGCTGCTCTCCCCAAGGTCTGCTGCCTGGTTCACCAAGATACACAGACTGGGAAACAAATAAATACATAAACTGGGGCTACATCTAGGGTGTCACGTCAGCCAACAGAAGGAGCCCTTTGACCTCTTACTCCCCCGACCCCTCCCTGTGCCTCAGTTTCCCCATCTGTAAAATGGGGGTCGTGATACTGACCTTCTTTGTAAAGTACAAAAGTTGCTATGTGTTATTATCATGATGAATTCAAGAAACTGGGCCGGCTTTGCCTCTCACTGTTATACCAGTGTTAATCAGGAGTGACTCCATTAAGGTCGGTGGACCTGTGCTGGTGCCAAAGCTGTGCGCCCGAGCAGAGACTCAGCCCCGCTGGTTTTAATTAACAAAAATAACCACAATGACAGCTCTTCCTTCCTCCTCGCTGTGACGGGCTCCCTCAGAGCATGCCGCAGACGAGCGAGCTCCTGTTTAAACAATCCCTTCAGCACAGAAACAGAAAGGAAACGGAGGGGGAATTCGGCTTTCATAGCCACAAGGATGGATCTCGGCTCTGATGTTCTACCCTCGTAAGCCTAGGTCGGATCGCATGTCCCAGGTGTAACATCACAAATTGCAGTGGAGTTACTCCGGATTTACCCTGGGGAGATCAGAATCGGCCCCTGCACTGGTGCAGAATTCCCTGAAGGGGATGGCTGTGGGATACATGTAGAGGGAGTAACATCTATGGAAGCAGACAGAAAGATTGATGGTGTTGTAGGGCCCCTGTGGTGAAGGCCTTTATTCTAATATTCCAGTGCAAGGCGAGTGATATTCCAGACACTCGGAGTCCTGGATCCTGGCCTAGCCTCTCTGTTTTCTATCCCACCCTAGCTTCTCTCGTGGTTAATTACATGTTGCCTCCTTCAGCTTGTGTGAAGGAAACAGTAAAAGCCAATTTCTCAAAGAACAAGCAAACAAAAAGGCAGCATCTTGTCTCTAGAGTGGTGCATTAGAGATCAGGGCAGAAAACAACCCCTCTGGAATGTGCAGAATTAATGTGCTCACTGAACACTGCAATACAAATTGGTCAATATCGTAACCACCCTCTTCCCCCCTGCCCTACTGAGATAAAACAGGTAACACAGACTTAGCCCTTACCAGCAGTGTTCGCTTGCAGGATCCACCCAGAGTGCAGCAGAAAGCCCAAGAGCAAAACCAGCCCCCATGAACCTTGCCAGCCCATCTTAGCACATCTGCGGCGTGCCCTGCCTGCATGGGCTAGGAACAGGAGTCTGCTCTGTGCTGGTAGTCGCCTACTGGGAGCCCTCACCCTCTGTTTGCTTTAGCAACATGGTTTCCTGGTTCGCTTCACTTGGAGGTGGAGTGTTCAGGTGTTTTTTTTCCGGGCACCTGACCCTGACAGCGACTTGCTTTTTCATGAGCCAGGTCATGCCCTGTCACCAGATGCAAATTCTGCGCAAATGAGGGAACGGCGAGGTTAGATTCACCTGTGCCCATAGGTGCTAGGACCAGTGGTGCTGGGGGTGCAGCCGCACCCCCTGGTTTGAAGTGGTTTCCATCATATGCAGGGGTTACAGTTTGGTTCAATGGTGCTCAGCATCCCCACTATACAAATTGTTCCAGAGCCCCCGCCTGTGCCCTGTCCCTTTAAGGACTGAAGGTCGGCTGAGGGGGGCTTGTAGTGCTTTGAAAGGACACACAGCAGGACAGGACAGCAATGGGGTTTTTTGGTTACTAAGTTTAATCAAACGCCAGGCTTAAAACCATCCCTGCTCTGGGTGGAGCACCAACACCCCGCGCAGGGCCATCCTGAGCCACCCCCCCAGGCAAATTTCCTTTACAAAGGACTGAATGAAGAGGGGGAGGAGTGAGAGCCCTGCTCCATGCAGCACTAACGAGCCCTGGGGTGCATTTCTGGACACATCAGTATCCCAGTATGTGCCCAGCGTGGCCAGTTACGAGTGACTGCAGCAGCAGTGTGGGAGCCAGGAGACCTGGGTGCTCACCCCAATTCTGCTACCAAGGCCAGGTCTATGCTAGACACTACTGCTGGTCTAATAATGTCCGGAATCTGGTATTTTGGTGACTTTTTTTATATTGGCAAAAGCCCAATAGGGCTTATTTTGCTGTGTATGCTACAGCAGCTCAAGCACTTTTGTGGGTGTATAAAAGCTGTGTCCGCACTAGAAAGCTTTGCTGGTCCTTTTGTGACGTAGACAAGACAGCTCGCTGGGTGACCTCAGGCCTCAGTTTCCCCCTCTTTAGAATGTCTTGAGCTCCTCAGGAGGGCTGGTTGAAAATTTTAGGTCAAGTCTTTTCTTCTCTGGAAAATTGGGTCTTTGACTCCACACAAATTTTCCCAGCCCGGATCAGTGTTCCTCGACACTGGGACACTGAAACACATTGGCAGTTTTCAGCTGGGAATTATTTGGTTTTCAAAGGGTTTGGCTGAATATTTTCGGTTTGGGGCAGTTTTCGGCTGAATATTTTCCATGCTCAGTTGCCAAAAAATCCCCACAGGTTTGGTTTTCAAGTATTTTTCGACAAAAAAGTTTGAAAAATTCCACAGGGAATACAAACAAACACACCCACACACGCCATATTTTCTGACCAGCTCTTGTCCTTGGATAAAAGGAGCGACGTTCATGCAAAATATTAGAGGGAGTGCAGAGAAACTCATCAAAGGAACTGAAGGGACCAACTTATGGGGAAAGATTAGATCTGAGACCATGCCTCTACCACAGTCTTCTGGCAGCACAGCTATGTTGGGGTGATCTCCACCCCGAAAGCTGTGCCAGCAGAAGTGCCTGGTGTAGACGCACCTACCCTGGCAAACCTCTGCTTTCACTGGTCTAGCTGGTTTCACTTGGAGGGGGGTGGGGTGGAATAAGCGATGCCAGCAGAAATGCAGCTTTGCTGCTATAAGCCGCATCCACACTGGGGTACTTTGGTGGTACGGTATGCTGATATAGCCATGCCAGCAAAACCTGGCTAGTGTGGACGTGGCTTGAGCCTGGACAAGCACTGAAGGGAGTTGATGAGACTCAGGTACTTTGCGAAGACCCACCCGAAAAGATTGTGCTGTTGGCTGACGGTTAAAGGGGAGGCGACCCGAGAGCCACCTTCCTGTGTCTGCAGGGGCTAAACAGCCGGGAGAGAGCGGTGGGATAAAGCCGGGTGATGGAAGCCTGTGGTTGAACATCGTGTAGATTTCCAAGATGGGAGAGCCAGCGAAGAGGGGGAGATGCCCTGGTTAGCCAGGACAAAGCAGGGAAGAGGCCTGCGCTGAGCAGGGCAAGGGGGGGGTGGGGGCTTATTAAATAATTTGTGCTGTTTCCATCTCGACTGTCTTTTTAAAAGGGGACATGGAGGAGTATGAGAGCCCCGGACAAAGTGCATGTGTGACACTGGCTTGGTACCCTTTATTCCAGTCACTTCATTACCCAGCCCTAGGGCAATGCCTCTGACAGATGCTGCAGGCAGCTGTGGCTTCTCCACTCACAGGGGTCGAGATCCTCAGCTGGCGTCACTCAGCACGGCGGCAGTGAAGTCAACGTTACTCCGATCTCCGCCAGCTGAGGATCTGGCCCCGCGTTTGCCCTCTGTTTCCGTGTGAGTCATTGATCAGGCTGCCGCAAACACCCACGTCAACGTTACAAAGCTGCCAGTAACGGCTTGTCGCTTCGCCGAAGGTATTAGCAGAAGCCGCCTTACAGCACCACCTCCACACCCCACCCCAGCTCTCCCCTGCCCGGCCCTGCCTTGCTCCCTTCCCCCCCACACCCGCAAGCAGGGCAGTCCTTATTCCGCACCCTAAAGGGGAGCTCAGCTTCCTGCCCCACGGCGGGCGCCGAGCCCCGGGGAACCCGGCCCCGAGTGCGGGCGCCGAGCCCGGGGGAAGCCGGCCCCGAGTGCGGGTGCTGAGCCCGGGGAAGCCGGTGCTCAGATCTTTTGGGGACCTGTCCCCCGGGGCTCTTTCTGGGGTGCTCCATGAGTGCGGAAGCTGCAGGGCACTGCTCGCAAAGCCGGCGGCAGCCTGTAGCCAACCAGTGAGCCCAGCCTGGGGACTTTCCCCCCAGGTGTTTACAGACATCACTTCCCCACTGCCCCTCATGACTGAAAGCTGTTGTTACAGCGAGAGCTGTTCCTTGCACAAGTTCCTCATTCCCACAGCTGATGACAATCGGCACTACACACGGCATCTCCCTGGGCTGCTAGCACCACTTTCATGCTTCTGGCCCTCAGGCAATCTGCAGCCACCGCTCCACACCTACCGAGGGTTTTCCCCCCCTCTATTTCCTCTTTCTCCTATTCAGACCCTGTAACACACAAAGTGAGATGCATTTGACACTCAGCCCATCAAGGTCATTGGTGGAGGTCACACAGAACCAAAGTGTCTGAATTGCCGGGACATTTGGGTCTGGAAGCTGCTCCTCGCTTTGTGGCTGACCCGTGGCTACTGAATGGACTGAAAAGCCAATTTCCCACCATTCTGGAACTTTGGGGAATGTTCAGAACCTGCTGCAATTCAGATGGGGAAACCGAGGCACAAAGCAGCGAAGTGACTCGCCCAAGGTCATGCAGTGAGTCAGTAACAGACCTGGGAATAGAACCCAGGAGTCCTGTCCTCCACTTTACTGCTCTAGCCCATGGAAAACAACCTTCCCTCCTTTTAAGGCCTCTCAGGTTCCTCATTGTAAGCACAAAATAATAGGTACCCATAACAAAGAGCTGTGTTTATGTTTGCGTGTATCCAGGGCATAAGGTACGGCCCTTGGACAGGACAGATCTTCTCACTCCTTAAGAATTCTTCCTCGTGATGGTCACACCCTTCATGGCATTTCTAAAGCAGTGTCTGGCCCTGGCTCTGTCACCAAAGTGGGCCAGTATCAGTCTCTTTAATGTACAGCTAAGGAAACTGAGGCAGGAAGCAGTTGAGGGCAGCATTTTCAAGTGGCCTCAGATTTTGGGATCTTATTTTTTAGGGTGTCCCTCCTCGGGTGTGACTGTCAGAGGTGCTGAGTGCCCTCAGCTCCCAATAGAAGGTCAGGGGGACTGGGGCGGGTGCTCAGCCCCTCTGCAGATCAGGACCAAGATGTCATAAGGCGGTTACCAAAAACGGAGGCTCTCCAAATCAATGGCCGCTTAGGATCAAATTGTCCTGTGGATTTGCTCGGGGTCACACAGCAAGTAGGACCCAGACCGCCTGCAACCACACCTGCCATCCTGTTTGTATCAGTTGCAACGGAAAGAAGAATCATAAGCACCTGGAGTTGGACTTGTTCTCTGGATGCTGGAGTTTGGTACAGACTTGGGCCCCAGCCAGGAAGAAGAGAGTAGCACGGTCCAGAGAAATGAGAACCGACCGGGATGAGGAGCTGCAGTTCCTCTGTCTGCCCTCAGAGCGTCTCTCTCACTCTTCCTTTCACTCTCCCAGCTCTTTCTCGGAGTTAGCCGTCTGATTTCTCAGAAGGGAGCGGTAATTTGGGGATGCCTTCATTTTCTGGGTGGTCAACCAAGGGCAGCCTGGTTTTCTGAACCTTCTCCCTTTCAGATGTCCCAAGTTGGGCCCCCACAAACGGATGCACCAAAATCACTAGTTCTGTTAATCTGCGGCCAAAATAAATGCTCCCTTTTCAGACCCGACAGGCGGGGCCAGGAGACCCAGGGCAAATGAAGCAGCATAGTCCCGTGTTTTCTCTCTGCCCATACCTCCCTGAAATAACCAATGCAACAAAACCCAGACAGGCTGCGTGTTAGCAGCACTGCAAAGGATGGCGTAGGGCTGGCAGAATTCGTTGGGGGAGCAGCCCTTGGCTCCACACTCAGTTCTCTCCTGAGCAACAAAGCCGAGGGCCCTGGGCACAACTTCCTGGGGGAGGTAAGATGCCCCGGCTGTAGCAGACAGGTGGAATAGGGGATGGAGGATGAAGGGGGCTGAGAGTTGCATTTTTGCATTGTTTGGACCAGGTGGAGAGGACTCAGTTTGGTTACTGTGAATCCTGGACTTCAGATTTCTTTACCAGGGGTGGTAGAAAGAGAGAGCCCGAGACATGAGGCCTGCTGTAAGGCTTAAGGTCTGAACTCAAGTCAGGCCCTGCTGAGATAAAGCAAAGTGAGCAAGAGCGTAGGCGCCGACTCCGTGGGGGCTCCAGGGCCGGAGCACCCACAGGGGAAAATAGTGGGTGCTCAGCACCCACCAGCCACCCATTGATCAGCTGTTCGGCGGGGGACAGGAGGCGCTGGGGGAGAGGGCAGAGCGCAGCATGCGGGGGAAGGGAGGCTCCGGCTCTCTCAGCCCCGGTCCCTGGCAGCAGGGCCTCCCTCTCCGCCCTGGCATGTTTCCAGCTCATTGGTCCCCTGGCCCCGGCAGCCGCAGGGAGCAGGCCGCCACTCAGGCAGGCTCTCTCAGGCAGAAGCCGCTCTGTCCCGCTCCCCGCCCGGCAGCCAGGAGTCGGACGAACATGCAGATAGCAGCTCCCTGGACATACACCCCCAGAACGCTGTTTTATTTCTACGCAGCTCTGAAAGCACTCGTTTGACGCTAACCTGATCATAGGGCAGAGTCAAGAGAGCTTTGATCAGTTTTGGTAGATGTGCGGAATGCTTCTCCTGTGAACCGCTTTTGTTCAACACAAACACTTGCCTCCACCACACAATGAACTCAAACAACAGTCTGCCTGAAATGCATTCCCCTCATAGACTTTATGGCCTCAAGGGACCATCATGATCCTCTCCTCTAACCTCCTGCACATCTGCAGGTCACAGAATCTCGTCCACCCACTCCAGCAATAGGCCCAGAACCTCTGGCTGAGTTACTGAAAGGCCTCAAATCTTCATTTAAAGACTGCAAGTTACAGAGAATCCACCCTTTACTCTAGTTCAAACCAGCAAGTGACCCGTGCCCCATGCTGCAGAGGAAGGCAAAAAAAAAACCACCCAGGGTCTCCACCAATCTGACCCGGGGAACCCCAAATAGGACGATCAGTTGACCCTGAGCATATTGGCAAGACTTACTGTCACAGAGTGTGGGGGAGTCCAGGCCCTGCACCCCTCTTCCTGGGATCCACTGAGACTCTCAGCCAGCCAGTAAAACAGAAGGTTTATTGGACAACAGGAACACAGTCCACAACAGAGCTTGTGGGTACAACCAGGACCCCTCAATCACGTCCTTCTGGGGGAGCAGGGAGCTTAGACCCCAGCCCTGGGGTTCCCTGTGTTCCTCTCCCCAGCCCCAAACTGAAAACTAAACCCACCCAGCGGGTTCCCTGCTGCAGTCTCCGTCCACATTCCTGGGCAGAGGTGTTACCTCCCCCTCCCCCTCCTGGCTCAGGTGACAGGCTCTCAGGTCTCCCATCCCCAGGGCACATTCCCAGGTCAACACTCCCCCCTCCCTGCTGAGTCACATCGTCACACTTACCAGGCAGACACCTGAGAAAGAATGCTCTGTAGTAACTCAACACCTTCACCATCTAGTGCCCAGCCATTGGAGATATTTGCTAACAGCAGTTGCAGGTGGGCCATATGCCATTGTAGGCAACCTCATTCTACCATCCTCTCCACTCATGGCAGACCTTCTTTTTTCCTTCTGAGGAGACCAACGTGGGAAACTTCATCTCAGGATGCAGCATCCCTAAATCCCGTACAATTTGGTCCTGCAGTGGAAGCTTCTCCACCAACTTATTGCAGGCTGCAACTTGGAATTTTTTCACCCCACTATGAAACCTTGTCCATGGAAGAGGATCCAGATCAGGGTTGGCTGACAGGGAGATTTTAGTCTTGGTGCTTTCCATCTTCCTTCTGGAGGTTTTGGTCCCTGAAGTCCAGAGAGGAAATATCAGCAGCACTGGTTACTACTGCCTCTAACACCACAGATCTGTTCAGGAGATTCCTGAGAAGACACATGCTCTCCTCCCATTCAAAGGCCCCCCTGGAATCTTCCACCGAAAAGAAGATGCCACTACACCACTCAGGGCATGCTCCTAAAAGAGACCATTTCAGCATCTTTTAAGTAACAAGCAACATGCTGAACTCTGCCTTGCTTCGCCACTTCAGAACTGCTGTTGTAATGTGCGAGAACGGGCTTCCCTTGGATATTGCATCTTTACAGCGGGTTGAAGAGTTAGCCATCTAGTTCCACCATGTTTGACCAGTATCAGTAGTGGAGCTGAGTTGTCCTTGATCATATTCTTCTTTTCCTTGTGCACGTCCATTGAAAAAATAGAAGATACCAACTAACATGCCTTCCATTGGTTTGGGGGTGGCTGTGACAGCAGCTTTAGCAATCAAGTTTCAGAGTAGCAGCCGTGTTAGTCTATATTCGCAAAAAGAACAGGAGAACTAGTGGCACCTTAGAGACGAACCAATTTATCTGAGCATAAGCTTTGGTGAGCTACAGCTCACTTCATCGGATGCATTCAGTGGAAAACTAATCAATTGTCACATTCAAATGATTTCAAAAGTAATGTGAATGTACCTCATCAAGAACATTTTTATTAATTACTGTATAGATGGCATTTCCCTCCTGTTAAGAGCCATCATATTTTTGTAACTAGGGAGGTGTTCTGTTGGAGGGGAAAAGGGAACACACCTGAACATGTGGAGGTTGTGTCCAGAAATGAGAGAGTTTGGGGAGGAAATTATTGAAGAGATTCATTGTGTAACAAAATGCCGGCTTCCTAGAGATTCCCCTGACCTGCTTACTTCATGCTCCACAAAAGGATCTACATTTTAAGTAGAACAACAAAGTAATTTCTTTACTATTGTTAGAGACAAGATAGGTGAGGTAATATTGGACCAACTTCTGTTGGTGAAGAGACAAGCTTTTGAGCTTACAGAGCTGAAGAAGAGCTCGCTGGAACCCAAAAAGTTGTCCCTTTCACCAAGAGAAGTTGGTCCAATAAACGATATTACCCCACTCACCTCGTCTCTCTCTTATCTTGGGACCAACATGGCTACAACAACACTGCAAACAATTTTCTGTTGTTAGCAGCTAGACTTTGAATTGCCATGACTGGAAAAATGGAACTCCACTTTCTACGGAATTGTGGTACCGTGACATATGGACTGTCCTTGTAATGGAAAAGTTTTCACACCATGTCCACGAGAGAAGCACCACAAATAGGTTCGGTATTTAGAAATTTGCTCACCCCTTTTTAATGTACCCAGAGGAAGACGGTTCCACCCTCCTACCCCCCAGCCAGAATCTTTAGCCAGGTTCATTGAATATTAATCCTGAATAAGTAATGTAAGATGTAGTATGGTAACGTTTTTATTATGACTTAGAACTACATAAATATGCAGGAGCCAGAAATGAGGATACAGGCAGGGTTTTTTGTTTTTGTTTTTTTGGGGGGGTGAATCTCAATTAATTGCCCAAATGGTTAACAATCGTTCATTATTCTTTTATTCCTCCTTGTCGCCCCCCTACACTCCCCCCCCCCGCTCCTTCTTGGCTCCCCAGCAGAGGGAAAGAGCCCCAGGGCAGCGGGAGGCAGGAAGTGGGGATGCTGCTGGGACTGGGGCCCCAAATCCCGCTGCTGAGGCAGGCCCATAAGTACAGCAGGCCCGGAGATCCGTGTCCTCTGCCCTGGCAGTCCTGGGCCAAAGCAGGTTTCCATTATATCCAGGGGTTACGCTTTGGCTCAGTGGGGACCGGGGCTTCTCCCCGCCCGGCGCCAAATCGGGATTAGCCCGGGCGAGGGCGGGCAACTCTCACGTGTGCCATGTAACAAGTTACACAAGACAGTGTTGCAGGATTCAATGCTGCCCTTCCGGGTCCCCCCAGCCCCAGAGATCCCCCCCGACCCCGCTCCCACCCTTCCGGGGGGGATCCCACCCTAGAGACCCCCCCAACCCTTCCGGGTCCCCCCAGAAACCCCCCCACCCTTCCGGGCAGCCCCGCCCCAGAGATCCCCCCCACCCTTCCGGGTCCCCCCAGCCCCAGAGACCTCCCCACCCCTCCGGGGGCCCCGCCCTAGAGATCCCTCCACCCTTCCGGGTACCCCCCGCCCTCCCGGGGGGGGCGCCCTAGAGATTCCCCCGATCCTCCCCCCCCTTCCGGGGGTTCCCGCCCCAGAGATCCCTCCACCCTTCCGGGGGGGGGCCGCCCTAGAGATCCCCCCGATCTCCCCCACCCTTCCGGGGGGTCCGCCCCAGAGATGCTGCCCCCTGCCTCGGGCTCCGCCCCAGCGGTCCCCGTCCACACCGTGGTTCTGGGGCCGCCTCCCAGGCTCCGCCCCGCTCGCTCCGCCCCACGTTGTGTAAACGGGCCCGGAGCAGCCGCTGCAGCCGGCCGGGAAGCGGGTCTCCGGGGCCCCGGAGCCGCCGCACAGGTGAGGGGGTGGCGGGCGGGAGCTGTCCCCGGGCAGGCTGCGGGGCAAGGCGGGCTAGAGGGGGGCTCCGGGCTCCCCCGCACGCTCCCTGCCCCACAGGATGCAGGGGAGAGGGTCCCTGCTCCTGCACAGACTCGAGATAGGGGGGGGACCCCCTGCCCCCCCCGCATCTGTCCCTACTGCCCTGTCCTGAGGCTGACCCCAAAGCAGCCCCCGGGCCAGGGCTCGCATGGGCAAATTCAGCCAAGGGGGCGATTCTGGCCCTCTGCCCATCCCAGGCTGCGCTGCTACATCCGTGCCCACGGGCTCCCCAAGCCTCGGGACCTGCAGCAGCCCGCCGTGGGTCTCACTGCCCCAGCCTGGGCGCCCAGACCTGGCAGGGACGGGCACAGTCTAAATCAGTGAGAGTCAGGCAGGACTAAAGTATGAGTGTGAATTGAAAGCAGATTAACTAATCTGGATTAAGGCCCTGGCGGGAGGCTGTTCCAGAGAAAGGGGGGGCAGGAATAGTTCCTCCCTAGCAGCAACTCCGGAATCCCACCCCCGGTACACAAGCTCGGGCCTACCAGTCCCGGCTGCAGCATGGGGTGTGGAGTTTGTTCTAAAGATGAATTTTGTAGCAGGGGCTAGAGCTGCTCCAGTGTCCCCCACCCCAACCGCTCAAAAACCATCAGTTACACCCTCAAAAATGATGAAAGCAATTTAGAAATAATGAGACATGAAAGAAGCACATCGCTGGCGTTCTGGGACTATGCCTGCTGGGGTTGGAGACCCCAGAGCCCATCTTTTCAAGCTTTTCCCTGCAATCACAAAAGCTGGAAACTCCCCCCTTTCTATTAATGCAAGCGGAGAGTCTCCCATAATCACATGACTCCAGAAGCTGGGACTTAAAAACAAACAAACATGCAGACTCCCAGGAGACAGCAAAAAGTCAGGAGTTCTCTGCAGCAGTTGCCAGGTCCCAGCCTGCTGCCTCGGGCCCTCAGGGGCCTTCTGTTGGGCTTGAGCCGGAGTGTAACATGCCACGATCTGTAGTCTCTGCAGCTTTTACACCTATTGCAGTTGAGGGTGGCTGGGGGCCAGGTCTGTCTCTCATCAGGCAAGTTCAAGATATGCAGCAGGGTTTTTTGGTTTTTTTCCACCCATCGAATTTGTGAGCTTTTATGTTCAATGGCGGGGCTGAGCAGCCACCTTTGGAGCTATGCAGGAGGAATCAGACTAGCGGCCGTGTTCCAACACAGAGGTGGCTGCCACTGCACAGTGGGGAACTGATTCTTGCTTTGTACGGTTGATGAAGTGCTTTGGGATCGGAGTCTGTAAGGCGCTATAAGGAAGGTAAGGTATTAGATTCCTGTTGGGGGCACAGAACGCCTACTGGCAACTGCGAATAGCCCCCGAAGGCTTCAGGGAAACATACGAGCGATTGTCTCGACTGAGAAGTTCCAAGGAGAGGCCTACAAAGAGGTGTGTGTTTCTCTGCCCACAGATAGTTTCACGCCAACAAGCTGCTGCTGGGAAGGTTGGCTGGAGTCGGCTCCTCTGCAGCTGCCTGGTGTGGCTGCTGGAGACTGCATGGTGTGTCGGGGCTGTGCCCGCCCCATAGGACGGCAGCGAGCATGTCTCAGAAGAGCAGGAACCGGCGGGCACATGGCAGGGAGGACACCACGGCCAGTCCTGCTGGCTGTGGGGATACAGCGAGGACTAGAACTGCTGCGGTGTCCCATAGTCAGCTGAAAGGCAAACGGAAGGTCCTGGCAGAGCCCAGTGGGGCAGAGGCGTTGACCGTGGCTAAGAGGAGGAGGAAGGAAGGGGAGGCGGTGGAGGGGGGAGGAGCTGGGAGCCTGGGGGAAGCCGTGTGGCAGGCGCGGCTGCGGGTTGCCCCCTCTGTGCAGGAGTTCAAGTACAACAAGAAGCGAGTGCGCCTGGTCTCAGAGAGCTCCGACCTCAAGGATGCCGCCAAGGGCGTTGTGTACTGGATGTCTCGAGACCAGAGGGTGCAAGGTACAATCCATCCCGGGACCAGGATGCAGCACGGGGGGCGTGAAAGTCTATGGGGAGTCAAAGCCCTTGTCCCTTCCCCCTTGCCCCTAGAGCAAGTTCTTGCAGTTGAGACCTTGATGGCGCCAATTGAGATCCCTGGTCCCTCAACTGATGCAAAAAGTGCTGGGCTCCCCGTCCAGCATCATGGCCTAGTAGGATTCCTTTTGGGAAGCCCCCTCGGCAATGTTCATGGCTAGAGCATGTGATTTTTCTCTTTACCCGGGCACCAGTTCTCCGTGGGTTTTATTTTGGAGTTTGTGGCTTTAGCCGAATCTCCGCCCCCGTAGCTCAGCTCCCCCAAGCCGTGAGCTAGGGGTGGGCTTGAGGAGAGATGGATTTGGCTTCGGCTTCGACTCTGCTAGGGGCTTTACACGGGTGGGTCAGTATCAATAGCTCCCTTTTACAGATGGGGAAACCGAGGCACATTCCGCTCATTTCGGTGCCTGCAAGACAGCTGTGAAGCCAAGGTCTCCTGGCTCCCAGTTCTGGGCCTGAGCCATGGGCTGAGCATTTGGCAGGGCTTCTCTGTAGTAATGCAAAGTGTCCATCGAATGCAGTCAGGTGCTCTCTCTCTCTCTCTCCAGATAACTGGGCTTTCCTGTACGCCCAGCGCCTGGCCCTGAAACAGCAGCTCCCTCTGCATGTCTGCTTCTGCCTGGTGCCCAAGTTCCTGGAGGCCACCATCCGTCACTTCGGCTTCATGCTGAAAGGCCTGCAGGAAGTGGCCGAGGTACCGGTTGCTTAGGAAATGCCATAGAAGGGAGGGTCAGAGCAGGAGCGGAGCGCTGGCCTAGGACACACAGTAATGGGGGCAGGCGTGCGGCTCTCAGCAATGTCCCAGTGTGAGCGAAGGGCCCGATCTTGCCAAGAGTACTGTTGCGGGATTTTTCCAGCGCTGTCTTCTCTCATGGGGGCAGAGGGGAGTTGAACTTGGAATCCGTTTCCCTTCTCCTGGCTCTACAGGGCTGCTCGCAGGCCCAACATCTCTGTGCAACACCAAGCGTTTGTCTGGAAAGCAAAGTCACGCCAATTGCAGGGACCCAGCCCGCCCTGGGATCTTTATAGCCTGTCACTGTAAGCAGAGATTAGCAAAGCCACCCAAGGAATTGGGTGCTGCAAGCGAATGACGTGGAGCACCCAACTCTTGGTTGGAGCCCAGCTGGGGTGGCGCTGGGCAGCTTGGCCTGGAGGAGCAGTTACAGAAACCAGGCTCTTTGCCCCATGTTCACAGAGCCTTTCCCTTCGTTCCAGGAGTGCCAGGAGCTGGACATCCCCTTCCACCTGCTCATCGGCTTTGCCAAGGATGTGCTGCCTGCCTTCGTGACGGACCGTGGCCTCGGCGGAGTGGTGACAGACTTCTCCCCGCTCCGTGTCCCCATGCAGTGGGTGGAAGATGTCAAAGAGAGGCTCCCGGGAGATGTGCCGTTTGTACAGGTGGGGGTCTGGGCTGCGGGGGAGGGGGAGCGTGGGGCTGGGGGCTCTGTACATAGGCCGTTTCTCCATGCTGGCAGGTGATCTCAAGGCGGTGGTGTTAATAGCAGGGCTAACAGCTGGCTCCCAGCCCTTTAAATAGGGGGCTGAGAGGCAGAATGAAAGCGTCGAGAGCTGGTCGCTGCAGATTGAACAGCGGGGTGCTGCTGTGGTCCCAAGATCAGCTTTAGAGAAGGTTGGGGACTGGGGTGGAACTCAAGCAGGTAATTGGCAGCAGGGCGGGGAACTCGTTCTGACGCTTGGAAGGTTTTTGAGCGTGTAAGTGTATCTTGGACGGAGTCAGAAGTTTGGGGGCAGGGAGGGAGTTGGAGGGAGGGGGGAGTGAATGAGATTATACCGGGGCCATCCCCCTTCATGGGGACACGCGGCCACTGCCCAGAGCTGGTGACTGCAGGCGCAGGGAGTAATGCCTTACAAGTACTGTTCCAGGGAGAAATTCCCCCTCACCTCAAATGCCCCATTCGTATTCCCCACGAGAATCAATCTGGGACTGAGCAGGTTCCTGGCAGATGTCTGGGCCAAGAGAGAAACACGCAAGGCCCTTTGGGGTGGGGTCAGCTCTGCTGAATTCAGCACCTGTTTTTTTGTTAAAAGAGACTCTTTTTAAATTAAAAAAAAAATCACCGGCCGAGCTGTTATGCAGCTGAGCTCCATCTTCCCCAGACCATGGTGTGTGGAGCCCTGGCTGGATCCAAGTGGGCATCTCCTCCTGCTCCTAGACTGGCCTGATTCTAGTCACTTTCATTTCCAGGCCCCACAGCCCAGCACCAGACTGCAGGGAAAGGTTAGCTTGATCGCGGGCAGGGAGGGGGAGTTGAAATTAAAAACAAAGCCATGGGAAGGTTTGGGTGGATCTAGGGCTCGGTCAGAGTGTGGGTGGGGGGGCGTCATGTTTCTCATCCCCCGTGCAGCCTGCCTATTCCCAGCTCGCCGGCTGCTTTCCAGGTTGATGCTCACAACATCGTCCCGTGCTGGGTTACCTCAGACAAGCAGGAGTACGGAGCCAGGACAATTCGACGGAAGATCCACGATCGGCTCCCCGAGTTCCTCACGGAATTCCCTCCCGTCATCAAGCACCCGTTCCCGCCCACAGCCCCGGCAGAGGTAACATCTGGAGTCCTTTAGCCGCACGCCCCAGGCGGCTCCCAGCAGAGCATCCCAAACACTAGCTAAGCTTCAAACCCCACTGGAATGTGGGCGTGATCTCCATTTTACAATGGGGGGGAAGGGAAATTGAGGCTGTGGGGTGAAGTAACTTGCCCAGAGTCACACAAAGGCAGTGGCGGAGCTGGGAACAGATCAGAAATCCCAATTTCCGGTTCCCTGGTGCAGTAGGGTTTAAAGGAACCTTAGCTTCACCAAAAGCAGATGGAGTATCAGCAAGCTATGGCCAGGGTGTATTTAGTAATGGGGGGGGGCAGGGTAGGATCTGTCTGATCCAAAGCAGCCATCAGAACTGGCCCTGTCTGCCGTAGCATCCTGGGCAGGGCGGGAACATCTGCAGCTTGGCTAAAGCCTCCTTGCAATTGTGCAGCCCATAGACTGGAGCGCCTGCCGCGCCAGCCTGCAGGTGGACTGCTCGGTGAAGGAGGTGAGGTGGGCGACGCCAGGGACAGCCGCGGGGCTGGCCATGCTGGAGTCGTTCATAGGTGAGCGGCTGAAATCCTTCGGTACCGACCGGAACAACCCGACCAGGGCAGCGCTCAGCAACCTCTCGCCGTGGTTCCACTTTGGTGAGTGGCCCCTGGAAACCCACGTAGCTCTGAAGGGCAACAGGCTTGACTGATCTAGGTAATTACCCCTTCCGGGCACAGTATGGCCTCTGGAGGGAGGTAAGTGGCCCGGGCCAAGGAGAGATGGCTAGTGAGGGGCCGTAACTCCTGTAGGTTTAATTCAGTCGCTTTCCTCACCTTGGTGACTGTCCCCTGATGGGTTAAGAACGGTATCCGGGCTGCTGGAGGGAAGAGCATTGGTCCAGGTTTCTCCCTCGGGGCTGATTGAGTTGGTCTCTGAGCCCCATGGCAGCTTGGGGGGTACAAAGGCCTGGCTGCTGGTGTTTCATGCTGCACTGAGGTTAGCTGTAGATATTTATATGAACTGGATCAATCCCAGCGGAGGAAACACCGTGCACCTGAAGGGGGATGGGTACTGGGGCTGTGCCAGCTAATCCTATGCTGCTCTGGCGTTCGATCCCACGTGCTCAGGCCAGGCCGGCAGCACGCCAGCTCCCGTGGGAGCCGGAGAGTACAGGGCTCAGCAGCCGAACGCCCTCTCTGCTTCCCCGTCACTTCTCCCCGCCCCGTTCCCGGACAGGCCAGGTCTCCGTCCAGCGGGCCATCCTGGAGGTGCAGAAATACCGCAGTCGGTACAAGGAGTCGGTGGATGGGTTCACCGAGGAGGCCGTGGTCCGGAGGGAGCTGGCCGACAACTTCTGCTATTACAACAGAAACTACGACAAGGTGGAAGGTAACGTGTGGCCCGTGCCCTGGGGGAGCGACAGCCGGTGGTACTCACGGTGCGCGAGAGCACGCTGGTGCGTGGGGAGTGACTGGGGGGCTGGGGGGGGAAAGCTAGTCCTGCCTCTGCCCAGACCTGCTGGCAGGATTGGAGCCTCCAGCCCAGCGGCTCCATCACCCAGCAGCTCCATCACCCAGCGGCTCCAGAGTCCCTGTCTTCGGGAGCCTGGCTCCCCCGGCTACGTGCTCTCCAGTCCGACCGTTATGTTTTGAAGGTGCGTACGACTGGGCCAAAACCACCCTGAAGCTCCACGCCCAAGACAAGAGGTCTCACCTCTACGAGCTGAAGCAGCTGGAGGAGGGGAAGACGCACGACCCGCTCTGGAACGCTGCCCAGGTACCAACCAGCCTGAGCTTCTGCCTCCCCTCCTGGATCCATTGGGTGTTAGCACCGAGCACCCCAAACAGCCCCAGTCCTGGTGGGTTCCCATAACAGAGCCGGCCATAGAGCACACCTGCTTCTCTGCACCCCTGGCCAGCGTGTGCCCTTTGAATATGGGTTATAGCAGATATTCCCCAGCCAAGTACGCAGGGCAGAGAGCTCCAGCAGCCAGGTGGGGCCTGCAGGCCAGAGCTTGGCTCTCTCCATTGAGGGAGACTGTGAGGAAGGTAGCCATAAAACTCCTAGGTAGATAGGAAACTGAGGCCGAGGCCAGGTCCAGGCAGGCCCCACCCCTCACTCTTCACCCCAGATTCCACACAGGTGTGTCTTGTTCTCACCTCCCTCCTCTCCCTCGCCGAGCAGCCTAGGTTCTCCTGCTGGGGCGAGGTTGCGGCTCTCATGTTGGGCTCTCCCCCTCCCTGCAGCTCCAGATGGTTCACGAGGGGAAGATGCACGGGTTCCTACGCATGTACTGGGCCAAGAAAATCCTGGAGTGGACCCGCTCCCCCGAAGAGGCCCTGAAGTTCGCCATCTACCTCAACGATCGCTATGAGCTGGACGGCCGGGATCCCAACGGCTACGTAGGTTAGTGACTAGCGCATGGGAGTGAGAAACCCTTGAGAGCTTGGGGAGGGGGATCCTGTCTGCTTGGCTGTGAGGGGGCTGCCAAGGTCCCCTTACACAGGTTAAAGGGCCCCCAGTTGCCCCCACATAGCCTGTCCAGCTCCCTCTCCCTCATACAGCCCCTACCCCTGTATCCCTCCCTTGCCAGGGCTTGTAGCAGGCTCCTGGGGGCCTGTGAAGAGGTGCAGGAGGGTACAGGAGACCTGACTGTGGGTTCTGTGCCTGGCAGGCTGCATGTGGTCCATCTGCGGGATCCACGACCAGGGCTGGGCCGAGCGGGCCGTGTTTGGGAAGATCCGCTACATGAACTACGCCGGCTGCAAGAGGAAATTCGACGTGGGGCAGTTTGAGCGCAGATACGATCCCCGCAAACTGGGCCAGTAGCCCTGCCGGGGGCAACTCCTGCTGAAAGCAGGATGGCTGGTGCTTGTGGGGGGTGGGGGGGTTCTCTGCTGGGCCTTCCAACGTTTGCATTTCCCCTAAATACCATTGAAACCCCTGAGCCTCTGAGACGAGAGCCAGCAGGGACTCTGCTGCCCTTGCCAGGGTGCTGCTCAACCTCTTCCCTACAGGCCTCCAAGGCAGTGGTTTGGGCATCATGCCGGGAGCTGGGGCAGCCAGCCCAAGGTTTTCCCGGGATGCCCACAGTTTTCTCTGGCACAGCCCCAGATGTGCCACCTCCCCCTACTAGCCGGGGACAGCTCAGCAATTATGGCAGCTATAAAAGCTATTTGATATTTCGAGGGGGGACAGGTTCGCCAACCACCCCAACTGCTGGGGGAGGAGAGACACTGTGCCTTTTCCAGTCTAGCCCTTGCATGCAGCAGGTAGACAGGCCTGGCTCTTAGAGCTGTGGGATGGAAAACAGCAGCATTTCGCACGCTGGGCTTGTAGCTTAGCACTTCCGAACTGACTGCGTCTAGAACGAGCTGCTGGCTGACAGAGGCAGGGGGATCTCGGAGCAAATCCACCGCTGCTGGCAGGGTCTCAGATGGGAGCTCCCTGGCAAAACACACTGACTTCAACGGGCTGCCTTACCTCTAGGGGCTTTCCTGCCCCACCACATGCAGACATGGAGGCTTGTCTTATCCCAGGCAGCAAGCAAGTAGGGTTTTCAGAGTGACTGTTAAAAGCCCAGTGACTTGCAGCAGGGTCTGTCTCGTAAACCTTACCACACCCAGCCCTGGTGTCTGTGTCATTCCTGCAGCAGTCAGCAGAGTTTCGATGGGATCAGAGGAAGACAAGAACTGGGGCTGCCCAGCCCTTGCCCTAAAGCTTAGCAAGCAGCAGCTCAGCTCAGCGCGACGGTCCACCAGCCTGGGGCTGCTCTGACTGCCCGAGATGCTCTAGGGAAGGGGATAGTCGGGCACCGCTGGCTACCCCCAGCCGTTAGTGCTGCACGAGGCCGTGAAACACAGAGGCCTAGACGCGGTCAGACCAGCACACGTTTGTTCACAGGCGTCGAGGTTGTGGCGTGTTACTACGCGCTCTGCTTCGGTCCCGTTTTCAGAGCTCGCACCGTTACAAACGCAGGTCTTTGCATGTGTGCGTCTACCCTGCCGTAGCGTTTCCCCCATCAGTGCTAACATTACCCAGAACACTAGGGGGCGCTCTTGGGTCAAAGGTAAAGCCAAGAACATACCTATACAGCCGACCCTGAACCGCACAGCATCGGGCCAGGGGTTTAATCCCACTGGAATATTGACTTGCAGGTAAATTAGAACATCTCTTCCTGCATCGCTTGGCTTTCTGGGCTGGTCACCCACCACATCGTAACCAGGCCTGATCCTGCTTAATAACACACCTACAAGTTGAACCTCTCTAATCCGGCACTCCCTGGTCCGGCAACATCCGTAGTCTGGCACAGGGGCTGGAGCACCCCTGGGGAAAAATTAGTGGGTGTGGAGCATCCGCTGGCACCAAGCTTCCCCCTCTGCCCCCCTCCTCCCTCCCACGCCTCTGTAGTCCCAGCCTCGGGTAGTGAGGGGCATGGACAGGGGTAAGGCTGGGACCATAGCTGGGGGTGGCTGTGGAACCCGGAGTGAAGCCCCATAGCCAGGACCCTGGGTTGGCAGCAGGGGGGCTGGTGACCAGGACCCTGGACGAGGGGCTGGCGACCAGGACCTGGTGCCAGCATCGGAGCCCCTGGGTGGGGGGCCAGCAGCCAAGAGCCTGGGTGGCAGTGGGATCCCCGGGCAGGGGGCCATGCTGGGCGCAAAGCCTGGGGGTGCTGCAACACCCTCTGCACCCCTACTTCCCCCGCCTATGGAGACCCGCTGGCACTCTGCATTGACCTCCCGTGCTTTGGCAAATTCTCTGGTTCGGCACCCGTCAGGTCCTGAGGGTGCCAGACCAGAGAGGTTCAGCCTGTAGATCCCTGGTTTCCAGCAGCAAGTTGGCCTCGGTTTTTTTTTTTACTTGTCCATCACTGTGTTTTTAAATGAAAGGAACACAAACAGCAGGTGAGCGGCACTCTGGGGAAGTCAGCACTGGTGCTTTCCTGGCTCTTATGAGCAAGATCTTTGTACTTCTTTCTTTCAGCCAGCTTTAATAAACTCCAATACAGCTGAGGTCAAGCAAGAGCAGCCAATGATGCGTTTATTAACTTAGTTTATTAGGGACGGCATTTGTTGTTGGTATGCTGTACAATAATACAGCAGAGAGGAATCCAATTGAATATCATGTACATAGTATCATGACCCTTCTCTGTATTTACAAAGAGTTTGTACACACACAGTTACGCTTATTTACAGTGGTAAGTACTGTAATAGCTTGGCAAATGGGTCAGTAGCAGCTTCATTAGTGTTGTGCATCATTTTGCATTAAAACCCTCCGCTGTCTTGAATTCCCAGGCGGGGTCCCCGTCTCAGCGAGAAAGGTCCCACTGTGAAGGGGGACAAAACCCACAAATCCACTCACTGTCTTTCGAAGTGGAATCAGTGCTTCTAGAAACCGCCCAGAAGCTTAGCCACCAGGGAAACACCCCACAACGTTAAAGTGCTTCAAAACAAAACATAGAAGGTCCTGTTCTTTTGGGTCAGAGCCGGCACATGGGAGGGAATCGGTCCGTCAGCCATCACCACCAAGGGTCTGGACAGTAGTGCTAGGTCTCAGACCAGGCACGGCTGACACTAAAGGAGGGATTTGACGGCTGTAGGACAGTGAGAATCATCATCCTGCAGTTCATAGGACGGGATCGGCTTTTGTCAGCCACAGCGCGTGCAAAGTTCGAAGCCAGCTGGAGTTTGCCAGCCATCAGTGGCATATAGCGGCGTTATTAGGCTGAAAGCTAGGAGGTGGCACTGGGCACGCATGTGACAAACAGGAGGGCAGCTGATCGCTGGGCTGGGCATTTAGAATACAGCTGGGGGGAGGAGGGGGGATCAAAGTATGCTCACAAAGCAGACCCTGACTGTCAGTTCTCAAGTTAAGGCACATGCAACAGGTCAGTTCTGGGCAAGCTACAGATGCCCTGGGCTTTGATCCCACCATCCTTCTGATGCAGAAATGGGATATTAATGCTAGTGTCTCTGCTTTACATGGACTTTACCACCTCTAGAGCTCCTGCACTCTCAGCTCTGTTAAACCACCTGCCAAAACCCAGGCCTGCCCTGTATAACCACCTACCCTTGCTGCCTGCTCCGTGGGGTAACACCCTTGTCGCAGTTGCTCCTTGGCTTCCAGATACGTTTAGTATTGAGATCTCTCACTGAACAGTTGATCCGAACCTAGTTCCACCATCAGCCTCAATGCCCACCTCCCAATGCCCTGCACCTGGAGAAACAACAGCAGTTCCACCAAGCTGCCGCTTTAAGAGCCACCCAAGTTCTTGTCTGCCGCCCCCCAGCAGGAGAGGAAGCAGCAGCTGCAAGGAAGCCAACCTACCTACACAACTGACAAAAGTGTGTTGGGGGGGGAGGGGGGAGGAGAGGCTGCTTCCTCGAGTGCATCCTGTCTGAAACAGAGCCCAAATGCAGCCAGCCTTCCTCTGCCCTCAGACGGCCCTGGCAGTTTTCCCTCCTTCCAAGGGCACTTGCAGCCTGTTTCACTTCGGCCCCAGCCTCTGCAGCTCTCCCAGGGATTCACCGCTGGCACGAATGGGGCCAGGTCCACGAGAGGCTAGAACCCCAGCATTGCCCTGCGCTCAGCCTGACGTGCCAGCCACCAATCAGGGCAGGAGCTGAGGGAGAGTCGCCACCATCACCCCCACTTCCAGGCAATACACAACCTCCCCACCTCTCGAACAGCGCCTTTCGATGTACATGACTGCATGGAGTGCCCAGACAAAGGCCGCGCTGAAAACGGGGGCACACCCATCTTCCATAAACCGGAGCCGAGATCAGCCGCTACCTGCAGAGATCACAAGCCCCAGTGTGCAAAGATGTCCAGTCGCCGTGTGCAGCCCCGAGAGCGCACTGAATACCCGAACGGGGAGTTGCTACAGGCTGCATCTCCATATTGAAGAAGGAACCTGCAGGCCACATTGTAGACTCCCCTAAATCACACCAACTACCAGTACGCTGCTCATCTGTGCCACACCACAGAACTCTGCCCGGGCTCAGCTGGGCATCAGGACATCCCGTACCAGGAACTAGCATGAAGTGCTGGAGGAGTGCAATTTGTCTATGCTGGACAGTCCAGCCAGGCAGAAAATGCCTCCCGTACTGCTGGCAATGGACACTAAGGGCCAGATTTTTAAAGATGTGTGGTGCCGTGCTCCCACTGAAATCAACACGAGTTAGGCACCTAAATAGCTTTAAAACGTGGCCCTAAGTGACCAGCTCAAACGAGAGCAGCTCATTTAAAAGACAGGAGCAATTGCCTTTAACAGAGATCAACTTAAAATAACCCAATATACACAAAGATCAACTGAAATGATACACTGAGAAGAGGAGCTGGCTGTGGGCACCTGCTCTCGAGGGGGGGGAGGGGGAGGGCTCAGGATGGCAAATGAACAGCTTTACACCTGCTAGGGGGCCTGATCTCAGATACCAGCTCTGAGGAACGCTGGGCCAGGGGGCAGCCAGGGGGCACTGTGGAAGACCACATGCTTTGTAGGCTCTCTCTCCACACAAACACACAGCTCAGTAGAACAAACTGGTTGAGGCACTGAGTGAGGAGCATGGGGTACTGGGGAGAAGTTCTGGACTGGGCTAATCTCCCGACTACAGGGCGCTCCACATCACAAGGCCAGCTCTACCCAGTGCGCTTGGGGGTGGCTCCTTTACCAGGTTATTGGCCGTCCTGCTAAACATGCTCATTACTCAGTCACTCCAAAGGGCACCCGATCCAGGGAGATGAGAAGTGCAGCTCTCATCTTAAAGCCAAGGGAGCTGGCTGAAGCGTGGGGCTGCTCAGCAGCTGCACTGTCTGCCTCCCCGAGCGTTCGATCCAGCAGGTACTGGACTGCTAGGGGGAGGGTGCCTGTGACAGGAGAGACAGGTGCATGTCACAGAACAGCATCAGGGGAGCCCAGCACAAACTGGCAGGCCCGACGCACCAACGCCAAGGTCTGGAACAGGGGCACGGCCAGAATCCACTGCAGAGAGGACACCTTATGCTGAGGGTGCAGCATGGATGGGAGAAAGGCTCCACTGAGACCGACTGTGGCTTCATCGAGCTCTGAAATAGTGGGGGCGAGTGTCATGTAGAGTCATCTGAGTGCCCAGCACACGGCAGAGATCCAGGCCTCTGCCCCTGCCACGTCTCCCGTGGTCCCAGATGTTTGCTTCTAGCTAAGACGCCTGTCTACACTTCACTGGCCTGAGTGAGGATGGGGTCCTCACAGCGCCACAAGGCAAGCTGAGCATTCAAGGCTACAGGGGCGGGGCAGCACCATCGCACACACAGCCTGCTCTCCCAGGCGCTGGCGGGCGGGTTTCCCCCGGGCCTGGTGCAGGAGCCCCTACGCCGCCTGGCACCCAGGGATTGAGCTCTGGCTTTGTTCAAACTGACCCTTGGTCTCGGATCTAAGCGTAACTGCTCAGTCCCCCCAGCAGACAGACACGGGCGAACACTGCCCCCAGTCCAGGGGACAGGAGCACTCGGTAGCCACACTCGTAGCAGTTCAACTCCTGCCAAGATCAGCAGAGAGAATCCGGCTTCAGACCTGCTGCTTCCTCCGGCTCAGCTAAGGTGTTTCATCTCCCCATGCTGGGCATGCAGCTGTCCCATTGTCTGTGGCCTCCCCGCCTTCCGGCCCGAAGAGCAAGAGCCCCCTGTTCACCTGCTGCATGGCACAGGGCAATCTCCCGGCACCTGCGCTGTGGGAAAGGTGACAATCACGCCTCTGGGACGACAAGCCCAGCCCTTCACCCAGCAGGTGAGGGCTCCGTCGGCACCAGGCACAGTCTGAGGAACCGAACATCAATAGCGGAGAAAGTGGCTGATCCCAACAGCGACTGGCACAGATCTCTCCTCCAGCCTGCATGCAACTAAAGCAGGGCCGGGCCTAAGGGAAAAATCAGATCAACTCCATTGTCACCTACAGTCCGCGTGCCCTAGCCTGATCTACCAGCCCAGCGGGTATCCGCCATTAGTGACTGCTCCCACCAGGCAGAGGACAAGGCGCTGTTTGCTGCTTCGTCTTCCCCCCGCCCCCAAATCAAGTCATATCAGTTCTGAATAAGGGACTGTTAAAAAGATCACGTCAGCAGCAAAGGATATGGTGTGTTACAGGCAGAGGACTTGGCAAAAGCCCCTTCTCTTTTGCCCCAATGCAGCAAGCCTAGGGAGCAGCAGGACTCCAGTTACTCCCCCTGGAGGGCTGAGCTGGACAGGAGCTTTCACCTCCTAACTGGTGGGAGCTCCCCAAGAACCTGCTTCAGGGAGGACAGCGCAGCTCCTGGCTAACACAGTCTGCTGGCTGAGCTCCTCCCGAAGGGATCAGGTGGAGCACCCAGGCATACAATCGCTCATTGCGCTCCGAGTGTGGAACAGACAGGATTCGCCGCCGGACCCTGTAGGAAGGCAGCAGCGTGTCCACCTTGGCAGGGTCACGACTGCAAGAACTAGCGTCCGGAGTCCACTGTCCCCAACACCATCGTGTAGAGAGAAAAGAAACCGGCTCTCTTGAAACAAACCAAGCCGATACCGTCAGTGCGTGAGGGCCAGCTGCTCTGAGATCTCCCATGATACAGCCCTCCCACAGGCTCCTTTACGGTGGAAGAGTCAGGTTAGTCCCTAGTTTAGTCTCTGGTGATGAAGGCCACACACACAAATACATCCGCTGGTCTCCTCTTCCCCCTCCGCCACCACACTCATGTTGCGGCCACTGCCCCTGGCGGCTGCTCCTCCTCCTCGTAGTCAGAGATGTAGGACTCCATGCTCTGCTTGGCCAGCAGCTCTCTCCTGGCGTGCAGGCGCTCACACCGGGGGCAGCAGCCCGATTTGAAGCAGGATTTGTGATAGCAGGCCTTGCACTCTGAGGGAGGGAGAGAAAGCAACACCATGAGTACAGGCATGCGTCGGCATGCTCCCCCTTCCGGGCACAGCCTGCCCATACCCAACGGGAGGGATGCTAAGTCACTGACAGGGACAGAGCATGTTGAGATCAAATCTCAAGGTGTTACAATTCTGACTAATTCGCCTCTTACGTGGTTCTTAAACAAAAAGATCTTTGGTGTAGGGATGGTGCCCACATGATTGGAAAGCGCCCAGCCCACCGCATGCACTTGGAAACTAAGTAATTCGGGGCACTTCATTCAGTTTTGGACAGCAATGTTAGGTCAATTGCACTTTGCATCTCATCCCTTTCCCAAAGGTTTCTTGCCCTGCCAAGGAAATGGTGACCCTAAACAAAAGGCCTTCACTGAAAACACTGGCGGCAAGAGAGAGTCTAATTTTAAAGAGACGGCCACATTTGTAGATTGCCAAGGGCGGTTTGGATGGCTCAGGAGACTGGAGCCAGGATACGGTGCTATGGTGCATGTGGTCATCAGCAAAGGTCGAAGTGACCAAAAGCATTTATCAACTACAGGGCGTGGGGGCTTCAGTAAAATGATTGCACAGTCTCAGTCCAGCGCCACATGGCCAAAGCGCTGTGGTTACCGGACTCCTTGGCTGATAACCTTAAAGGCACCAAAGTCAGAACGGCCATGAAGATGGAGCCCTGTGCCCACTCCAAATATGTGTCATGCATCTGACCCAGTTACAAGCTGTAGGGCAGGCTGCAGCCACCGTGGAAATGAGTTCGTGCACCCCCGCTTAGCACACTGCCCATCTGTGCAAGCGTAAGTGTGGGCAGCTATCCCTCAGTGCGCTGGGTGCAGTGCACTCTACTGGCCACCCCCAGATACACAGGCACGGTTCTGGCCACGCTGCAAGGGAGCATGTCAAACCGGCTAGAGAGAGTCAGCTGTGTGCTGATCCAGGTCAGAGGCGTAGGCTGAACATGGGTTGCTGCCAGGTGGCTGGACAAATGTTAAACAAGCAGCATGCAGAAAGGCCATGCTTGGAGGCAGCTGAGGCACTCGCTGTTACAGCCTTGGACAAACGCTGCAGAGCAGTGATTCCTGACTCTGCCTGGTCTGTACTGGCTCAGTCTCCAGAGCAGTCACGGGCCCGGCCCAGCCAACTCCCAGGGCCAGCAATGGCTCCCAGCACCCCGCCTGCCAGAGTCTCACCTTCACACGTCCTGCACTTGTTCAGTTCGAAGGGGAAGATGATGTCCTCCTCTTGACAGAACTCACAGATGAAGCCTTTGGCTTGGCACAGCTGTAACAACAGAAGGGGAGAGGAGTGAAGAAGAAACGCCCTGGAAAAGAGGCAAATGTGCCCGATTTCCCTGGCAAAGTCAGAGACATCTCGAGCCAAGAGTAACGTGGAAATCAGAGGCTCGTTCCATTGCCGGGATGCGACGACACCAGCTTCTAGAACAGCATTTGTGCAGCTGGTCTCTCACCCGCTACAAGCTACGCTGGGCTCCACGAGATTCCAACCTTTCCAGGGGCCTGGAGACATGGTCTATTCGAGATGCCCTAGGCCAAAAGCGTACCCGTAGCACAGGAGGCTTGGCTGATGGCACTATCTCAGAGCAGCAGGGCTGCCTGTCTGCTGGGTGGTGGTGGAGGAACCGGGCGGTCTGCATCTCTTAGATTACACACATACCAGCAAGCGCTTCGGGGCAACGCCCATTTCTTGCTGTGTACATGGGCTGTGCCAGAGTATTGTCAATGCTACCACAATACAATGCAAGTACAGCGGTTATACCAAAAGATGTACCATAAACACACCCACAACAGTGTCGTCTGTGCAGTAGGTTGCACTCACAACACTGCTAAACCAGTGGCAGTCCAGTTATTTTTGTCCCCTTTGACTTCCCAGTCAGATTGGGAGTTCCAGGAAAAGGACCCTCTTTCAGTTTTGGACTGAAAACTCGGAGGCCAATGCAGCCTCTCTGGTCTTTTGCCCCAAACACGTGTCCACAGGAGGTGACTAGCACTGCTGCCTTCACATGGGTGGCCCACACAGCCAACAGCTGCAACTCAAGGCGACCCATTTGGAATGTCCCATCTGGAATGTTTTTAAAGACAATTAGTGAAGTCACCCATCACACTGAGTTTTCATACAGAAAATTAAGGCCATATCTACCCTACAAAAAACACTTTAATGAGGAACCAGTTACACCACAGTTGCCAATGACAGAGTTAAAACACGGTTTCATCTTGAGTGTACACGGGACCCTGAATTGGCGACAGTCCTGGAGAAATCAGGGCTGCAGCAGGGCTCAGGGCAGTGGTTAGGTCCCATCTACACTAAACAATGCAACAGTGTTCTAACCACCTCAAATGTGTTGTAGCCAACTTCCCACTGTTGTTTTTGCAGTGTAGCTCAGCCTTGAGGGAGGAGATGAAAGCAAACGTTGCATCTCAGGCCCTGCTGGGATCCATCTCCAAACCTCACCTCATCCCTCCCCACATTTAAGCTGGGTTTAAATTTCATCTCTTAAAATCAAATTCATTAGAGAAAAGGGAATAGTTAAAACAAGCACAAGCACAGCAACATGATCGAATGGATCAGCAAAGACAGGGTTAATAAAAAAAATTAGACACACTAGTGCCCCCCAAATTCCTCTTCCCCTGCAGACTGGAGCATCCCTTCCTATTTCTGTTTGTTATCTGCAGTCACAGCTGCCTGGAAACTCACAACTTGGTATTTCTTCACCCAGACACTCAGTCTGTTTTAATGCAGGGCTTTTGCATCTAAACATGTTGTTAGAGTGACTGTTTCTGTAAGATCACACATGTCCAGCCCATTTGGGAATGAAGTGGAGGGAAATGCCCAACTGTTCAGGCTGCCAGGGATGCAGTTCACATGCTGTTCCCCACAGCCGTGGTGACGGTGACCACAGATCTCTTAGCCAGGCTACATGGGGCACTGTATGCCAAGAGGGGAGGTGCTCTGTACGCTGGATACCATTACTGTGACTATACAGCATCCTCCAATCGGAGGATCTCAAAGCCACTCCCCTGCAAAGTAGGGAAGTTTCTTGTTTTTACTGGTAAGGAAACTGAGGGACACAACTTGGTCATGCAGCAAATCAGTGACAGTGTTGAAAGTAGGACCCGGGAGTCCTGACTCTCGGTGCTCTCCTCTAACCACCAGTCAAGCTGCCTCCCCATCCTGAATGTGACAAAGCACATCCTAATGCATTTCAGAGGGAATACAGCCCATATTTGTAAAGCAGAGATGGAGACAGCAATGGGTGCTTTGCGGGTTATGGGAAACTGCAGCTTCTTCCTGAAACTGAACCAATCAGCTGTGTTATTCTTCAACACCGATCTCTTGTACTACGGAAACGCCTCTGCACACACACAGGATAACAACCATATGAGAAACTAACTGGAAGAGGGTAACAGCTAACACAAAATGTATTTGCCCTCAGCAGCTGTTCTGGAGATCCTGCTGCTGCCTTTATAAAGCCAGATCCCGCTCCTTGGCTGTTTATACAGTAAAGTCTAATCCAGTAATAATAAAAAACATTCTAGTGAAAAAGATGATAAAATTACCCACCATGCATCTCTCAACGTGCAGGGTACCTGCCTTTATGAGCTCCGTCAGGCGGGGAACTAGCTCCCCCTTCTTAGTGGCATTCAGGTCATTTAAGGAGTAGAGGTGGAGATCCTCCGTCAAATGACCTGGCACCAAGTCAAAGGAATCCAGGAGCCTGCAGGGGTGGAGACACCAGAGCTTAGCACCACACATCAGCGAGCGAGTGCTCTACAGACTGTGAGAACTATGGCGACTTCACTGGGCCAATGACTCTGTGCGACCCACTGCTCGGCCTCCCCACCCCCAAGTGGGCACCACCACTCTCTAGAGTCCACCCCCTCCACGCAGGGCCCTAGGAAACCCAGCAGTAGTGTCTGCCTCCCAATTTATTGCTGCACGCTGTTCTAGTTTAGGAGGTTCTGTCCCAGCCAACACCTGCACGTCCCACTCAGCTGCAGGGTCCCCATTAGGGTGCTCGGGCTGCTCCAATCCCTGATAAAGCCGCTGTCCTTTCCCCTCTACAGGGGCCAGGCAAGCCCAAGAGGCACCCAGAGGGCAGAGCCTGCTACGACAAGGCACGTGTCTCTGCTGACTCTGAGCCATCGGAGCACCTCCTAGGGCCCGCTGGGTTTTTGTGCCAAGCGAGGGGCAGCTCATCGCTCAAGTGACCCCTCACGACCGCTTAGCCCGACTCAGTCACTGTCAGCCAGAGAGGTGATAGCTGCCATGCAAGGCATCACGGTGAAGGGTGCAGCGCCTTTGGGAAGTGGGGGATCCCAAAGGGACGCAGAGGAAGCCCAAGGGGAGACCTGGTCCCGGTTCACAGGGTCAGTCTCAAACACTTCTTTCTCAGTGGTGAAACACTGGAATGCGTTACCTAGGGAGGTGGTAGAATCTCCTTCCTTAGAGGTTTTTAAGGTCAGGCTTGACAAAGCCCTGGCTGGGATGATTTAACTGGGAATTGGTCCTGCTTCGAGCAGGGGGTTGGACTAGATGACCTTCTGGGGTCCCTTCCAACCCTGATATTCTAGGATTCTATGATTCCAACAAACGTCAACGGAAGGTAGTGGCACACCCAACTGCTGGGCCCATCTGTGCCTGGCCTGCTCTGAGTGCTGCACGCACTGAAGCTTCTAGGTGGCCTGCCACAGCGCTGAGCATGGGAGAGACTGGGGTGAAGCGGGGGGACTGATCGCCGATGCTGCTGAACATTTTGCCACGATCCTTGAAAGACCCCACCCTGCAGAGGTCTGGGCAGCAGCTAACATGTCAAGCTGCCAAGCGACAGACAGCCAGGAGAGACTGAAACCGATGCAAGTTAAATTCTGGTTGGGCCCTGGTACTCACTCTTTAGCTAGTCGGCAGGTCTTAAACATGTTCTTCAAGTGAAACAGCTGGATTCTCAACAGCTGGGGAAAAAACAAACACACGAGTATAAAGTTGTCATTAAACAGAACTGCAGGCCTCAACCAAACCAAACATTCTAGTCTGTTTCAACTCATGCTCTTGTGAAGCTGTTTCTGCTGACAGCCAGCTTTGGGTTTCTGGGCACTGAAGCAGTTAAATGGCTAGGATAAAACCAGGAGGGCTAGCAATCCTCATGTTTCAAGGCATAAACTGAAGCCCAGCTGGAGGTTAGGAAGAAATTCCTCTCCACCATGTACTATTGCACAGTGAACAAGATGTGCAATGGAAACGCATTATGGGAGTTTTAAGCCTCCCTCTGAAACATCTGCCTATCAGCCACACTCTGACAGGATAAGTCTAGAGAAATCCTGACTGGGCCTCAACGAGTAACAGTCTCTTCCCTCCTTAGTTCAGATCTTCTGGAACATCAGATTCCACACGTGGCCCACCAGGCCCCTTAAAGGGACATTACAAGGAATGACAAACAGGCAGGTTTTGCCAGCAGAAAGGTTGCCTGGAGCTGGACACTTGCAGAGGTTCCTCTAAGCAGGCGTGAGGGGCAGCATTTCCAGTGGGTAGAGCCCAGGACTGGGTGTCAGGACTAATGGCTTCTATTCCCAGCTCTGCCAGCAACACGCTGGGTGACCGCAAGCAAGTCACTCAAGCTCTCTGTGCTTCAGTTTCCACAACTGTAAAATGGAGAGGATACCTACCCACCTTTGTTATATGCTCTGAAAGCTATGGACAAGAGGCCCCATATAGAAGGGTAGGTAGCAGCAGCAGCTAGGTATTCTGGCCCACTAATGAAAGAAGAGCAGGAGATAGCGTGCCCCGCACAAGGCGCCGATGCCCCCACCCTGAGAAACCCCACCCTGTGGGTCTTCCTCCCTGAGTCACGGATGGGAGCAACACCTGCCCCTCAGGAGAAGGCTGAACTCGGTCTCCTTTGGAAAGCACAGGACATGGCCTTACCCTGACTTGATTCAGAGCCTTCACCTTCCGGTACAGAGTGGCATTGAGGTCCTGCACACTGAAGAGTGGGTCACTCCAGATCTTGCTCAGCAGGTCCCTGGAGAAGTTGCTGACGCAGTACTTGCTGAAGTCCCACTTACGCAGGATGCGGCTGGGAATGACCATCTGGGTGTTCTCGTGGCAGCACTGGCAGAAGTACTTGCCCAGGTACTCACAGTACCGCAGCCGTTTGATGTAATCTGGCAGACCGGAGAGGGAGTTGAACCTCTGCCCAGCTGGGCAGAGGGGCTCGGGCTTTGGGCTCACAAAGTCCCAGAGCTTGGGCTCCAGCCCGAGCCTCTACACTGCAGTTAAACAGCCCTGGCATGTGAGCCCGACTCAGCTGACATGGGCCAGCCGTGGGTGTTTAACTGCAGTGCAGACATACCCGAAATGGCCCCACAGACAAGGCACCTTTTTCAGCTCAGATTAATGCATGCTGGGGTCTGTGGTCTCCCTGCAGTCTAGGAGGCCCAGATCGGCCTATGAATCACATGTAGCCATCCCTGGCTATACGGTTAGGGCAAGCTATTGCTTCAGAGCCCCTACTGGTAACACACAGCAGGTGAATGCTGTATCAAGGCAGCTGTCTGTATGAGGCCCCCTCAGCCCAATCACCTCTGGGATTTTGATGTAAAGCAGCTTCACTACATGAACTGAAGAGGAAGGATCAGAGCAGACACTAGGGGCTCCACAGCGCGAACGGACCAATCCAAATGAGTGAAGCCACCCTCACCTACTTGACGCTGCTCAGTGATGAGACCAGGGACTTTAATACCTTCAGAGAGGCAGACTGGCCACCCCTTGCCTGCCCTGCCCCGCCCCATGGCCTCCTGGGGGAACAGGCTGTTCCATCCACAGGGCATCGTAGCACACAGGCTCCCCTTTTGACAGCCTGCCATGGGAAATGCTGCCAATCAGGGCAGACTCATTCACTGGGAGATGTTGGAACTCCCCGACCCCTTTTCTGCTCGGCTTATCCAGAACACCCCGTCCAGTTATGGGAGAACACTTTATCCAGCTCTCTGGAATCCAAACCCGCCATCTGAATCCAGACTCGTCACGGAGGTGTCTTTCCTGGCATTCCACGCCGCTTACGCCTGAGGTGATCAGGCTCAGGAGCAGGGGCCGGGGTCAGGACGCCCCACAGCTCCAAAATACATCACCGTAAATCAGATGATCTACGTATTCCGAAACAGATTCACACGTGCCCATTACATGCAGCACTGCATCACACTATGACTGGCTTCCCAATTTGGTGAGCCAGTCCCTGTCTGGCTCATGAGCCGTCCACGCCCTAGGAAGTGTGCTTGTGAGCACAGCTGCAAGCCTATCACCCATTCCTCTTCTTCAGCTACTAGCTACATGTTAGTTACAAGGCCACTTGTGAATTCAGGCTCTGTCCATTGGTAACTCCGTTCCCCACTTCTGTCTTCTTTCATTGTTCATGCCAGGCCTGAAAGCTGCACCAGCTTCCAAGGTGCCCTGCGCTGAGACCCCCACAATCCCCCAGCTCATTGGCATCTGCACCTCCCCACATTTGACTCCTCGTCTCTATTGTCCCTTCTTGTCTCACCTGCATGCAGCACCCGCCCCCCCGCGCCCGCCCTTGGGGAGGCTTAGTTTCCTGTCCCGGGCAGAGTTCCAGCACTCACCGGGGTCCGTCCGGATGCCACAGCCTGCACACCGGTAATTCTGCTTGGCTACAGCCACCTTCCTCCTGCCCAGAGAGAAGACGTGTGTTGGAGCTCTCTCGTGGCTCAGCAGGGCTGCTGGGCAGAGACCACTAGGGCTTCCCCTCTCACCCAGCAGCTGAGTGCCAAGTGGATCTGCTGAGACCGTAAGCTTAGAGCATGAGCTCTCGGGGCCAGGGGCTGACTTTGCTCTGTGTCTGTACAGCACCTGGCCCGTGACTGGGCGCCTAGGGGCCTCAATCATACAGATAAATAATGAGCCAGGTGGCTGGATCGGCCTTGAAGCTACCCTGTGGTTTCAGCAGGATATGGCAAAAGCTGCAAGAGCCAGTGCCCAGCTACTGGCGAAGGGGGGATGGACACATCTCCCATCTGTGTGTGTGGTGCAGGGGCTGGGCAGCACCAACTGCAATTGCCTTCACCTGCTTGCGCCCTGTGGATCCGAACGCTCCCCGCACGCCCCTCAGCTGATGAGCGAGGTGTCAGCAGCCAGTCACTCAACACCAGCCAAGAGCACAAGGCAGCTGCCAGGCAAAGGAACAGCAGTTGGCACCGGGGTGCAGGCATCAGCGACAAGTGCCAGGGAGTAGTGACATCTCCTTGGCAATGCACATTCGGACAACATCTCAGCAGGGCAGGTGGGCCCCTCTCATGCCCCCGCTATGACGCAGGCAGGGGATCTATTGTAAGTGCAGCCAGGAATGTGGGTCGCAAATGTCCTTTCAGTGCCATGTACCCTGAACACCACCAGAGGGGGGCTGGACACACAGGGCCCTGGAACAGCAGTGCTTGGGGCCGTTTTGCACTGTTGGTGTGTTTTTGGAGGTCCTACAGTAATTCTATCACAGAGCAGTGAGTGCACAGTGACAAAAGGGGAAGGGCAGGTCTCATTTAACACACACACAGCGCCAGGCTTGGAGGCCTAGTGGTTAATATCGCACCAAGCAGGGCTCAATTCCCAGTCCAGGTCTGAAACAACAGGAGCTTGGAGGGGGGCAGAGACGTCATCTCACGGCAGGAGCAGCAGCCCATCCAGATGGCTGAAGTGGAGCTACTGAGCTGTGAATGGAGTGACTCGCCCAAGCCTACCCAGCTGGAAGGATGCAGAATCGGGGTGGGAAGAGGAGAAGCAGAGAGAGGGATCTTAGGGGCATGGAGAGCCTCTGTGGGACCAGAGGGGATGGGCAGCCCCCAGGGCAGCCCACGCAGCTCCTTACGTTGGGGCTGGGTGAATATTGAAGATGATCTGCGGCCGGGGGGGAGCCCACTCCAGGTTCCCGCGGACCCGGATTCGGAGCTTGTAGATGTCGGCGTGCTCTCCGTCGTCAGGCGAGATGGGCAGAGAGTCCGGAATTGGCAGGAGCTGCAAGAGGCAGGTGAGAGGGTCAGACACCGGACTTTACTGCAGAGGCCTACGCCGGTCTGCCCTGCTGGGCAACTCCAGCGCCATCCCTGGGGAAACTGCCTGTGTGCTTGTCCCGCACCCCCACCCCACCCCCAGGAATCGTAGGACTCCCAGGGGAGCTGGAGAACAATTCCCGTCCAATCCGAGTGCTCTGCTGCTGGGCTATCACGGCACGTACAGTAGCATGCTTGCTCTCCCTGCATGTCCGGAGGCCTGGTACCCCTTCTTCAGAAGTGCCGAGAGCCTCTACGGTGGCGGCGGGGGTGCAGTGCTCCGCACTCAGCCTGGCGCTTTCACCCTGGCTGGACCTCCCCTCCCTACTCTCCTCCACATGCTTCCCATCACCCCAAGTCTCTCTGTATCCCCCATGCTGCAAGATTGTCCCCAGACCATTATGGGGCGCCGCTCCAGCCTCTCTGTGAGCAGGGCACGCTTCATGGGCTCTCACCAAAGTGAGCAGCCGGCATGTCAGTGCTGGGGGTTCACTGGGGCATAGGCTACATTCCACAAAGCATGAAGCTCTGCACTTGTCCCAAAGAGAAGGACACCCCAGAGGGGAGGCAGCAGCCACTCCAGGGGGTACCAGAGGCGTCAGGTCTCCAGGATGAGGATCACACCTGGGTTTGTAAGGGCCGAGCAGGTCTGACAGGGGCAGAGCTCACGCGGGGACAGAAACAGCTATGAGGGAGAACAGGGCAGCTTCCAGGCTGCACAGCACCCCAGAGTACCACCCTCAGCCCGGGGAAGGCAGCGGGCTCTGGGGTGACCTTCAAAGCCAGGGGGAGCAGAGCTGGGGTCATCGGGGATACGGAGCCCCTAGATCCCTGCCAGGGCAGGATGAAGTCACGTGCTAGCAGAGATGGCCGTGGGCAGTAGCACCGTGACTGACTAGGCTCTATGCTCTGGGGCTCTAGGCCCAGCTTTGACTCAGCCACTCTCAAGCTGCCGCAGCCTTTGTTGAGTGCAGCGGAGGGGAGCAGACTGGCTACTTGACCCCCTGAGCAGTCTGGGTGAGCCCGGTGATGACCCGGAGCGCAGTAGCTGAGATGGCCTCTGCCCCGTGACGGATTGATCAGACGGACATCAGGGACGGCTCTTCAGCTGCACCCCCAAGGGGACTTGCTTGGGAACTAGAGAGCAGAACCACACCAGCCAGAGGACAGGAGCCCTGCAGCACAAGGACAACAGAACATGCCCCACAAGCCACCCGGAGTTAGAGAAAACCAAGCAGGTGACAGTAAACCTCCTGGCTCAGGCGGACAAGACTGTGCTGGGGCCAGTGGCTGGGGGCCAGTCTTTATGAGTAGTCAGAAAGTCAAACCCCACAATGCACTGCTGCCCAGCAGGACCACTGCTCGGCTTGGGGGTGGCAGGGCAGCGATCCGTGACACAGCGGGGATTCTGTGTAAGCCTGAGGTTCACCCACACCAGCTCCACGGGGCAGCACTAGTGCATACAGACCTGCCATTTACACCACGCACAGTGCTGCGGGGTTCTTAGAACGCCCCCGAAACCCTCTCTACTCCCGTCACGGGGCCCCGCTGGCACTCAGTTGGAGATCAACTTCAGTACCCCACAACGGAGCGGTTTGGCAGGACTGGCAGCGTCTACCTCAGCAGAGGCCTAGGCACTAGAATAGTGACAGCCTGTGGGTTGGGATTGAGGGGCCTGGGCAGAGCTGGGTATGGGGAGCCCAGAACTGGAGAGGCTGGGGGTCAAGACTGAGGGGCTACATGCGTTGCCGGGTTTACAATCGTTCCAGTGGCTCCATGGAGCTGGGCCCATGCTCAGAAGGGGCCCCAGCCTGCTCCGCTTCCACTGAGCCCCAAGACCCCACTGGCTTCCCCCACCCACCACTTGCTCCTCTTGACCTGCTTGCTGGCCAGCCAAGTTCTCCTCTCTGCCCTCCGGCCCCACCCCCTGCTCCTCTCAGCCCCCTGGCCGGACCCCAGTGCACCTCTGGCTCCGGGCAGTCTCTGCTTCCCACCACCTGTGTGGCTCCACCTATCTCCCTGGAGCTCAGCTGATTGAAACTAGTGCAGAAGCCTGGCCAGTCTCAGCCAGGTGGCAGGGGTGGGGCAGGAAGCCAATATGGAGGGCTTGGCTGGGCCCCTCCAGACAAGTGCATCTTGAGGGAGCCTGGCTGGGGCAGGCCCTGGCCTGGCTGATTGCGCCACTCCCGAAGGGACGGAGCGATTTCCAGCCCTGGGACCAGCCCTGGCTGCACTGCTGGCTCAGCCCGGCAGACCGTCACCTCCCAGCAGGCCGGTGAGTGCAGTCGGGAGGCAGGGTGTGGGGGAGTGGGTCGGGGGGGGTGCTGGGCTGTGAAGGGGCAGGGAAGATCTGTGTGTTGGGGCAGTAGGGAGTGGGGCTGTGGGCGGGCTGGTGTTGTGTAGGGCACTGTGCATTTGTGGATGGGTCTGGCGGGGCGCTCGGCATAGTGGGTCCGGGGTGGCTCTGGCCAGAGGGAGTCGGGGATGTTGGGTGGGGGGGGCTGTGTGGCTTGGCACGGGCCTGCCCCCGAGGGGAAGGGGCATGCTGGCAGCACAGGGCTGGGCAGGCCACTGTGCATCTGGCAACTGCCGGTTTGTAAATAGTGCCCTCGCATTGGGTGGAGCGGGGCCGCCCCTGCCATGCCATGCCCCATTGCCTCTGGCTGGCCCCTCGCTCCGGGGACTGACCTCCCCAGGCCAGGCTGCATTGCCCCCATGGGAGCCCACAAATATGTTTGGCGCCGGGCCCACAGAAGGTTAATCCGGCCCTGGCTACATGAGAAAGTTCGCACAGCGCCTGCCCATGCTGTAGTGGCTCTATCTGCCGCTGCGGTTAGCATGGAGATCGCTCGCTTTCTAACCCGTCTTCCAGCCGGTCCCAGCGGAGGGTTCAAACAGCGTCAACAACAAACCCCACGGTCAGCTGAGTTTCCCACGCCCCACACCGAGCCACGCGTCGCCCCACCGTGGGGCAGCCACGGCCATGCTGCCCCATGCCCCATGGGGGGGGGTTCGTCCGAGCGGTTAGTACACTCAGTGACTTGTGCCCCACGCACACGCAGGCTCTCCACTCCCAACGTACCCGCCGGAGCTTTTTGGAGAGCTGCCTTTTCTTGTACCACTGGCAGCGCTTAAAGAGCTTTTTGAGAGACCGTCTCGGGCCCTGCAAACCAACAGCAAACAACCCGTCAAGGTGCTGCGTGGGCAACACCCCTGGGCTGCCGGTGAAGGCCGAGGGCCACTGCTCTTGACTCTGTGCTGCTTCCAGGTGCTGATCCTTGGCTGGTCCCTGGATCATCCCCACCATCCCTGTCCTCCTGCTCTCCCTGTTCATATACAAGGACAACAGGAGCCAGCAGAGTGCAAGGCACCCGCCTGGCAGCACTGCAGCCAACTGTGTGGAAGGGACGCAGCTCTGGGAGTACGTGAGGGACGTGATCAGTGCCTTCCCTCCTCTTCTACAGCCATGGCGAGGTGGAGACCGGCTGCAGCCCTGCATTCAGGACTGGCAGAAAGCACCAGATATGAGCTTCGTGCAAAGGATTCCCTCGCTGGTGGAGGCAGTGGGTTCTCTGCCCTCTAGACTTAAACGAATCCCCTTGATTTCACATCCAGCTTCCGTCCTCACACACCCAAACAGCGCCCTCTATGCATCAGTGCGACTGCCCCAGCAAGGCCCCTCCCCACACACCTACCTTCTGAGGGGCATCCTGCTCTGGGACTAGCCAGTCCAGTTCAGAAGCGGCTGGGAGCTGCATCCCTTCAAACTGCTTCAGCAGGCCCATGGCCACGGCCTCCGCTGAGTTCGAATGGAGGAAGGAGTGGGATCTGCACAGCGAGAGGACGATCAGCACCACAACAGACGGGGCATAACCCCCCACCCCCAGCCAGGGTGCAAAGGAGATCAAAGCCTGGGTCTTCTGACTGGTGACCCTCCCAGCCCCACTTGTGAGAGTCTGCACTAACAATGACGACTCCTCTTGGAAAATATTGTCTCAAACTACATACAGGAATCACTTGTCCCACGCTGCTACCTCTGGGGTGGGACGCACACAGGGCCCAGCAATTTGGGACAGGGCATCAAAGAAACTGCAGGGGAGTTGGGAGGTGGAATGGAACGAACGAAGTTGGAATCTGGACAAGACATGGGAGAACACACAGTATAAAGTGACGTGATCTTTGCCAGCAGGGCCTAGTTTTACTTGGCATCTGACAGTCAGAGGGGGCCCTGCCACCAGCCCTCTGGAAAGCTGACAGAGATTAACAGACCAATGAGATTTCCAAGGGACTGTGATGACCCATCCTCCACCTCAGCTGGGAATAGTAATGAGGCAGCAGATTGCTCAGTCTCCTAGGGAGGAGGAATGCCTTCAGCCACTCAACAGTGCCTCCTCTGGCCAGTTTAGGAGTAGCATTGATGGGGAGTCCTGTCCAGCTCCTAGTTGTAAGGATGGTGACTGCAACACAGGACTTCAAGTAAGACAACAGGAATGGCGTGGTGGGAGATTGGGGTGAACCTCAGGTCTGACTGGGAGCCTGGTAGGGAATGTATGTGTCCCCATCACCTTGGGCTGTCTTTCCTAATTCGCTGTGGTTCCTGTTCCCAGCCTCTTCTCCTTCCGCTAACCATTAGCTTATTAGAGGAGTCAGTGACAGAAGAGGCCTATTTGTGTAGAATCTAATCCATGCCCAACGCATGCAGGATCGGTCCCTCATGCAGGGATTCCCAAACCCCTCAGCATTCAACTTAAGTTTCCATTTGCCCAGCTTCCCCACAGGACTGTCCCCAAAGCTGAGCATACTGAGCCCAGGCGAGGATCAAAGACTCACACTCTGGGGGGGGAAGAAGGGGGGGGATGGACGGGAATGGACGGGACGTACATGGATTCCGAGGAGAGGAAAGACTTCCTGCTAGACGCTGCATCCCGCCTGATGTCCGCATCTGCATCAAGAACAGAGAGGGCGGAGCAGAGAGTTACTCCTATTTTAAACAAAGGGCTAAGCAGTTTTGCATTAAAAACCATCACACGGTTGTAAAAGCATGTGAGCTACAGCACCTATTTCTACCAGGGACAATAAGCAGCAGCTAGAAAGTCACCTGGTCAATCTACCGGGGAGAGAGAAGAACCTGTGGCTGTGAGATGAAACTACAGTGGGGTTAGAGTGGAAATGTTACGGTCTGTACAGGGCACACACTAGCTACCAGCGATTACAGAACTTAGAGAAATCCACACACATACAAACTTGGGGCTAGAAGGGCAGGACACTGGGGTTAGTTATGAAATTTAGTAGCTTATTAGGTTTTTTGAACAGCATTAACACTGCAAGGGACTGGCGATGGGACACAGGCCATTCACTGCTATTGTTCTGGTTCAAATCCAACCCGGATTGTACGCCAATGGCTTGTCAGCAGCCCACGTGGCGTGAGTTGGAGGCCCGAGTTCATCTCCCAGCGGACACAGGTCAGTGTCAAAAGAACCACGTGGCAGTGGTCAGCAGCCTTGCTGGCCACCCTCTGCTGAGGCACCCAGGATCAAACGGGCCACAAAGAAGGATCAGTTTCCTCCCTACAGGGGAGGAACTTAAATCCAGGTGTAGCATCTGTGCATATTGCTACCACACTGCTCACACTGCCCTCTTCCAGATTTCTAATAAATGCTGACCACGGACCCATAGCTGGGCTGGGCTACACCACAGCTAACCCTTGGCCAGGATAACAGTTGACCACTTATCCCTACTTTTTGCTATCTGTCCATATGCCAGTCCTGATCTATGGCGGCATTTCGCTGCTCATCCCCGGACCTTCTCTAGTGAGGGACTTTGTCGAAGACGAGCTGAGAGCCCATAATAATGACGACCACGGTTCTCTTTTATTCAAGGTTCAGTTCACGTGCTCAAAGAATTCTAGGAGCTGGTCTGGCTGCCACCATACAACAGTGTTTAAACATGGTGGAACGTGGTCACTAGACGCTGTGTCTCTCCCGACACAGCCACTCAGCAATTCAGTCTCCTTGCTTTCGCAGCTTTGCGGGGTTACACTGAACTGGGAAGGGAAGGCAGCAGAACTCCTCTGGGGTTTGCCCCCAGCCCCAAGAAGGGGGCTGGTGAAACATCTTGATACTAAAGATCAAATTCAGCCCTAAGGTAAACGGGTACGATTCCCACCAGTCATGAGAATAATCCTGCTTACACCCAGACTGGATTTGGTCCCGTTATCCCTGGAAACCCAAGTCAGCCTTAAAAACAATGTTGACTTCTGCATCTCCTGTCTGTATTGTCCTGCCAAGCCCACGAGCCGCATGAGGCATGACTTGGCTAGGGAGGCTTGGACTGCCCTATGGGTGGAAACTTGAGTTTTAACACCAAAGAATTTACAGAAAAGGGGAGAAAATATCATAGATCAAGGCAGGAAAGAGGCCAACCCGCAAAATCCATAGGGACCCCATCGAGGAGGGTAAGAGGAGACCTAGAGAGGCAGCTGGGTCTGGTTAATGGGTGTGTAGTTGTTGGTTCGGCTCTCAACTCCTCTTCCCCCAGTAGGCTGGATACTGAAATATGGGAGCTGATTGCTGCCGGACTCATCAGTTTCAGTCCCAGCTCTGAAGGAGGGAGCAGGAAGGCACAGCAGAGGGGCAGCACATCCTGGTAGGGAAACCCAGAGTGACCAGCACTGGAATCTTTTCAGCAGGGAAGGTGGGATTCTCCATGGGACAGTCCTTGGGAAGGGAAAGGGTGTGAGGCTTTCCAAAGGATCAGGACAGTTGTTTGTATAACCAGAGGGTACGACAACAAAGGCCCTGATCACAAATACTCACAACCTAAGAAACAGGAGTGCATCTCAAGATGTGTTAAACGCTGGGCTAAATCTTAAGTGTCTCCTTCAAGTATCTTTCTGGACTTGAGTCAACAGAGAGTCCGGGATAGAGGATTAGCCATAAGTGGGAGTCAGACCTTTAGCACCAGGCAGTTACCAGTGTGATACCCGCTGCAAGCAGCAGGTGCACTCAGGACTAGGAAACCCATGTTATCTACAACCTGGTACAACCGAAGGTTTGCAGCTACAGAGAGAGAGGAAGTGGCCTCCCCAAACAGCAAAATTGCCGCCCGAATGGGAGAGGAAACCAGCCTCTCTCGGTCCTTATGGAATGGCTCAGAGATCCCAGGCTAAAACAGACCCAAGCAAACAGGGGGCGCACACATTCAGCATTGTCTGAGCATTGTAGGGCGAGCACATGCAGCCAGGGTGAGCAGCGTTCAGCAGGCATCTCGCGGGAGGATTCAAATCTGAACCCCACCTCCCCAGCAGGCTGAGGTGCCAGAACTAGGACCCCTCTGCCCTCTCTCCCCACTCCAAATATGGTATCTTCCAACCTAGGTGTTTCCTATTCAAATATGACATGCTTTGGACACTGCCACCCAAAATGCCTCTTTTTTGAGATGGGGCGACCAAATCTGCATGCAGTGTTCAAGATGTGGGAATAGTATGGATTTATAGAGAGACAATATCCCTTTCTTAATGATTCTATCCCTTTCTTAATGAGTCCCAGCATTCTGTTCACTTTTTTTGACTGCTGCTGCACATTGAGTGGATGTTTTCAGAGAACTATCCATAATGACTCCAAGATCTCTCTCGAGTGGTAACAGCTAATTTAGACCCCATCATTTTATACGTGTAGTTGGGATTATGCTTTCCAATGTGCATTACTTTGCATTTATCAACATTGAATTTCATCTGCCATTTTGTTGCCCAGTCACCCAGTTTTGTGAGATCCTTTTGTAGCTCTTCGCAGTCTGCCTGGGACTTAACTTTCTTGGGTAGTTTTGTATCATCTGCAAATTTTGCCATCTCACTGTTTACCCCTTTTTCCAAATCATTTATGAATATGTTGAATAGTACTGAACCCAGTACAGACCCCTGGGGGACACTACTATTTACCTCTCTCCATTCTGAAAATAGACCATTTATTCCTATCCTTTGTTTCCTATCTTTTAACCAGTTACCAATCCACGAGAGAACCCTCCCTCTTATCACAGGACTGCTTACTTTGCTTAAGAGCCTTTGGTGAGGGACCTTGTCAAAGACTTTCTGAAGATCTAAGTACACTATATACACTGGATCCCCCTTGTCCACATGCTTTTTGACACCCCCAAAGTATTCTAGTAGATTGGTGAGGCATGATTTCCCTTTACAAAAGCCATGTTGACTCTTCCCCAACAAATCATGTTCATCTGTGTCTGACAATTAAGTTCTTTACTATAGTTTCAACCAGTTTTCCTGGTACTGAAGTCAGGCTTACCGGCCTGTAATTGCCAGGATCACCTCTGGAGCCTTTTTAAAAAACTGGCGTCACATTAGCTATTCTCCAGTCATCTGGTACAGAAGCGGATTTAAATGATAGGTTGCATACCACAGTTCAAGGCTACAGAGGGTGTCAGCCTTTCACTAGTGCTGCATTGGCGGAGAAAAGCTCTTGGGATAGTACCGTCACTTTAAAAGCAAGGCCCCAGCTTTCTCTGTCTCTCCCAGCGCATGAAGAGTCTGGCGCCTTGGCGCCTGCGTCCCTAGAGAAGGCTTTTAACACCTCTGATCAACAGAGCTATTGTCTTGGAATCGCAGCGGGCTGGGAGCTGTAGGGAAGCTACATTTTAAAGGACAGCTAGTCTCTATGCAGTAGAGTGTTCTAGTCTCCTCTCTCGGGTTACAGTAGTTACGTGGCCAATGCTTTACCTTTAATGGCTGCAGCACTTTTAAACTGAACCACTGCTCTGCTGTTTCACTTGCCAGGCCAGACACACCTCTGTTGATGTTCTAGGTACATCACAATGTGCCACCGTAATGTGGCAACACAGAGCCTGGGCAAGCAGCCAAGCAACTGAGACCTTTGCTACATTTTTCCCACCTGTCTGCCATCCACTACATGCATCGCCAGCTCCTTTCCCTTTCCCACTCAGATGACATTATTGATTGTTCCCAAAGGCCCCTGCATGGAGAGCGCGCAGAGAAATTCTAGAGAGCAGCTGACAAGGAGCCAGCTACCCGTACAGAGCCCTGGGACGGGAAATAGCAAAAGCATAGTAGCTGGTGGATTGAGCTGGGGGCTGGTGGTTTGGTGTCCGGGCTGCAGCCTGCCTGCTTGATGCAGCGTGAACTCAGTTTTAGCCGCAGCTTTTGAGCCTCTGTTCTCCCTGTGGGCCCATGACAGGCCCAGGCGAGGCACACGGACAAGCGCACACACACAGACACGCACGCGGCACAGTGCACTCTGGGCTACTACCTGAAAACAAGGAAGCCATTGACACTGACAGGCCGTTCTTGGACATTTGAATCAGGTTAGATCCATCGTTACCATCTGCATAATATGGTGATGACAAAACATTTCGCTTCAGTGCTCGGCCCGGCCATAGAAAAAGGGTATCAACACAGAGACAAGAGAGCAGAGCCTGCTGGCACCCTTTGGGAGACATCCAGGGACAGCATTCAAACACCCTCCTTGGACTGCAATATCAAGTCAAACCTCTGAGCTACAGGGGGCCAAACCGGGGTTATGCTATCCACACCCATGAAGAGAGGAGCAGGAAGATGGAGGGTGTCCATCGCAGGGGTCTTTGAACCTCCCAGTCCATCCACCATTGTCCCAGGTGAAGACTGGAGAGTGCTTGGTTAATGCACCTTTAAAGTCAGCCAGAAGGGGCACTGCTGAGCAACAAGGAGTGTCTATCCTGACCAGTGCAGGAGGGAGGTGAGGGACAGGGTTCAAGGCCAGCTCTCCTGCAGAATAGGCACTGACTGTGGGTGCTCCAGCCCTGGAACACCCATGGAGAGAAAAATTGTGCTGCTCAGCAGCACCCACCGGCAGCCAAGCTCCCCCCACCTCCCAGTGCCTCTCACCTGCTGGCGGCCCCGCTAAACAACTCCTCCCCGCCGCCAACAGCTGTTTTGCGGTGTGTAGGAATCTCCGGGAGGGAGGGGGAGGAGTGGAGACGGGCGCACTCAGGGGAGGAGGCAGGGAAAAGGCGGGACAGGGCAGAGCAGCGGCAGCGACTTGGGGGAAGGGGTGGAGTGGGGGCAGTGAGTGGGGTTGGGGGGAGGGCGGGGTCGAACACCCCCCCAGCTAGAGGGGAAGTTGGCGCCTGTGTCCTGCAGGGAGCACTCTGGGCCATGGGAGCCAGCCTGACTGTGTGTGGGCAAAGTACCTTGGAGGTCAGGGTCTGTACACAGCCCACTGCCCCTGCTACAGAAAGACGGAGTTTAAGAACGGTAGCAGACAGTCCCCAGACTGACTCGTCCAGTCCGTGGCTGGTTCGAGTGGGAAGAGCAGGACAGCACAGGTGGGCATTCAAATCCTTTAGCTCCCCAACCTCAGCCTGACCGTTCCCAGCCCGGAGGATTTTACCCGTGAAAGGGACCTCTCATAGGAAGCCAGCGACACAGCAAACGAGGGGCTTGTTAAGACTCTAATAGAGCTCCCAGAGGCAAATCCTTCAGCCTTTATGTGCGCACAAGCCCACCTACCCAAAGGGAATCAGTTTACTGCAGTCCAGGGGTGGAATCTGGGGTCCCAGCTCAACTCACAGTTCAGCGTTACTCGAGAATGGCAATCTCTAAATGCAAAGGGACGTGCTCCTCCCCACTGACTTCAGCACAGTTACCCCAAGGAGGAGATTGGCCCCAAATCTCCATCTGGTACAGCTGCCCCATCTTACCTCTTATCTCGTACTCCTCCACATCCTCCGCTGAGCCTGAGTCAGACAGCCACATGGAGTCACGGGAGCTGAACTGGGACTCGCTGTCTGTAGCCACGAAGCCTGGAGGGGCAAAAGGCAGAAGGTCTGAGAGAGCCCCAAAGTCAGCAGAGGTAATTTAAGTGCGACACTGAGGACTGACAGAGGAGTTGGCTAGGGCGGGTAGTGCTGGGTGACGGGGGTGCCAGCACGGACCCAGAATTAAGCTATGTCCTACACTTTGACACCACCATGGTGTGTACATGATAAATACCCAGACAGACCCAGTGACAGCAAGCCCTCCACTCTAGAGTCACCATCTATTCAGAGCTAGTGTAATGTGAATTCTCACAGCCCCCTGGTGCCTGATTCCTGTCCGTCCCTGCAATGGTGTAACGAGCCCCTGCTCTCCCCAGCCTGGCCCCCAAAGCAGCACTCACTGTCTGAGCCCACCTCCCGGTAGGCAGGGAGCACGTGTTTCTTGCGGATCTGCTGGCGCCGGATGCGAATCTTCTGCTTGAGCTCCTGGATCTCCTTATCACTCTCCTCTTCCTCCTCCTCCAGCCGCCGGTTCATCACATTGCATTTCATCAGCTCGATGGCAGCGATCAGTGATTCAGAGATGCTGAAGTGAGCGTTTTCCTGGGAGGCAGAGGCCAAACCATTGCAAGAGAGCCGGGAAGTTGAGGTTCTCCGCAATGCAGCATTACAACATCCCCTACACCCCACAGTAGAGAACCTACCTGTAGAGAAGGCTATCTGGGATTTCCCACAGTAGAGGAAGACTTCTCTAATAGGCGCCGACTCCATGGATGCTCCAGGGTTGGAGCACCCATGGGGGGAAAAAATAGTGGATGCTGAGCACCCACCAGGAGCCCCCCAACAGCCCCCCAGCGGGCCCCACCAATTAGCGCCTCCCCCTCCCTCCCAGTGCCTCCTGCCCACCACGATCAGCTGTTTCATGGCATGCAGGAGTCGCGAGGGGGGAGGAGCAAGGGCACGGCGCACTTGGAGGAGGGAGAGGGCAGGAAGAGGTAGGGCGGGGCATTGGGGGAAGGGGTGTATTGGGGGCGGGACCTGGGGCAGAGCCAGGGGTTGAGCACCCCACAAGCACATTGGAAAGTTGGCACCTCTGACTTCACTTCCTAATGAACACAAGGAATCCAGCCCTTCCAGTCAGGCCAGAAGCCTTCTTGAGTCCATAGCCCTGTGCACATGGAGTGCCCTGTTGTAATACTCTGCCTTCACCTGGTGTTTTCTGAGTGCTTCTTACTAGGACAGAGGTTCTCAAACTGGGGGGCAGGCCCCGCTCTGGGGGCACGGAATGTATTTTGGGGGAGCGTGAGAAGCTTTAGGGGACCAAAAAAAAAACCCCCCAAAACACCTTACTTTGCACATTTTACCCACAGCAACAAATAACTAGCAAAGTGGATTCCTCCAGACAGATCAGGTCCTCAGATGGTGCCATGCATTTGATTCTGGATGGTGCGATGCATTTGGACAGATTTCGGTTACGCTTGCACAGCATTATACAAGTCGCGGCTGACTGTATGTTACGACGCGGTGCGTGCATTTAATTGTGACCATCGACCTCAATCAGCTTTGCTTTTGCTCCTCTCACAGTGAATCACTGGCGCGGTTTCAATCAATGCCTCGCTGTTCATAATATTTACTGAGAGCTGCATGTTGATTTTTTTTTTTTAATTGATATATGTACTGGTGTGCCGGACGGGGGGGTAAACTATTACACACACAAAGGCGGCGGGGGCGCGATCCAATACTCTTGAGAACCACTGTGCTAGGAGACCGGCTGGATCCAGACAGGAAGGAGACAGCTCAAGATGGTCACCTATCAGACCCCACTTCAGAGTTCTTGAGGGATGATGCCAGAACTATTCTCTCTGACAACTCTGGCTCGACCCCCATAGCTCATGGGAGCGGTCTGACTGGGGACCCAAGCCCACCAACGCAGAGAGAAGCCTACTGGAGAACAAAGAGTCCTGGCTGGCTTTCAAAGGACTCTCTTGGGGGCAAAGGGAAAATCCAGATCGAGACACACTCGGACACATGAAGCTGGAGGGGTGTCTGAAGAAGCTAGGCCTGCCTGGGTCGCCATTACAGGATGGTAGGACGTTAGGGGTGACAGATGTGTGTCGGGTATTTTTAAATCCTTTTCTCTGTCTCTCATGTTGTATTCCAACTAAGAAAAAACACTTGGTCTTAAGGAGGCTGGGGTCACTCTCATGGTCACAGGTGCCCAGCACAAAGAAAGGCAAGAGCGTGAAACCCAGCTGGGCCTTCAGGGCAGTTGGTGTATGCAGGGCCCTGTGAGCGAGTCCCAGTCTAAGAGGGGGATTCCTCCCTGGGACAGGCGAGAGGGCTAGAGGCCCATGACGGAAGCTGGGTGCACTCAGGAATGAGAAAGGGGATAGAGGTGCAGCTAGCCCTGCCACTGGGACAGCCCCACTCTCCAAAGTTCCACCATCTGCGGGTCACACAGCACCCAAAGAGAGCAGCTGGCTTTGGTTCTTCCCAACTCAACACTAGTTGCAGATTGTGGCTCTGCACAGTTAAAAGCAGAGGATCACATCGGCCAGGGAACATTATGGGGCTTATAGAGAGGAGCGTCACTGTTCCTCACCTGCACTCGGAGGGTAAAACGCTCTGTGATCCTTACACCTGAACCCCACCACTTCCCAACTGCCTAAGGCTGGAGCAAACAACAGCGGACTGACTTCAGGGAAGACAGCAGCGGAGGGAGCCCCAGCAAGCTGCGATAAGCTCACGCTGCACGGTAGCCCCGAGCGATCAACACCAAAGAGCAAACTGAAGTGTGACAGTAGACCGGCGAGTTCTCTGCGCAGCTCTAAGGCTGGAAATGCTACGGCACTAATACTGGCTTTTCGGTAGGGCTGCTAGCCAGTGGAACCGGAGTCACTGACCCAGCAACCAAGGAACACATATCCCCCTGCATCACTCCCCTGCTATCTCCCACCTTCTCCAGGTCTGCACAGCTGCCGAAGTCCTGCTCAGACAGGTAACTGATCAGGGACTGTCCTTCCGAGGGTCTTCGGAACATCCCTTCCCCCGAACTCAGGTACTGGCCAGCATCTAGGAAAGCATAAGAGAAGCAAATGAAGCAGGGGCATTTTGCAAACCCACAATGCTAAAGAGTCAGAGATCAGAGCAGGCACCATTCCATTACACGGCCCCAGGGAGCCCAGGGACATGGGGCACCATACTGGCCTTAACACAGGTACTGCTAGACTAGATGACACGTGGCTGGAGCCAGTCAAGCATCCAGCCCCCGAGAGTGACCACCCCCAGAGTATTCAGAGGAAGGGGCAAGATCCCCACAGTAGGCAGATTGCGGAGGGACAGCTGATCCCAAAGTCTCATCCTAATCCCTACTAGTGAGAGATCACAGCTGCTTACCTTGGGCCACTCAACTCTCCTCCCCAGCCCCTACCAGCCGCTCTTAGATTTAGAGAGACGCAGAGATTTCAGAGCACTGGCCTCACGCACAAGACACCACGCTCGTGAGCAAATCCCCACGTGTGCCCAGTCAAAAGCTGTCCCGCAAACGTACAAGGACTGAGCACCCGAACCCAGCCGTACTGGTGGTTAACCCTTTCTGCTCACCCCCTGCTCAACTCACCGTACTCCATGTAGAGGGAGCTGGGCGTGCTCACTTCGCTGCTCTGGGTGGAACCAGAGACATGACCCATCATCCTTGAGGCGTCACCCTGGGATTCTTTAAGAGAGACAAGAGCAAAGATGCTCGTCAATAGCAGAAGGGTCCATCCGGGTGATTAACCCCAGCCCCCCGGGACACAGTGGAAGGGAGCAAATGGGACGTCACAAGAACATACCATAAAAAAATATAAAATAGAAAAGGAATCAAAGTGGGGAGAAAAGAGTTAAGTCAGCTGGTCTCCAGGGAGAAAGGGGGCAGAGAGCTATGCTGTATCCAAGTCAGTTCCAGGAGGGGGCAGTCCCGGGGCGAGGAACTTCAGGCAGCTAAAATGCAAATTGGCAGACCACAGACAGCAATTACCAGCTTGGCAGGATTCATCTCCAAGAGCTGCTCCTCCCTTGGATCGGCAGCTCCTCCAGCGCGCAACAGGGCCGCCAGAGAGGGTCAATGGGACAGCGTGAAAGAGCCTGGGAAGTGCAGAGTTCATTTGTTCCGCCAGCTAATGCGGCAGGGGACAGGGGCAGAACTACAAAGGATGCCCTGCTCTCTTGCACCTGTGGTGGCAGGGCTGGGAAATTAACTGAGCCTGTTTGGAGCACACTGCGCCTCCCAGCCTTCAGCAGCATTCCCTCTGACAGAGAGGAACCACCAGACGGTCCTGCTGGGCCACAGGGCGAGTGACCAGGGTAAGAGCAATGGGATCCTGGGGACTCTGCAGTCCTGGAGGATGCCTAGGACAACGTTGGGGGTGGGGGGGTGGGAAATCAGCAGAAGGAGGTGATCTCCAACTCCCTCTAGCCTCTGATTATAGCTGGGGAGAATGGAGTCTTCCATGCACATTGGAGTCCCTGACTTTGCAGCAGCCAGGGCTTAAGGACTCCGACCGCTGCACTTGGCAGAGCACGGAAGGGATGTGAAGGTGACCTACACGTGGTGCACCCGGCGCCCCACCCTCCGCACACACATGTGACGCAATTCACGTCCTCACAGGGGCAGAGCTCTTTGAGGGATTGCCTCTAGCCAGCCTAATCAGAGGTGAACACCTGTTGGAGGCTGCAGCACCATGAGCCAGCCCCTGGGATCGGATGGGCTGCTGCAGAGACCAAATGACTTGAGGACTGATTGATCTCAGAACGGAAGCCCTCGGCTGTCGCTGGCATGAAAATGATGACTGAACACACACAAGGGAACAGGGGAGAGCAATGGGACTGACATGTGTGATGTGGAACATGCAATAGCTCCAGGCACTGGGAACAGGGAAGGGACCACTGATGTCAACTCAACCAGCAGAGCAGCTCGCACTGCCGCACAAGCAGCTGCTGGGCAAGCTCCCCCCCATGCTGCCCAGTAAGCACACTTTAACCCCTGGTGTGAGGGAGCTCAGTCTCCAGAGACTGATTGGCGCCAGCTGGGAAGTAGCTGCCAGGAACTGGGCTGAGACCAAATCATTTCCCTGAGGCCACAAAACAGCTTTCAGGTGATCACACCTGACCTGGATGGGATTTGAACCAGTGCTCTCGGGGAAGAAGCTCCACATCTCATTGCAGATCCCGAGAACTCAGCAGACCACCCCTGCTCAAGCACAAGGTTCCAAGAACTCATCTGCCACAGAGCAAAGAACCTTCAAAAACTGGCACAGAAACAGCCTCAGGGCCACTGCCTGGCCCAGTGCATGGAACCGATCTCCAAACCCAAGGGGGGCTGCCAGTTCTCGGAGCAGCAGCAGCGTAACTGGACGCCGACTCACCGGCGGCGCCTCCTGCTGGTCCATCTCTGGGAATTAGCTCACCAGCCTCCGGAGCGCCCTCTTCAGGCCGGTGTCTCGCCTTGCTGCTGGCTCCCGTGTCCCTCCCAGGACCCTGGTGCCCCTTTCACTGGGTGCTGCCCCCTGGCAGTACCCCACAGTTCTGGGTCCTCCCCTCCCAGGGGAACCCCCCACCCACTATCCCTACCTCGCCTCAGTCATAGGCTCCTGCCAGTCACCAGCTAGACCCCGCGCCCTGGGGCAGACTGCAGTATAAGCCACTCACCACAGGCAAGGTTGGGTTTGGACCTGCTGCCTCTGCCTACCCGTGGCTGCCCCTTGCAACCCCCGTACCTAATAGACCTTCCCAGGCCTGCAGCCTGGGGCTTTCCTAGGCCAGAGCTCCCCGGCTCCCTTGGCCTTTCCCTAGCCCTGCTCCAAACTAGGTCCTCTATTCAGGTCTCTGCAGCCAGGTCCCTCCCTCTCAGAGCTAGAGAGAGAGTGCTCTTCTGCTCCTGGCTTCTATAAGGCCCGCTGGGTCTGTTTGGGGCGTGGCCCCCAGCTGCGGCTGCTCTGCCAATCAGCCCAGCTCTTCCCCTGCCCCAGCCCTCTCCCAGGGCTGTCTTAAACCACTCTGGGCCCAAGCCGGTGTCCACCCCGCTACAAGCAGCGCCACTAAACAGCAAGCTGAGGCAGGTCTTCTGAGAGCCCACAGCAGCCAGGCACCTTAACCTGCCAGCTCCATGGAGAGCAAGAGCTGCAGCAAGCAAGGTTGAGAGGGGACAGAATCTTGCAGAGATTCCGTAGGAACAGCTGGCCCGGCCTGGTGCATCTGCCAGTACGCCCCACCTGGGACACCTTTGCAGACTGCTCGGATACTATCCTCAGTATTTCTAGCCAAGGAACTCATAGGGCTATGTAAACATTAACGGTTCAAGCCTTCCTATGTCCCAGAAGGAATTATCCCTATTTTACGGAGGGGAAGGCGACCCGAAGCATAGAGGTGAGTGGCCTGGTTTGCCGAGATACTGAGCACCTGCAACTCTGTGTAAGTCAGGTCATAAAACAACTTTTCCTAGTTCATGCAGCAAATCCGAGCCCAGAATAGAACCCAAGCGTCTGATCTGAGCCCTACACCACAGCTGTAAGCCGAGTGCTTGGTACTGAGAGCACCACGTCCCCGGGAAATGCTGCTCCCAGCTCGGCTAATCCGATATCCTTCCACTGGGCGCTATTCAGCAGTATGGGCCATCCCTCCCTACCTCTTAGCCCCGCACAAGGCGTACGATCTAGCCTGGTTTCCAAAGCGAAGAGGAGAGGATAGGAGCCAATCCAGGGGCTTATCGGAAAACGCCACACAGTGCCATGCAGGGAAGCCAGGGGCAATTCCTGGTCCAGCATGTTGTTGGCCCCAAACCAAGCAGGGATCCTCATTTAGGTCTCATGCATAAACCTGGGGCTCCCTCAAAGCGACTCGGAGAAGGAGAGGGGAAGGAGCCATCAGCGACTTGGGGAAGGAGAGGCTTTTCTAAGTTGACACCAATGTGATAATGGAAATCCTGAACTCAATGCAATGATCACTGATGAGGGGGTGTCTACTGGCTCCCAAACCTGCCACTGGATCTTCTATTATAATGGTGATATCCCTGAGGCCTCCTGGGCAGACAGCGAGGAGGAAGAGGAGAGCATTACGGAAGGAAGAGAAAACAGAGAGAGAGAGAGAGAGAGACTGGTTACTCACCAAGACAGGAGCCCCATTTTCTACCTGAAGGCAGCACCTCAGCCCTGAAGGGGCATCCCCTTGGGAACCAGCCTGGCCTCCCAGTACCCACCCACAGAGGCCCCAAAAGGCCCAGCACTCACCCACACAATGGGGAGCTGTTCAGGGAACGTATGCACCCAGTCTATTCTCCCAACTGAACCAGACGAGGGTTCTACCGTTACAACACAGGGCTGTCCCTGCATTCTGGGACCCAGTCCCCAGCCAGGCCCTATTTGTAGTCCGGATGAGACCCTGGAGAGAAGGTTCAGGGAGTCCCTCTGGGGGCGGCTAGGTTAGCACCATAGTCTTAGCGAGGCAGAGAGAGATGGGTAAGCCAACACCTTCTGCCAGCTGACCAAGGGAAGTGAAGCTAGACACCAAGGCAGGCTGGACGTTCAGGGCTGGGTCCCAGAGCTCTGCTGGGGGAGGTAGGAGGCTTCCCTCTCCGCCTCTGGGAGTGCAGAGAGCTCTCTGTGCAATGGATAAGCCAAAGGGCAGAGGCTGGACTTCCCCAGCTAGCTGCACGTGCAATCCCTCCTTGCCTATTCCAGGCATCGCCCAAGGCCAGTCCAGCAGCTAACTTCAGATCCCCAGGCTCCACTGGAAGAGAACATTGCAAGGCCTTTAATTAGCTCGTTCCCTTCCTCCTCGCCCAGTGCTCATATCACCCCCTAACGGTGCACAACACCGATGGTGATGCCCACTGAATTCTCACCCCGAGATCAACGTCCCACCCACCGAATCCCTCCCTAAACGCCGCCCCACCATTACCAGGAGTTTTCCCAGAGGCCACGTTGGTATCGGAGTGCGAGCGTGCATGGCTTCTCTTGAGGATCCCCTGGGGGGTTGATGTCTGCCCCTCTGAAAAGCTGGACCTGCGCAAGAGGCTCATCCCCCTGCTGCCGCTGCTCGCACCCTGGTCCTCCAAGGAGGAGATGGACTCCGGCTTCTGGGAGCTGCTGGATGAGAACAGGTTGGAGCTGCTGCTCTTGTTGCTGCTGGTGGCGTTAGTGCTGCTCTGGCTGCTACAGGCCCGGCCCGGTCGCCCCAGGTTCCCAATAGCCAGATACTCCGGCCCATCGTTGGCGTCGCTCTGGGCGTCGTCCTGGCTACCCGCCCAGGGGTCCTCGCTCTGGCTGGTCACGGTGCTGGTGCTCATCTCGCTGACCGAAGAGAAGGAGTCTCTGGGGGAGGTAACACTGAGCCGGGGGAGGCCAGGTGGGCCCTGAGGGGACCTGTCCTCAGGCAGCAAGAGGGATACGTTGTACAGGGCATTTTCCAGAGGCGGGCTCGTGCTGCTGCACACGGAGGAGCTTGCTGGTCTCCTGTCTGGACAGAGGCAGGAGGGAGAGGTCACACACAAGTGCACCACAGCCCAGATGAGGGCAATGAGCACATGGCTCAACACACTAACAAACCCAGCGCAGGAAGGCCCGGTCAAGGGATCGCTGGTTTTATTAAAAATCCCTTCCTCCCCACCACTCCCATTGGTCTCCCAGGCATGTGTTGGAAGCTGAAAACCAAGGCCCATGTCCTCACTGAAGCTTAATTTCCATCCACTGCACTGGGGTGTTATTGCAGGGTTGCTCAGGAAGGCTGGGACACACAGGAACGCTGGTTTACTGTTGTTGGTTGGTGCAGGAGGGCCAGGCACAAAACCTACCATTTATTGTGTGGTACTTTTGGGAAGTCCTGGCATGCATATGCACACCCTGATGTGTTATTGTCAATTGCTTGGACAGACAGGGCTCTGCGTGGCCACAGGAGCGTAACTTATCATTAATAAATTAATCTATTAAAACACTAGAATCTAAGAGACTAATTCCTGCTAGGTAACAGGTAAAAAAAAAACAAAAAAAAAACAGCTTAAGATTTAAAGTTGAAATGCAAGAAACCTATGGACTAAGGCCTGTCAGATATTTAGCTTAGCCAAATTAGGCTTTACAATAAATTAGCCATATTATAAAGATACATTAGCATAAGTAAGTTAATAATAAATGTGCTGAGCTTGTGTCTATGTTTGTATGCTGAGGTTCTGAATAATAACTGCTGAGTTTGGATGATTCCGACTAGAAGAGATCAGTAGACACCACGAGATGACCCTTGGTAGCCAAAGTGAACTGTTAGAGATTTCCTTAAATTAACTGTTACTATGGTGATAAGGGGACATAAATGTTACTAAGTTGAAAGACGAACTATCCAAGTGGCCTATCACGTGACAAGTCCCCCAGTATTATCAGGGTGACAGTCCCAAAGATGGACATAAGGGGTTTTAACCCTCATGCATATTAATAAGTTTTGGTGGGCATATGCATAACTTCTTATCAGTATAAGCTGGCAAATGGCTGGAGGTCAGTTTCCTGACCCTCCACAGGAGCCGGACACTCCACCATTCTTCAGGCTTCCAGAAGGAGACGCGACTGTTATCGGGAATGTAGGGGCTGGACGTGGTTTTCGCTAACCATTGCAATCTATGCACAGTTATGTTAATTGGGTTGTTCTATCTGAGAGATCCTTGTTCCCTCCATGCTTCTCAGATCTCCAACAATGATGCAACCCCACCTGGTGGTGTTAGCCCTAATGTTTCAAATGCTGGAGGAGCCATGGAGCTCCGACTTTTGTCTAACACTAGAGTTTAAAAGGGGTTATCAATATTAGTCAATCCCATAACCAATCAACACTACAGTAGTTTACAGTAGGATTGCTCAGGAAGCCTGAGTGACACGCACATGTTATTACAGGACTGCAGGGCCTGGCTTTTGAGAAAAGATCGATCCTGAACTATGCACTCTGCAAACAGACCCTGTATAAAAGAGAGTGGGTCACATTCTGAGCTTCCCACGTGCAGCAGGAACACAGAACCCCCACTCCTATTACCTGACATGCTGGTGGAGGCTGGTTGGTGCAGACTGGAGAAGGATCCGAAGTACCTGTGTTGTGTATAGTCCATAGGAGGGATACACACAGAACCAGGAAGGGCTGTCAGGCTTTGACTCTTCGTCACAGGCAATGGGGCCTCACTCCTTCTGAGAAACTGAACAGATGCAGCACTGTTAATAAACCAGAGCTACAGTGTTAAGTGACAAAGGGAAGTGGACTCAGAGCCCTGAAAGCCGCAACTGTTGAGTCAAAGAGGAATCAACGAGGAATGCCCAGCATGAGTGCCTGTTACTAAACGGGGAGGACAGCTGCAGCTCTGGTGTCAGGTGGGATGCTGCCAGCTCTCTACGATAGGGTGAAAAAGCCATAGTAAAACAGGGAACCAGCCCATTGTTCTCAATTAAGCAGCAGGCTCCCATGTGGAAACTACCAGGCTCTCAGTGTGATGATCCAGGGCCAGCGGAGGGACCTGACGCGCACACAGCCATCAATCCTGCTGTTCCATCCAGCAGAGAGAACACAGCCACAGTTTATTAAACAGTCACCAGGACTTCTCATCTGGAGACCTCAAAGCTCTCTGCAGAGAACATGGGGGGGTAGGGGGGAAGACGACCTGTTCACCCTGTTGTACAGATGGGGAAACTAGCAAAGGGGTAAAGTGACCAGCACAAGGCCACAAAGGAAGTCAGTGGCAGCAGAGGCACAAATAAAACCCAGCTCTCCTGGCTCCGGAACGCTTCTTCTCCCCAACAGACTGTATACTTCAGTCCATTGGTGTCCTCCCAGTGGCAGTCCTGGTTCCTGTTACTATGCCCCGATTTGAACATGTAACACACACCACATTCCACCTGTAATCCCTAGGAAACCCACACACCTAGAACTTCAAGGATCTTTTCAGAGAATTGACTGGTTCCTACCACCCCCCACTAAAATGTGGCTCTTGGAAGCCAATCAAAACAGGACATGGCCCAGTGTGTGCCCTGAATGTCCAACTCCATTAAACAAAGACAGCCCCATGCCCACTGCAGCCCACCTTTAACATCACACAGGCATCATTGACAGAGAAGCCAGCTCCTAATCAGCTGTTTCCCATTTCTCTTCTCGCCCCTTCTGCGAAGAACCCCAGCCAAGGAGTAAAAGCCTCCTCCAAGGGGCTGCGTGTGCTCTGCGTGAGACACTGTGCGAGGGAGTCACCATTCACCAAGGAGAGACGGACACAAAGCAGGGGCTCTTCTCACCATGGACGTGTCAATCTGAGCCAGAAGTCTGGGGTTGTTCTGTTCCACAGCCTCCAGGCACTGTAACATGGCTGTGACGTGGGCGTCACTGAGCAGGAAGGCAGCGTCTGGAAGGAAGTGGCAGCTGAAGGTTGGTCACGCTGGTGAGATTCATGGCACCCCGCTGCTACCCTTGGCAGACAGGGATTTGTGGTGTGACGCAAAGGGGACTACGCAATTATTTAATACATGACACTGGAGACAACCTCCCAGTCCCTCCCTGAGCCAGAACTTTGGCCAGCTCCATTGCGGCAAGACAGAACAATTGCAGAACAGTCTCTCTGCTGCCATGCTAGCTAGGATAAGATGACAATCATCTGGGCATAATCATTTGGGATCAGGAAGATCATGGGCCCACCTCATGGCCACGGCTGTCCTAGTATCTATTATCAACAGGCAAGGGATTCTCTCTCATGGCTGAAGAAGTAGTAGGCAGGGCTGGGCACTGCCGGGTCAGTCAGGTTCTCAGAGAGTACCTGGAAAGTGCCGTAAGCCGGCTGAAGTCCATGGAAAAAGGGCCAGTGGCGGACATAAAGCCCACTGATATCCATTGGAAAGGCGTCAGTGACTAAGCTGGTACCCAGGGCTCAGGGTCAGAGTCCCTGGAAAAGGCCGCACTCCAGATCCAGTGGCCAATCCTGAACTGGGATCTTCCTGTTTGAGGCTATTGTTATGCCAAAGCCTTTTGGTTCCTTTCTTTGAATTAGAGCTGGTGGGAAACAGTTTTCCTGTCCTGCCAGAATTTATCATTTAAAACCATTTTCCCCTCTCAAATTGGGATGAAAAGTCAAAAAGTCTCCAATTTTTGCAAACCAAAAATCTGAAAAAAACGTGGATCAGGTCACACCGTTCCATTTTCTACCTTTATTTTAAAACACGTCTCCCCGCAAATAAAAGTTAAAATTCTAAACAAGTCATTTTGAGTCAAAAATGAAATTTTTTGTTTAGAAAATGGCAAAATGGGATCCTGACAATTCTGACCAATGCTTGAAATGGGCAACTCACCGAAACTGACCCTTCACCGTGAAGAGTTTGGGTTCTGATGCATCGGTATTTTCCAACAAAAAAGCTTTCCATCAAATACTTCCCAGCCAGCTCTAATTTCAACCTAGACAGACACAGGGCGGCTCAGGAACAAAACCAGACCTTGTATCCCTGCTGCCCCCACCTGCTTAGAGGCGGGACCTGGCATTGGACATTGCCAGAAACAGGCTCCTAGACTGCAAGGACCACTGGACAGATCCCAAGCAGTGCTATAAGGAATCTTAATCCACCCTCAAATTACACGTTATGGAATCCCTCACATCCTGGCATCCTCTGGGCTACAGAATTTCCTACCCTCCCCCATCCCAGCATTCGATGTGCTACCGAAGCCTGTGTCCCTGGCTGGAGAGAAGGGCATGCCTAGATATCCTCATGGGGGGAAGGAGATTGTCTCCACGGTGCTGTTTACCTGTGTAGAATTTCCTGATGTACTGTCTGTTCTCAAGCAGCGGTTTCAGCTGTGCGGAGAGGCAGTGGAACTGCAGACTGTGCTGGAGCCACAGCTCTGCTATGGCTCGACGACTTACACCATCTGCGTTTGGCTGGCCTTTCTCATGCAGGCTGATGAACTGGAAATGGACACCACACACAAGTCAAGTCAGACAGAGACTAGTGGGCTCACGAGAGCAATGCACCGGTGTCTGCTAAACCTGGAAAGCCAATCTTAGGTTCAGTAGCGGACACTGGGCCATCCAGCAACTTCCTATCACCAGGCATTGACTGACGGCATACAGTTGTCTTGCAGCAGCACTGTAACCATCCACTCTTGACAGACGGGGGGAGCTATTGACCAAGCCAGCACATTTACAAGGGAAACAGCTGCACTGGGAGGGAATTGCGCAACAAAGGTCAATAAGAACATAAGAACAGCCAGGCTGGGTCAGACCAATGGTTCATCTAGCCCAGTGTCCTGTTTTCCAACAGTGGCCAATGCCAGGGGCTCCATTCAGAGGGAATGAACAGAACAGGCAATCGAGTGATCCATCTCATCATCCACTCCCAGCTTCTGGCCAACAGAGGCTAGGGACACTCAGAGCATGTTGTTCCATCCCTGCCCATCCTGGCTAATAGACATTGATGGACCTTTCCTCCGTGAATTTATCTAATCCTTTTTTGAATGCAGTTATACTTTTGGCCTTCACAACATCCCCTGGTGATGAGTTCCACAGGCTGACTGGGCCTTGTGTGAAGAAGTGCTTCCTTTTGTTTGTTTTTAACCTGCTACCTGTTAATTTCATTGGGTGCCCCCTAGTTCTTGTGTTATGAGGGGTAAATAACACTTCCTTATTTACTTTCTCCACACCAGTCAACATTTTATAGACCTCTCTCATAGCCCCTCTTCGTTGTCTCTTTTCCAAACTGAAAAGTCCCAGTCTTTTTAATCTCTCCTCATACGGAAGCTGTTCCACACCCCTCATAGTTTTTGTTGCCCTTCTCTGGATCTTTTCCAATTCCAATACATCTTTTTTGAGACAGGGCAACTAGATCTGCTCGCAGTATTCAAGACGTGAGTATACCATGGATTCATACAGAGGCATTATGACATATTCTGTCTTCCTATCTGTCCCTTTCCTAATGGTTCCTAACATTCTATTAGCTTTTTTGGCTGCTGCTGCACACTGAGCGGATGTTTTCAGAGAACTCCAAGATCCCTTTGTTGAATGGTAAAAACTAATTTATACCATATATATATATATATATATATATATATATATATATATATATATATAAAATTGGAATTATATTTTCAACACTGAATTTCATCTGCCATTTTGTTGCCCAGTCACCCAGTCTTTTGAGATCCCTTTGTAACTCTTTGTAGTCTGCTTTGAACGTAACTAGCTTGAGTAATTTTGTATTGTCTGCAAATTTTGCCACCTCACTGTTTACCCCTTTTTCCAGATCATTTATGAATATGTTGAATAGGACTGGTCCCAGTACCAACCCCTGGGGGACACCACTCTTTAACCCTCTCTATTCTGAAAATTGACCATTTATTCCTACCCTTTGTTTCCTGTCTTTTACCAGTTACTGATCCATGAGAGTTCCTTCTCTCTTATCCCATGACTGCTTACTTTGCTAAAGAGCATGTCAAAGGCTTTCTGAAAGTCTAAGTACACTACACCCATTGGATCATCCATGTCCATATGTTTGTTGACCCCCACAAAAATTCAAATAGCTTGGTGAGACATGATTTAACTTTACAAAAGCCATGTTGACTCTTCCCCCAACAAATCATGTTCATCTATATGTCTGATTATTCTTTTCTTAGTTTCAACCAATTTCCCTGGTGCTGAAGTTAAGCTCGGAGCCTTTTTTAAAAATTGGTGCCACATTAGCTCTCCTCCAGTCATCTGGTACAAAAGCTGATTTAAATGATAGGTTACATACCACAGTTAGTAGTTCTGCAATTTCATATTTGAGTTCCTTCAGAACTCTTGGGTGAATACCATCTGGTCCTGGTGACTTATTACTGTTTGTTCCAAAACTTCCTCTATTGACAGTTCCTCAGATTTGTTACCTAAAAAGAATGGCTCGGGTGTGGGAATCTCCCTCACATCCTCTGCAGTGAAGACTGATGCAAAGAATTTGTTTAGTTTCTTTGCAATGGGCTTGTCTTCCTTGAATGCACCGTTAGCATCTCTGCTCTCCAGGGGCCTCACTGATTGTTTAAAGAAAAGGAGTACTTGTGGCACCTTAGAGACTAACCAATTTATTTGAGCATAAACTGATTGTTTAGCATGCTTTCTGCTTCTGATGTACTTAAAAAAAATGTTTGCTGTTAGTTTTTGGGTCTTTGGCTAGTTGCTCTTCAAATTCTTTTTTGGCCGGCCTCATTATACTTTTACACTTGACTGTCCAGAGTTTAAGCCCCATCTTTGACTTGTTCTGAGGCCTAGTCTTGCCACTTAGCAACAACATCATCAGAACTGACGAAGCATTCCTGATCTGAACCACGGTACGGTCCGATTGCTGTAGTCCCTGCCCTCCTAGTGCTTATCCCCATCTCTCAGCGTGTTTGGTCCCAGCTGAGGCCACATGCTCTTTGGAGGAAGGACATGGTCCTTTGTCTATCAAGAGCTATGCAGATGAGCCCTGCCATATATGTGACCTCAAAGCACGTGACACTGTTCTGGGTTTTGTATGAAGAGTTTAGGACAAAGCAGGGGCAATTAGTGCCAGCTGTGGTGGCAGTTAGTGAAGGAGCTGCAGGAATGAGAGACCAAAAACCTGTTTCTCATAGACAACAAGTCATCCGTGGTCTTGAATTGAACTCTGTCAAGCCTTCTGGGATGCAGCTTGTACAGAATACGAGGCTGCATACTTTTGATCATCCCCCTTAGTTTAAGGGGCACTGAGTTCACTCACAAATTAAACATGATAGAGGGATTATAACAAAACGTCTCCTCCCTCAATCTGTCAAACCAAGACAAGAGGATCACTCCAAGGAAGCGAACTCCACTGCCAGGGTGTCCCAGCTGCTCCATGGCAGGCAAACCGCAGTCTAACACTTCAGTCACTCAGTTAATCGTGAGAATCAAACTGTGCAACTTAGTCACTCTTTGCTGGCCAGGGAAAGCAACAGCCTTGAGATCTCCAAGCCAGCCCTGTCCTCCAATCCCAAACACGCCAGAACTCACCTTCTCCACGTGATGAGCAGAGTGCGGGCTCAGCCAGCGGATGTCTTTCACAAACTGCCAGTAATCTGTCTGCCTGCAGTACACCTGCCCGGAAAACGCACAGTTAGACTCCGCCTGATAAACCCCGCCACAATAATGACAGGTGCTGAGAGACCAGTGCAGTTCATGCGACCTTCGGCAGCCTCTCGTGAGGTCGCCGCACCGCTCAGCTGACAGCACGAGTCACTCGCAGGCATTGATGTGGGTGAGAGAGAAGAAGGGTGTCCTAGGGGTTGCAGCATTAGGGACTTGGGAGACCTGGATTCAATTCCCGGCCCTGTCACAGGCTTCCTGAGTGACCTTGGGCAAGTCTCTCTATGCCTCATCCCATCTGTGACATGGGGATAATAGCCCTGCCCTGCCTCACAGGTAGGTGGGGTGCATAAACTCATTGCTTGTGAGGTTCTCAGCTACTTCCATGATGCGAGCGATAGAAGTAACTTATACACACACACACACATATATATATATGGAGGGGGAGGGATAATAGACAGACACACATACCTTATCTAATTAACCCTTTCCTAACACATGCAGGACGTGAACGAGTCAGCCATGCCAGTAGGACACCCAGTGCTTTCAGTGCCAGCACATTCCACCGAATGACTGTGAACTGCAGAGTAACTTCGTATTTCCCACCCCGGAGTGCAATAATCTGCTGTAGGAGACACAGGGCAGGAGATAAGCAGCGGGACCCAGGATCTGCATGACCCTAGAGCCAGCTCTCAGGCCCCACTGCAAACATGAGTGGTGAGCAGCTTATTGAACTATCCCTCTGCCTGCTCTTGCAGCAAACCATTCCTCACGCAGCTGGCCACAGGAGCGACACTCAGGCACAGGGCTGCAGGAGCAGCGCACTGGTACTGTCTGGGTCTCATCTTAGATTCATAGATTCATAGATATTTAGGCCAGAAGGGACCATTATGATCATCTAGTCTGACCTCCTGCACAATGCAGGCCACAGAATTTCACCCACCACTCCTAAAAAAGACCTCACACCTATATCTGTGCTATTGAAGTCCTCAAATTGTAGTTTGAAGACCTCAAGGAGCAGAGAATCCTCCAGCAAGTGACCCGTGCCCCATGCTACAGAGGAAGGCGAAAAACCTCCAGGGCCTTCCAATCTGCCCTGGAGGAAAATTCCTTCCCGACCCCAAATATGGCGATCAGCTAAACCCTGAGCATATGGGCAAGATTCATCAGCCAGATACTACAGAAAATTCTTTCCCGGGTAACTTGGATCTTACCCCATCTAAAAACCCATCACAGGCCATTGGGCCTATTTACCATGAATATTTAATTACCAAAACCATGTTATCCCATCATACCATCTCCTCCATAAACTTATCGAGTTTAATCTTAAAGCAAGATAGATCTTTTGCCCCCACTACTTCCCTCGGAAGGCTATTCCAAAACTTCACTCCTCTGATGGTTAGAAACCTTCGTCTAATTTCTAATCTAAATTTCCTAGTGGCCAGTTTATATCCATTTGTTCTTGTGTCCACATTGGTACTGAGTTTAAATAATTCCTCTCCCTCTCTGGTATTTATCCCTCTGATATATTTATAGAGAGCAATCATATCTCCCCTCAACCTTCTTTTAGTTAGGCTAAACAAGCCAAGCTCCCTGAGTCTCCTTTCATAAGACAAGTTTTCCATTCCTCGGATCATCCCAGTAGCCCTTCTCTGTACCTGTTCCAGTTTGAATTCATCTTGCCCACCGGGGCCCCTGAAGAACCAGCAGTAGATTTCCCCTGGCACTCAGCAGCCTGGAGCCTTTTTGCAAACAGGCACAGGGAGCAACAAAACAAGAGGGGGCGGGGGGGGGGGGAAGGGGAAGTAAAAAGAGAGGAAGCATATGGAGAGGAAAAAAGGCAAAGCATAGCAATTGCATGGCGGTCTGGTGTGAAAGGGAGAGGGTTATTCATTACTCTACTGCCGGGGGCCCAACAAAAGGAGGCGGCTGGGAACTAGCACCTGGACCACTGCTCACAACCCAGGTGCCAAACACTCTGCCAGACGCACCTCCTGCCCTGCCAGATGGACAAGGAACAGCCCAGCTGTCCTCCGATTTCCAGCGGGCAGAAGAGTGCAGGAGGAAAGCAGCTGGAGGAGAGGACTGGCAGTGAAGAGATCCCACCTATTTGCAGGCTGGGCTGGCAGCCTGGGCATATTTGACCCTTAGCACATCGAGGGCGAAACAAAGCGCAATCCAAGCTGGGAGGGCAGAGTCGTTCAGAGTCCAGCAAAGCAAAGCAGGAGAGAGGAAATTTTGCCCGGCCACTCCAAGGGGGCTCATTGCAAAGTAACAACCTTGTTAGCTCCATGCAGCGCCAAGGTGACGCCACACCAAAGTAATGGGGAGCGTATCACCATTCTGCCTGTTGGGAAGGCAGTGCAGGTTATAGGCTGCAGCATGAGGAAGGTGAGGCAGTGCGGGGAACGTTCCAAATAAATCCTCCTCTCTACACCAGCCCCAGGGTGACAGAGTGCACAAGGCAGAGAGATTCAGGCGTGAAATCAGACCTTTCTCCCCCTTACCTCTGCCTGGTTACTTCATGGCCACCATCACCACCTGCTTCGTGCTTCTGTGCTCTACTGCGCAACCCAGGGGAAAGGGCTAATTTTAAGGCTAAGATCTGTGTCTTAAAGGGACAGTGTCCCATCTCCTTGCAACAGGGCCATGGTTAATTTAAGGGGTGAGCTTTCATGACAGGAAGGAGGGAAATGAGGACCCTGGCTCTTCTGGATTAAAGTGGAACTCTACTCCCCTACACCAGCCCTGGGAACACAATTGTGCGACAATCAGAATTATTCCCCACAGGCTCAAGGAGAGTACAACACTCTTGTAAGGTCCCAACCAAAGAGAGCTAGTGGGCTTGGTTGCTCAGAGGCAGAGGGAAATGTTCCCCAAATTCCAGCTGCTTTCAAGATAAAGCAAATCTGGGAACGGGGACATTTGAATGCTGTTTGCAGTGTTAAGCTGCATGCTTGCCTCTCTTCACTTGTTCTCTTGAAATTTTTGCCAAGTTCAACATTGCACAAGCCACTGTTATCAGTATTCTCTTTCTTAACAGCAGCACGGGAAGAGCTTTCTGACCAGACAGCAGTGCAAAAGGAGTCTAACTTCAGGGAGGGACAGAGGCCAACACAAAAACATCCTGGCAAACAAAGCAGCAGAGATTGTGTGTCTTCTAACATTGCAAGCCATCAATGGGCTCTCCTGCACTGCTAAGCAGCTAGGAAGCAGGCTTGAAATTTAATGCAGCATGCTGCTAGGATGGCATATTTCATTTGCTCTCAGTTGAGGTCTGTCTCCGCTTTCTTTGGAGAGGTTATCCCGTTTTATTAGTTACGCTTCTTGTTAAAGATCAGTTGCAAAGGAAATATTTTTTGTTTATGCCATGTGCTACTGCTTTAGGAGAGGTATAAAAGTGGCCTCGGTATTCCCTCCCACCCACAACAACATGTTTTATCTTAGAAATATCAAAAATATCAATTGTTTTCTTCCCTGAGTTTTGGGCTTTTTTTCTTTTTTTTGTTTTGAAAACTAGACTATTAGGTTTCAGAGTAGCAGCCATGTTAGTCTGTATCCGCAAAAAGAACAGGAGGATTTGTGGCACCTTTGAGACTAACCAATTTATTTGAGCATAAGCTTTCGTGAGCTACAGCTCACTTCATCGGATGCATTCAGTGGAAAATACAGTGGGGAGATTATATACACAGAGAACATGAAACAGTGGGTGTTCACTCTAACTAGAGTGATCAGGAAAAATGAGCTATTACCAGTAGGAGAGCGGGAGGGGGTGGGGGAAACTTTTGTAGCGATAATCAAGGTGGGCCATTTCTAGCAGTGAACAAGAACGTCGGGGGGGGGGGGAGGGACAAACAAGGGGAAATAGTTTTACTTTGTGTAATGACCCATCCACTCCCAGTCTCTATTCAAGCCTAAGTTAATTGTATCCAGTTTGCAAATTCATTCTAGCAGTCTCTTGCTGGAGTCTGTTTTTGAAGTTTTGTTGAATAATTGCCACTTTTAGGTCTGTAATCGAGAGACCAAAGAGATTGAAGTGTTCTCCAACTGGTTTTTGAATGTTATAATTCTTGAGGTCTGATTTGTGTCCATTTATTCTTTTACGTAGAGACTGTCCAGTTTGACCAATGTACATGGCAGAGGGGCATTGCTGGCCCATGATGGCATATATCACATTGGTGGATGTGCAGGTGAACGAGCCTCTGATAGTGTGGCTGATGTGATTAGGCCCTATGATGGCGTCCCCTGAATAGAGATGTGGACACAGTTGGCAACGGGCTTTGTTGCAAGGATAGGTTCCTGGGTCAGTGGTTCTGTTGTGTGGTTGCTGGTGAGTATTCATCTTCTGGACCCATGGAAAAGAAGCCCAACCAAGAAAATAACAGAACCCCACTAGCCATCACCTTCAGCCCCGAACTAAAACCTCTCCAGCGCATCATCAAGAATCTACAACCTATCCTGAAGGACAACCCTTCACTCTCACAGATCTTGGGAGACAGGCTTGAATAAAGACTGGGAGTGGATGTGTCATTACACAAAGTAAAACTATTTCCCCTTGTTTATTTCCCCTCCTCCTGCTCTTGTAAACTGCTGGAAATGGCCCACCTTGATTATCACTACAAAAGGTCCCCCACCACCGTCCCCACCGCCTGCTGGTAATAGCTCACTTTTCCTGATCACTCTCCTGACAGTGTGTATGGTGACACACATTGTTTCACGTTCTCTGTGTATATAAAATCTCCCCACTATATTTTCCACTGCATGCATCCAATGAAGTGAGCTGTAGCTCACGAAAGCTTATGCTCTAATAAATTTGTTAGTCTCTAAGGTGCCACAAGTACTCCTTTTCTTTTTTTAGAGTATTAGGGTGAGAGTTCTCAGCCCTGGAGACAGAGTTTTTATTTTATATACAATAAAAATATATAACCCCCAGGGCTGAAAAAACTCCCACCCTAGTTCTCCAGTGTGCATGTGTGTAGATATAATTTATTTTCAACTGGAAGCCAGTAGGTAGGGTCACTGTTGAATCATTCCCAAAAAGTGCTTCTCCCCTGGTGTGTCAGGAGTCTGAATGAAACAAGTGTGACCAGAAAACAATGTGGAAGAGTCAGATTCAATACCGCCTCCCCAGCTACTATCCATTCAGTCTCTTGTGATGTCGCAATCCCAATTTCTCAAAGGAAAGTCAAGTCCTGTTACTTCTAATAACAAAAAACAAATGGGAAAAGAACCTTCTTCGTATGTAATAAAAGCACCAAAAAAAAAAAAGGGGGGGCGGCACTTGCTCTTGCTAAGTAGATCCAACATCTAAACTGCTCACAGATCCTTGGGCATGAACAACCCCCAGTGCACTGAAAGCATTCAGTTATTCCAACTGTGTAATCAATGAATAACAGGGTCTGTCTGAAGTGTGTTTCCTTAAAACAAGTACTGTGCATCTAGCACAAATCAAGAGCCAGCAGGTTATTTCGAGGTTTGCTGATCACCCACCCAAGTTCATTTGCACCTGTGCCAACAGCGGGCAAATATTCAAGAAGAAACTACTGCAGGGTGGAAATGGTAAGCAGAGGGGTAGACAGTCTCAGGGCTCTGTCTGAATGCAAAGAATCTTTTTGGGGCCAGGGGCAAGGAGGGAGAGAAGAGGCTGGCTTTAGAGCAGCAATGGTAAAGGGAATGGATCCAGATAAGCCAGGGGTTCTCAATCTTTTCCTTTCTGAGGCCCACTCCAACAGGCTATAAAAACTCCCTGGCCTACCTCTGCCAAAACTACTGGTTTTCTCCATATAAAAGCCAGGGCTGGTGTTAGGGTATAGCAAGCAGGGCAACTGCCTGGGGTCCCATGCCACAGGGCCCCCCCGTGAAGCGAAGATGCTTGGGCTTTGGCTTCAGCCCCAGTGGCAGGGCTCAGGGTCCCAGGCTTCAGCACCATGGGGGGGCTTTGGCTTTCTGCCCTAGGCTTCAGCGAGTCCAACGCTGGCCCTGCTTGGAGAACCCCCTGAAACCTGCTCGTAGTCCCCCAGGACCACTGATATAAGCAACAGCAGCCAGGAAGCAGTGAGGGCAAAACAAGAGAGATCATGTTTGTGTGAAGTATGGATGCAGGACTCAGAGAGTGATTTATTATCCAATAATCAAGAACGTTAAGGAATAGGGCTTCTCCTCCCAGACCAGGCTAAGAAGCTGCAACCCTGCCCAAGACCCCACATTTCAGTTCCATGTTACCAGATTGCCTCATTACAAATTCAGCATTGTCATTGCTGGGGGATCCAACAGGCAGAAACAAATGGGTGCGTGGGGCCAGCTTTTCACAGCAGAGATCACCAATACTTAGCAAAACGTGGCACGAAATGATAGGAGAGGTGAAGTGACAGGCACCCAAATCCAGTAGCTGCAGGGGTTTTCCGTAGTGTGATGAAGCCTGAGGCAAGACCATTCCCTGGGTTGATGGCTTCCTATGTTCAGACTGACAATTTACCCATATGAGAGGATTTCACTGCATTGTATAAATATTAACCTTCCCTATCCCCTTCTGAGTAGGGCAGGATCATCACGGGAAATATGAGGCACAAAGAGAGGAAATTACTTGCCCAAGGTCAAAGAGCAAATCAGTGACAGAGCAGGAGATAAAAACCCAGGAGTCCTGACTTTCAGCCCTGTTGCAGAAAACAATCCCGCCTTCAGAGCTTTAGCCCCTGCAAACTTGATGCTAATAAAACCATCAGCCTGCCGCTTCAATGCAAATAAGGCTCACTACAGATCATCTCACTCGTGACTTCCAGAAGTCACCGACCAAAGGACTGTCTCAGTAATCAAAGCACCACCTGTTAGAACAGCAACGTGGTGACAAACGCCAGATTGCCCCACATGCAAAACCCTACCTTGTCGTGGATGAGCCCGTGATAGAGGATGCTGTGCATATCCCTGCACAGCCGATCCAAGCCGCCATACTTAGACCAGACGTTCGGGTTGTTGCTGGACACCAATCCCTCAACTGTGGTCTTCAAATTGCCCAGCAGTTTCCAATGCTCCTTCCTGCACATGCAAAAGAACACACAGTGCCAGTTAGTTCCCCTCAAATCGATCAAAGTTTAGTGGCCTGACAACAGAATTAAATGCTGCCCAACTGGGCTCTGGTGAAATTAAAACCTTTGGGTAGGAGATCTAGAAGCCGGCATGGCATGGGCATCTGTACACACACTGCTGTGCTGTAGGCCTCCTGCCCGAGGGTTTAAGTTCACTAGACTCTAGCTAGTGTATTGACTGCTCCACTCATGAATATGCCTGCACAGTCTACTGAACGCAAGATGTTGCAGGCTTGGAGGGAACCAATACAACAGAACATTGCATAAGAAAGATGGATGCCAAAGCTGACTCAGATTCTATCTGTGCTGGGTCATGTTTGCATGCTACCTCCCTCTAATGCTGATGCTATCTACAGATCTCAGCCCTGCATGCAGCCCTCAATGCAATCTAGTGCTTGAGCACTTCCAGGGGGAGACACTGTCTCTTCTGCACAGAAACACCATGAGAGAGGAGTTCAGGATGGTATCTGCTGATCATTCAAAGGATATGCAAGTGTAATGGGAATTTCGTAATCCAACTCCAGGATCAGGTGACTAAAACATAATAATTATACAGTTAAATAGAAGATGGGTAGGCTAAGTCCAGCTCTACAGTAAGGACAATATCAAGAACGGCTCTCTCAGTCCCTAAATTCTGTATTGAGTCCAAGTGGAGATTTTTAAAAAAAACTTTTTAATGAAATTGTGTTCCAATCCAGGTGAATGTAAGCCACACATCCTGGGTAACTTACTACTTCCACAGTGCATCTCACAAACACTGAGCACCTCATCACACCCCCATTTTACAGATGAGGAAATGGGGACAGGGAGGTAACAGAAGTTGGCCACAGTCATGCAGGAAGTCAGTAGTAACTTCAGGAATGGAACCCAGGTGACTTGACTCCAAGATCCCCAGCATTAGCCCTTAGACAACTCTGCCTGAGAAATATAAATCCCTAAGTAAACAAGAGACAACTGTACTGAGGAATATTTGTTGAATGCATAAAAAACTAAATAAAAAGACTAGTCCCAAAGGCTCAATCAGTTCATATTTAGCCCTCAAATGATATTCTGTAAAAGCAATCTTTCATAGAACTATACACCAACTGAAACGCTGCCACAGACATTTCAGAAATCCCAACAAACAGGTCCCTGCAGGGTTTGTAACCCAGGCATTACAGCACATGCTAGGAGGAGACTCTAAAAGTGAAACTGACCAGAAAACAAGCAATGAAGTGTTCAGAGTAGCAGCCGTGTTAGTCTGTATTCACAAAAAGAAAAGGAGGACTTGTGGCACCTTAGAGACTAACCAATTTATTTGAGCATAAGCTTTCGTGAGCTACATCCGATGCACCCGATGAAGTGAGCTGTAGCTCACAAAAGCTTATGCTCAAATAAATTGGTTAGTCTCTAAGGTGCCACAAGTCCTCCTTTTCTTTTAGCAATGAAGTGATTATCTATTCTCACTGCCTAAGCTGATTAAAATGTAAAAAGTGAAAAAGCAGGATAAACAATGAAAAATATATTAGATTTCTAACAGGCTTGCATTTTTAATGTGAGGCAGCATTTGCAGCATAGATATGGACATCTGTCTTAAAAAGCAAAATACTGATATTTGAACCTTTGAAAATAATTTTTTCTCAGACACAAATAGTGTTTTTGTTGGAACTATTACGTTATCATCTCAGCACTGGTTATGTTTACAGTGAATCAGCAGATGAGAGAAACACTCAGCTCTCTTCCAGGCCTTCTCTGACAAGCCCAAAATTTTTTTTAAAAAAGGAAGACTTGTGGCACCTCAGAGACGATCACATTTATTTGAGCATGAGCTTTCCTCTGGTTGTTTATTGTCAGTTTAAATTGCTGAGAGGGCCTATTCATTTTGCCAAGGGCATTTGATAAGGAAAGGAACAGCAAGCACATTACCTCAGTGACAGAGCAGTAATTCATCAAGAATTAAGGGCAGGACCAGTTGCTTCTCAAAGACATGCAAAACGACAAGCTCACACAGCATTTGAAAGGATCAAGATCTAACCAGGATGGAGGAGTTCGTCTTACAGTAAAAACCTCTACTCAACACTAGTGCTCCAATGATCTGCAGAACCTGTGTCAGAGGATTGTGCCACAGAAATTCCCCAAAGATCTTAAAGTGACGTTAACAGCCAATGCGAACAACTCTCCAATATCACTTAATGCAAGCTTCTTTCTTTCGTAGTACAGTCACTTGGCAGTTTTTGTAAAGCATGCTGAAGGACTGTTCCTAGTGGGGTGAAACAGTAAACAGGATAAAACGTAGCATGCATGTTAATACACTCAGAGCTTCAAGATTTCCTGCTGGTTGTATTTCATGTTTCAGGGTGCAAGCTGATGGCGTTTGAGAGGCAGGACGGCATTCTAGCCCACCCTTAAAAAGTACAGAGCTGCACAACTCCCCGAACGCCTCAGATCTATGCCAGTGCCAGAGGCAGGACATTAGTCCAGACAGACCAATAGTCTGAGCTGGCACAGGAATGCCTATGCACAAGATACGGTTACTAAATATTACACAATACACAGACAAATCCAGCAACTTGAGTGCGCACGTAACGTTTGCTCTCAGCCCCTGACTTTACACTTGATTCTCATTGGCCCCCAAGCTGCCTTAAGAGCAGCCTAGCTGTCAGACAGTTTAGCCCCAGCTTCCAAAAATTATTAAAAGAAAACAGGGCCTAACTCAGCTGGGACTGTGGGGAGAGAGCGAATTCTAAACCAGATTCCAGGGCCAGCCTCCTTCTTTGGATCCTAACTGGTTGGCTCATTTAGAGACAGTAAAAAGCTTAAAAAAGCACCCCACCAACCCATTCTTCTAAATTTACACAGAAATTTCTGTCTCAACACACACCAGGTGAGCCTGCTTTGCATACTGACAGGGGAAGGAAGCAGAGGCCTCTAGCCACAGATCTGTGCTAACCTAGCAGCTGCTCTGTCACCTCTGGGATATTTCCAGGCCTCAGTCAGATTGGGGAAGTGGGAGTGAAAGCGCAGCCAGAGTCTGAATTTAGATCTTACAGCTCGTGATTCCAGGAAACTCCCTTTTAGTTGTTATTATTGTGCTATAAAAAGTATCCAACACGCACATATTGCAGGGGTGTGTCCACTACACATCAGAGCCTTGGGAAGGTGTTTAAACCCCATGCCCTTTTTATGCAAACCTGCCTTGGCACATCTTTTCCAAAGGTAAAACAACTGCATTCCAAGGGAGTGGAGTCACTGTTCTCTGCTGACACAGAATTCGTCCTTGGAGTTTTGGGGTCGTTTTGTTTAAGGCACTGTGTCAATGAACCAAGATACACATAAGAAACCACAATCAGCTAAACAAAAACAGATGTAAAGGGAAAGGTAGGAAATTATTTGGTAGAAAGATGAAAGAGAAATAGGCATTAAAATCTCTGATCTCCTGACAATGATTTTACAGGTTTCAGAGGGGTAGCCGTGTTAGTCTGTATCAGCAAAAAAAAACCAAACAAACCCAAGGAGTACTTGCGGCACCTTAGAGACTAACATTAATTGATTAGTCTCATTACAGTTGGTATGGCAACACCTATTTTTTCATGTTCTCTGTGTATATACATCTTCCTACTGTATTTTCCACTGCATGCATCCGATGAAGTGGGTTTTAGCCCACGAAAGCTTATGCCCAAATAAATTTGTTAGTCTCTCAGGTGCCACAAGTACTCCTCAATGATTTTACAGTATAGCACTTTTCAACCCAAAGCACTTCACAAGCTAGACATGCAAGAATCTGCTCATCATTGAAAATGCAGCCACCTCTGGGTTGAGAAGTGTCATCTCTGTAACGGCACACAGCAACACTGCACAACAGTTTAAGATAAGAAATTAAAAATTCTACAGCCAACAGCAAATGCATGGGGAATTCAGAGAGGCAGAACTGAGCTACCCACATTGGAGTTTGGTCTGGACCTATAGGATAACACTCCTAACTCCTGTAAGAACTGTAGTGTCGGAGATTTGCTTCAGAGTCTCATTTGCTGAGCCTGGCAGGAAGGCCTGGGGAGTGTTGCAGTGATGGAGCGCTTCCCCATTTGAATGGGTTTCCACTCCAGCTTCTCTCTACTCTCCCCCCTCTGACAGATGTTCAGAGCAGCACCAATAGGTGCCAGAGAAAACTAAGCCCAGCCCTATTGGGTCAAGGGCATGGGGTGTTGAAATAACCCTAGAAAATTCCCAGGGGACTCCCAGCCCTCTGAAAAAAAGCCATCTACTTCCTGAAAGAGGAGGGGAACTTTACCTGGGTCACATTTCAGGAGAGGACTTTCCCCTTTAGAAATCATATCACATTTAATGCATATTTTGTGATCAAGTATCACAGCCAGCCATGCTCCCCAGGCAAACAGCTGAGCAATTCTGCAGAGACTCATACAGTTTGCTCTCGGTTCAGCCTGTTCCTGAAATCGTTTGTTTGTGTAGCTGTAGCCTGCTATCAGGATAACTGGTGTGTTCTCACAAATAGTGAAGGAGGGAGGCCCTGTAGGTGACTTGGCGTGAGCAGGAGGGGAGAAAGCAGACTGAGCTGGAAGAATGGCTCATTCAATCAATACCAGAAAAGCAAACAAATTTCTCAGAGCTGTAAAAGCATTCCAACCAAATCTGGGAAATGACACATAAGAAAGTAACGTCAAGTTATCTAGGCAAGACTCCTGAATGATCTCACTCCAGAGAGAGCAGCAGAGAGGGGTAGGTCAGGAGGCAATGATACAGGTTTGATATCAGGAAGCAGGTAAGTGGACTTTGGTCTCTCTGCAGCCAGCAGTGTTTATTATTTATATACAGTACTATGGCATTGCCACAGTGACTAAAGAATATTCCTACCCTAAAGAACTTCCAACTTACTACACCAGTCACAAGATGACGGCACACAGTGGGATATACACAGAGTAAAAACTGGGGGCCAAATTCTTAGCCTGTGTAAACTGGTAAAGCTTCATTCAAGTCAGACCTAGGCTGATTTACAGCACCTGATGCTACAGCTCAAGATGTTTAAGGAAAGGCTGGATTCTTATTTCCAGAGCACCACAGGTGTACCCAGCACTGTACAAGAGATGATCAGCTAATCAGAATGGGTATTTTTCTAACAGCTTATTGTTACAGCCCTGGCTGAATTCCCACTTGGGACACACGCCAGGCCGCTGTACTGGACTCATTTGTTGGATCCTGTGTGCCTCCAGGCCCAGCTGGTCTGAGCAGCACCAAGATGCTGTCTCTAAGGCTTTGTCTACACGACACAGCTTTTAGCGACACAGCTGTGTCACTAAAAGTCGGGCACTTTTGCAGACAAAATATTTCCACCCCCAACAAGCGGTGTTCACATTGTCGACAGGAGCTGCGCTGTTCAAACTAACACTTGCCACGGCAAAACTTTTGCCTTTTAGTGGGTGGGTGGGGGAGGGGGGGTTAGCACCTCTGAACAACAAAAGTTTGGTCGTTCAATTGCCAGCCTTAGTCTGGCCTCTCAGACACGCTCCTGGGGTGCAGATTACTTGTCTGTTAGCCCTCATTGGGATATGGGACCCCCACGGCTCAGATGCCCTGGGCACCAAGACCAGTGCTGAACCCCTAAGTCTCCCCAACAGCTTAAACACACCCCTCCCCACAGTCCCACCTGTGCAGAAACGTCTACAGGCACCATGTGACAGCTGAAGCAAAAGAATGCACAGGCTTTGCAAAGGACCATCTAGACCAGACACTTCCCTCAGACACCGCACCAGACACATACCTAGGCAAAACCAACCAACACCTGCATGCAAAGCCCTCCCTCCAGTGTCCTCACCACTCAGGGTGCCAGGACCTCCTGCACCCCACTTCTCCTGCTCAGCCTTCCTGCTGTTAGCTGATGGATGGATGAGGAGAGAGCCCCCAGCTCAAGATGATGTTCTGGCCCTCTCTGTCAAGTGACCCCCAAGCAGCTTCAAAATCCCTGTCAGGCGATCGGTTGCTTAGCTCCAGGCTCACCTCCCAAACTGGGTCCTGGTCTATGCTTAAAAAGATAGATCCACCTAGCACAGAGGAGGACAAACTATGGCCCGGGGGGCCAGATCCAGCCCAACAGGGCTTTCAGTCCAGCCCGTGGGATTGCCAGCCCCGTGGTGCAGTGGGGCTAAGGCAGGCTCCCTGCCTGCCCTGGCCTCGTGCTGCTCCGGAAGTGGCCAGCACCACGTCCCTGCGGACCCTGAAGGAGGGGGAGGGGGGACGGAGGGCTCTGTGCACTGCCCTCGCCTGCAGGCACCGCCCCACTGCAACTCCCATTGGCCAGGAATGGGGAACTGTGGCCAATGGGAGCTTCGGGGGGTGGTATCCACTGGCAAGGGCAGCGTGACAGCTGCCTGCCCCACCCCACCCCACCCCACCCCCAGGAGCCACTGCAGGACATGTTGGCCACTTCCGGGAGCGGTGCGGCACGAGAGCAGGCGCAGGGCCTGCCTCAGCCCCGCTATGCACTGCTGCCATCCTGGAGCCACTTGAGGTAAGCGGCGCCAGGCCAGAGCCCACACCCTAACCCCCTGCCTTGAGCACCCCAACCCCCTGCCACACCCCAACCCCCTGCCCTGAACCCCCGCTGCACCCCAATCCCCTGCCCTGAGCCCCTTCCTGCGCACCCTGCACTCCAATCCCCTGCTCCAGCCCTACGTTCATGGCCCTGCATACAATTTCCCTACCCAGATGTGGCCCTCGGGCCAAAAAGTTTGCCCACCCCGACCTACCAGGTCACTCATGGCTGTGAAAAATGGTTCTGCCCTGAGCAACTTATTTAGGGGGTCTACCTAATCCCCCACATAAATGCGGATGGGTCAACAGGAGATTCTTCCATCTACCTAGCTACCCCCTCTTGGAGAGGTGGATTTTAAAGTTTTATTAAGATGATGTTAAAATAAAAAGAAAACAGAGTTTAAGAGTAGAAGTTTCTGGTTATCAGGGAATAACGTATAGATTATCAAGAGGTGCGAAGTTTGGTAACTACATCAATGGAAAAAAACCTTCTGTCCATCGAGGAAACATCTACTCTACATTGGCAGCACCATGACCATAGCTGTGCTGCTGTAGCATAGCCATACCCTGGGAAAAGTTGTTCCCATTGTCTGCAGCCTGCCTGTTCTTCTAGAGTGGACTCATTTGAATGGAGAACCATCTAGGCTGGTGACTCTTGATGGCTTTCCTATTGTTAGCCTCTCTGCTAGGTGTAAGGATTCCTTCTAACACCTCCTGGGTGTCCCAGACTACAGTACAAAAGCAAAGGGCACGGAATAGGTTATTATGAAAATGGCACTCACAAAACCAAATGGAGTCTGCAGATGGATATAGGAATATACAGACATATACTAATGTGTCACATTATTAATATTCCAAGTGGGCACGTGCAGAAAGCAAGACTCAGTAGGTGGATGCTGGAGCCTTCTAGCATTCCTGTACTGGGATCAGTTTAAAGAGGGTTTTATTTTATTTTAGAAACTACTGTACTTAATTACAAATATGAGGAAGGATCTGTAACAAATCAGAGTCTCCTCCATCCAAGGGAAAGACAGAAATGCGGTACAGCACTACAGAACAATCATTACAACTACTTTCATGCAACCCTGTATTGTCTTATCAGCATACCATGATTTAGGTAAAAAGAAAAGGAGGACTTGTGGCACCTTAGAGACTAACCAATTTATTTGAGCATAAGCTTTCGTGAGCTATAGCTCACTTCATCAGATACATACTGTGGAAACTGCAGAAGACATTATATACACAGAGACCATGAAACAATACCTCCTCCCATCCCACTCTCCTGCTGGTAATAGCTTATCTAAAGTGATCACTCTCCTTACAATGTGTATGATAATCAAGTTGGGCCATTTCCAGCACAAATCCAGGTTTTCTCACCCTCCGCCCCCCCCCCCCCCCCACACACAAACTCACTCTCCTGCTGGTAATAGCACTCGTTATCCCTAGCCTGATTCTTGCTTGCATATTTATACCTGCCTCTAGAAATTTCCACTACATGCACCCACTAAAGTTTATGCTCCAATACATCTGTTAGTCTATAAGGTGCCACAGGACTCTTTGCTGCTTTTACTTGAAGTACGTAATTTATAAAAGGGTGCTGTCAGGCTGGTTCAGCCCTGCTGACTGAACCTGGACACCTGGGTTCCTAGCTGGTGCATTATCATCAGTAACAAAGACTCTGACAGCCAGAGGCCACACTGAGTCACATCTGTGCCCTTCCCTTGCGACCAGTAGGGTTTCACAGGTGTAACTGAGGCCAGAATCCAGCTCTGCAGCTGGAACTCAAGTCAACAATGCAGTTGACGATGCAGGAGTCAGAACAGAATCTGACACGCTGACCCAGGGCTAAGCTGGATACGCAGAGCTAGAAGGAGCAAAAATGTATTTTTGTCAATGAAGTCAGCATAGTGACTCAGAACACACTCATGGAGCTGTGCTGCTGAGTAAAGAAGGATTTTTTTAAAAAACAAAACAGTTAAAGTTTCAGAGTAGAAATTTTAAACTAGGTTAAATCAGAGGCATATGTGTCCTTTAAGCAGCAAATGTGCTGCAGGAGCCATCATATTCAATAAGGAGAATCTCACAAGTACATGGCTACTGGAACACTGTTCTCTGCCCGAGGAAGTCATTTGATCTGTCTTGACAAATTTCAGAGATCAGTTTGTGGGCACTGCAGCGGGACAACACCATGCTCGCTGTCACTTTGTCTCAACTTTAAAGGTGGCCTGCAAAACAATCATTTAACAGTGTGCTTTGAACTCTGTCGTCTAGGAAACCAAGCTGCAAACACAGGAAGTTTTTGTGGGTCACGCAGCCTGCTCCTTACACAGGCATGGCACTTCCGGAAGGGGGCGTGGAGAAGCAGACTTCTGTCATGTTATTGATACCAACAGGGAACAGCAAAAAAAAAAAAAAAAGTCAAAGAAAGCCTATTCTCCTCAGCTCAGGAAACAGGCTCATGCAGGACCAGCCACAGAGGGCAGAGGAGGCCCGCTGGGAAATTATGCCTCAGATCTGCTGGCACTGTACCTCTGATACTCAAATTGGTAGTGAAGCTGGAAGCACCATGTGCTCTGTACTTTACCTGCAAACAGCACACACGCCTGCTGCTCAACACTTCATTTGCAAAAGCCTTTCCCCCATATTAACGAGGGCAGCAGCACAGCTGGTGTCTCCAGAAATTACAGATTCAATGCTTTGTTTTTCCTTTGCAAGTAGTTTCATTGTTTCAGGGTGACTTTGGGGCTGGTACAAGATGCCAGACTGACAGCTCTGGGGACTGAAGTTCTCCCCGTACCCCGGAAGAGACACGATCATACGACAAACCTTCTGCACCACCCTCGTAAGCCTTAATCACAAACTGCAAGAATCACCTAGGAAAGAGAGCACAGTCCTGTCTCCATGGCCAATTCAGTCCTTGATTTCCTCTTGAGGCACCCCACAAGAGGATAACACAACCGGTGCAAGCTGTGGTTTTGGTGACATGGACAACTGTGTAGTAGACCCCAACTCACACAGGGATCCCTGGACTGAGACTCCAGCTCACAGGAGTTTCTGAAATGTATTGTTTGTTAGAACAAATATCAAATATTTCACTAATCCCATGCAACCAAACAACCTCATCAACAGACCAGCACAGCATTAACCTAGTTAGATTATAAACTCTTTAGGGCACCGCCCATCTCTGTTATATTTTGTACAGGGCCTAGCACAGTGGGCCTTTCGGGTGCCACCACAATCATGATCTGCAACCCTATACAATAACAAACAGGGACTGAGGAGAACAAAGTAGCAAGGAAAGCGATTGCAGTTTCAAGCCTCCAACAAGATCTTAGGAACAAGGAAGGGGAAAAAATGCAGAAAGCCCTTTGGCTGTTTCCCTTTTAAATCACCAACTGGACATGTGAGGAGAGAGAAGAGGGAGTGTACAGAGCACATGTTCTTAGCCTAAGGTGCCACAAGTACTCCTTTTCTTTTTATGTTTACAAATAAAACCCAGAAGGACAATCCTTGCTGGGAAGTGGCTGTCAAGTGGTCCCAATTAACTGTAACCTTCCCCCTGCCATGAAATTTCTGAAAGCAAGCAGCCGGCCAAAGGCAGAGACTGGCTTTCCATGCTGTTCTCGCAATATTAGCTGTCTCCTTGCTCCCCACCGGCTTCCCCCTTAGGATTCTCTCTCTGGGCCCTGTTATTCCCCCTGCCCCTTCTCTGTAACACAGAAGTTTAACAGAACATCTGCACATTTAACTCTCAACACTATACCATTTTATCAATGGTCTTTCCATGGTTTCCAATGACATGCCTGGATCATTTTAGAACATCTGCTCCCTCTTCCAAGGCGCTCTGAGTACCATTTCACTGACTGGCTAACGGAGAGCATCAGCCTTCATCCTGCTCTTTGATGGGACATCTTCAGTGAAGTCTTTGCTCTCTTCTCTCCCCAAGGACAAATGGAGAAAAAAAAGCAGGCAGAAGATCACCCTCGTCTGCTGGCCGCAACCTAACAGGTCTATGACCCTAGGCAGGATGCTGAACCTAGCAAAACCTTCTCCCTCCACCTGCAATATCAATCATGTACCATATTCAACAACTACGTCAATCAAATGCAATGACAGGTAGAGCGGAGACTTGGATTCATTAGCAAAGAGTGAGATGATGGTGCACAAGGCACATGCCAGAACCCTTCCTAGCACATACCATTGCATGTACATTGCAAACAATGGAGCAAGCCACCACAGCGCTAGCTCTAGAAGAGACAATGCCCTCTTCTTTCGATGGGGACTGAAGTGAACTCTGGGATGCCCACCATGGCATTATTTGTAGTTCATTCACAGTCACATGTACCTGCTTTCGAGGACTCATAACAGTCCCAAGGAGAATCACAAGGCTGCACTGTGATCCATCTTTATCTATATATTTCTAACATACCATTTGGGGATTGCTACATCCCCGTTTATTCCATAGCATGGGAATTCAACACTTCAGGCTCTGAGCTTTCATTAGAAGCAAGAAATGTTGTTTCTGTCCCTCCTGGTCAGGGACAAAACTCAGAAAAATGTCATCAATGCAGGGTGTCTTCCAGAATCTCCTGGAAGTGTGAAATAATAGCTCAGAGATGTGGGAATAGCCCCATTCATCTCAATGGGTTAACTTTCAAAACCTAAAAAGAAAAGGAGTACTTGTGGCACCTTAGAGACTAACCAATTTATTTGAGCATGAGCTTTCGTGAGCTACAGCTCACTTCAGCTGTAGCTCACGAAAGCTCATGCTCAAATAAATTGGTTAGTCTCTAAGGTGCCACAAGTACTCCTTTTCTTTTTGCGAATACAGACCAACACGGCTGTTACTCTGAAACCTTTCAAAACCTAGATTACCGTTTAAATGGCAGTTAATTTTTTCACTGCTGATAATATTAGCAGACACATCCAACTAATGGGCTTATCAGAAACTACCTCCAAACACTTGCCCCAGATGCCAACAGCCTCAACTGTCCCCTACATATCCACTAAAGCATCTGTCAGTTTCTATAACCCAGTTCTGCATTGCCAATCCAAAACTCAACAGTACCATGGGGATTGGATTGACCAAATGGAATTTATTTTCAAAGTAAATAACGTAGAAGGCTTTGTGTACTTGACTGATTAGACTAATCATTGTCCTTACATTAAAAGCCTGCATTATTTTAACTTAACTACCAGCGTATGGCACCACAGTGCTGCAGAACCAAGGCCCACCTTGCAGCGGAACACGGGAGGCCTTGCTCTGACAAGTATTTAGGTTAAGGTTAAGGATTTATTTTAAACATCTAAAATAGGCAACATTTCCAAGCAACACAACCAGTTTCCAGGGACCGAACGAGACGTAATCCCAAACCAAGACCCTGACTAGACACTGGAAATAAGGGTCATCATTAGAATAGGATGGTTGATCATCCAAGGACAGCTAGTAATAAAATAATGAGACTTGCCAGATGCTGTCTTTGGAACCTAGGGAGCATCAGGTATTCATCTCACCCGTGCAGACAGCTCTGGCCAGACTTCTTTAGCCCTGACTGCTCCTGACTCAGCCAGAGCATTTACACAGGGTGGGGCAAAGAGCGTGTGTGACACAAACCAGGCGGGGGTCAGGGCAGGCTCCGAGCTGAGCCAGACTCGTGGGACATTATGCCTGCCCTTACACACACCAGTCTTATGTTGCCACATGCCATGCCCCAGTTACAAACACACACAACTGGCTCTCCCCCACGACTGACCCTTGCTATGTGCCAATACCACTAACCCAACCTGTGCCCCCAGCTGTGAACCGGATACCCCATCGCTGCCCCCCACCCCGCCGTGCCCCCGCTACCCCATCGCCACCCCCCACCCCGCCGTGCCCCCGCTACTCCACTGCCCCCCTCATCCCGCTGCCCCCTGCCGCCCCCAGCTATCCCATCGCCGTCCCCCACCCCACCGCCCCCCACTACCCTATCACCGCCCACCACCCACGATGCCAGTTACCCCATCGCCACCCCCCCACCCCGCCATACCCCCGCTACTCCATTGCCCCCCTCATCCCGCTGCCCCCCGCCATCCCCCAGCTACCCCACTATTCCATCGCTGTCCCCCACCCCACCCCACCATCCGCGCTACCCCATCACCACCCCCGGTGCCTCTGTTACCCCATCGCCACCCCCCCACCCCTGCCGTGCCCCAGCTACCGCACTGCCCCCCTCCACCCCCAATGACCCCATCGCCGCCCCCCCACCCCGCCATGCCCCCGCTACTCCATTGCCCCCCTCATCCCTCTGCCCCATCGCCGCCCCCCGCTACCCCATCGCCGCCCCCCCCACCCCGCCATGCCCCCGCTACTCCATTGCCCCCCTCATCCCGCTGCCCCATCGCCGCCCCCAGCTATCCCATCGCCGTCCCCCACCCCACCGCCCCCCCGCTACCCTATCACCGCCCACCACCCACGATGCCAGTTACCCCATCGCTGCCGCCCCCAGCTACCCCATCGCCGCCCCCCACCCCGCCGTACCCCCCGCTACTCCATTGCCCCCGTCATCCCGCTGCCCCCCGCCGTCCCCCAGCTACCCCACTACCCCCCACTATTCCATCGCTGTCCCCCACCCCACCACCCGCGCTACCCCATCACCACCCCCGGTGCTTCTGTTACCCCATCGCCACCCCCCACCCCTGCCGTCCCCCAGCTACCCCACTACCCCCCCACTATTCCATCGCTGTCCCCCACCCCACCATCCGCGCTACCCCATCACCACCCCCGGTGCCCCTGTTACCCCATCGCCACCCCCCACCCCTGCCGTCCCCCAGCTACCGCACTGCCCCCCTCCGCCCCCAGTTACCCCATCGCCGCCCCCCACCCCGCCATGCCCCCCGCTACTCCATTGCCCCCCTCATCCCGCTGCCCCATCGCCGCCCCCCACCCCCGCCGTGCCCCAGCTACCCCACCGCCCCCCCCCCTTCATCCCGCCGCGCCCCAGCTGAGAACCAGCTACGCTACCCCCGTCCCTGCTGCTGCCGGTCACCGCCCGCAGCGCGCCCCCACCTGCTGGCCTCCTGCTCCCCGCCGCGCCCGATCTCCATGCCGGCCGGGGCCCGCCTGCCTCAGCGCGGGCGGCCCCCGCCAGCAGCCTCCATCTCCACCCCCGCGGCCGGCCCAGCCGCAGCCGCCCCCGCCCGCCGGCTGGAACGGCGGCTCCCAGCACGCCCCGCGACAGGGCGACTACAGCTCCCAGCATGCCCGCCACACGGCCGCCCCTCCCTCCCCTCGCACGCAGCGCCTCGGAACTGTAGTTCCCAGCATGCCCCACGCCGACGAAACTACAGCTCCCAGCATGCACTGCGGTTTGAGTCTCGTCTGAGCACGCGGGGCAGGGACCCAGGGTCTGCAACACTGAGCTGTGCAGGAGGGGGGATTAGCTGGGCGCGGGAGGGTGTTCGCAGCGGGGTCTCTCGTGCCTTCAGACTGTTTGCCCATAGTTATGTAATTGCCCAGCGGAGATACTTGCACAGAGATTTTCCGTTTTGCCAGGAGGATTATGGAACAGGATTTTTATTTCAAATACAAAAACTCTATCGCTGCTGTATTCAGAACGGTCAGTCCACGGCCGGTGCTACTTCAACCAAAACAGGACATTTCTCTCCCGTTTGAATTGCTACATGACTAAATGCTTGCAGCTAAAACATAATCCACCCCCCCCCCCATGGCTTCCCATGCTTCAGCAACACTAATCATCAGACTAGTGAAGCAAGCAACTTTAGCTGACACTGATTCTCAAGACCCTAGCCTAGCCCAAAACCTGAACTATAGACAATTCACTGGATGTAAGAGATCAAAAACTACAAACTAGGTTGCTACAGACCCCTGAATACGATTTTCACACTAACAGGTTGTTGTATCCAAGGCTGGCTCTAGGTTTTTTGCAGCCCCAAGAGTGCAACTGGCGGAGCAAAAAAGCACATGCTTGCTTTGCTGGTGCCTAGAGCTGGTACTCCTTGTATCATAGTGAAATGTGCAAGACTCAGATATCTGCCTACTCAATATAGAATGAGTGATCAGAAACTAGTGGTGGAAACAGACAAAGCACAATGTAACCCAGAGTGGAATGACTGTACAACAACTGTAACAGCAGAGAGAGAATGTAAAGACATTTTCTGCTCCACTGCCCAAAGTACGAGAGAGCATGGGATGAATAATTTCACAAAATTATCAAAAATATAAAAAAATTTCTAAAAAGTGATGAGGGGAGCTGTGCATAACTCTGGGAGAAAGGAAAAATATATCACTACCACCAGATTGGGAATAATCGAATGATCATAGGGGATAAACTCCAAATATGGCTGTGAAGTTGCTTGATGTGCTATAGCTCCCTCCCTTTCAGAGACCCAAGATTTCTGTATTTTTATTTTTTCAGTAACTCTTGTTCATGTGCGATTATTATGTTTTATTTATTTGTATTCTGCTAGCATCCAGGTCACACTAGCCACTGTCAATGCACATAGGAAGACTCAGTCGTAGACCTGAAGAGTTTATATTCTAAGAGTTATTGTGTTACTTGTTGTCAAGGTTCCTTTCCCACTCTGAACTCTAGGGTACAGATGTGGGGACCTGCATGAAAAACCGCCTAAGCTTATTTTTACCAGTTTAGGTTAAAAGTTCCCCAAGGTACAAACTATTTTACCTTTTGCCTTTGGACTTTATTGCTGCCACCACCAAACATCTAACAAATATATAACAGGGAAAGAGCCCACTTGGAAACGTCTTTCCCCCCCCAAAATCCTCCCAAACCCTACACCCCCTTTCTTGGGGAAGGCTTGATAAAAATCCTCACCAATTTGCATAGGTGAACACAGACCCAAACCCTTGGATCTTAAGAGCAATGAAAAAGCAATCAGGTTCTTAAAAGAATTTTAATTGAAGAAAAAGTAAAAGAATCACCTCTGTAAAATCAGGATAGTAAATACCTTACAGGGTGATCAGACTCAAAACATAGAGAATCCCTCTAAGCAAAACCTTAAGATACAAAAACAGGAATATACATTCCATTCAGCACAACTTATTTTATCAGCCATTTAAACAAAACAGAATTTAATGCATATCTAACTAGATTGCTTATTAGCCCTTTACAGGAGTTCTGACCTGCATTCCTGCTCTGGTCCCAGCAAAAGCAACACACAGCCAGAGAGAAACTTTTGTCCCCCCCGCCAGCTTTGAAAGTATCTTGTCTCCTCATTGGTCATTTTGGTCAGGTGCCAGCTAGGTTATCTTTAGTTTCTTAACCCTTTACAGGTGAAAGGTTTTTTTCCTCTGGCCAGGAGGGATTTAAAGGTGGTTAGCCTTCCCTTTATATTTATGACACTTGTCATAAAATTTAATACTTCCAAGTGATTTGAGAGGCTACAGGACTCTAGATGCTATTGTAATACAAATAATAACACTCCCTAGAAGAAAAGGAGTACTTGTGGCACCTTAGAGACTAACCAATTTATTTGAGCATGAGCTTTCGTGAGCTACAGCTCACTTCATCTTTTCTTTTTGCGAATACAGACTAACACGGCTGTTACTCTGAAACTCCCTAGAAGGCACTCAAGAAAGAGACTAGAACTCTCACAATGCCATAGGGATTACTGCTACCAGCAAAATATAGCTTCCAGCACATTTTGTGAGACAAGAAAAATGTTACACAGGCCTATTCTATTCTCATCCCTTCTGTAAAATTTGCAGGGTGCATATCACAGGCAGTACCAGAGCATCAGTATATTTACTGATTGTCACCGTAAAAATATTATGGAAAATTGAAAGTAATTGAAACTGTTCCTGTGAGCAAGGGTTATATGATCATGCCCAGTGAAACTGACTATAAATGCAAATGAAACTGATAAGTCTGGTTTCATTGTTTAAACTGAGAAAAATGCAAAACAGTGTAACATAATTCTGGGGCTCAAGCCTGCAACCTAGTCCCACTGAAGTCAATGAGACTGCTCATGTCAATAAAATCTGTAGGATCAGGCTCTTTTGGGGGTATCTTTCCATGCAAACTATAAATAGACACCTTGTAAATAATAAAATGTTGTTTTGTCTATATTAAATAATAAAAACAATGGAAAAGATAAACTACAAAATGCAGAGGTAAAGGAAAAGACAGATGTTTTATCATGAGATGGGGAGTTTGCTAGACAGGGAGATCCAGGAAAGACTACTCCAGATTATAAAAACTAGAATAAATGTTATCATTTGTCCTTTGGAACAAGCTTTGGTGTATTCGCCATCCCTTGATGTCTTTAAATCAAGACTGAATGCCTTTCTGGAATATACGCTTCACACTGGAATCAAGTACAAGTTATTGGGCTCAATACAGGGGTGAAATTCTCTGGCTTGTGTTACACAAGATGCCAGACTAGATGATCTAATGCTTCTGAACTTAAATAGTACGAATTATGAATATGCTTTCATAATTCTTTGGGTGAGTTTATTGCATGGCAATTTTAACTCTTCTTATTGAGAGTTTCACCTTGGTGTTTATACATCAATTTATAAGCAAGACACCTTTCAACATAACACTATGGGTTAGATTAGATACAGAGATCTTTAGGAAAGGGCTGTTTCAGTACCTTTGAAATCAATGAAAGCCTCTCATTGACTTCAGTGTGCTCTGGATCAGATCTTAAAAACCCAATACAGGTCTCAATGAAGTGGGAGCTGAACTGGGTCCTACATTCTCATTCAGAGGCTTTTTGAAGTCAGCAGGGTGAAATGTATCCACACTGAAGTTAATGTGAGTTTTGCCATTGACTCAATGGGATGAAGATTTCATATGAGGAGTTTTGACTGAGTAAGGACTTCAGGATTGGGCCCAGTTTTTAATTTTTTTTTCACAGTATCTTCATCCCCATAATAAACTAAAAAGATCTTAATTCTGCAGATTTAAAAAAGCAACAAACAACTACAAATTGATTGGAATGGGCTAATATCCATACACATCAACCTAATTCCAGTAAATGTAAAAGAACAAACATTACTGTTCTCAATAGCATTGCCAGAGTCTATGCTAAGGATGGTTTGGGGGTGGAAGAGACCATAGAAATACAGTCTGGGATAGAGCTAAACCTGTTATAAGGTTAAAGATTAGTTCTCCATAATTATAGCAGCAGCACTATGCAGTTCCTCTTAGCTGTCACTTAGGTAGCCATTTGCACACTCATGAAATCTAGATATAAATACAAGACCTAATGTTTGCTTCACCCCCTCAATGACCCCTGAAAGACTTTGTCCATTTCAGGGCACTGAGAGGATGAAGTTCATTTTCCTTCAGATCAAACCTTTGTTCAATTTTCTTTTGTATATGTCCAGCTTTAGACAGCTGGCCTCCTGGTCTGGATAATAAGAGCCATCAATAGCTGTTGTGCAGTCTGTCTGAGTTTTGTGATTTCCATCTGTTATCTGGGCAAACAGCTTTTGCCACCTTTGATGCTAACTTATTTGTCATGAGTTTAACAAAGCATTTGTATCTTAGTGTTGATGAATGCTACTACCAGCCAGTGCCCCATCCCAGCACCATATCAACACAGAAATCGGGTCTACAATTTTACATAAAATATATGACATTTAGTAATATTAACATTAGTACTTGGCTTGGTAATTCTATGGCACCATCCATTTTGAGAATATAAATGAACTTTTCAAACATGAATGAATTAAGACTCACAACCCCGACTTATCATCAACCACTTGAAGACGGTAAGTAAAACACCAAATCTGTGGCCCCCAAGACTTCACATCTATCACTATGCTGAGCACATGAAACTTCACAGTAACAGCAGAGACTGAACTCAGATCTTCAAGGAACATGGGCACCATCACCCCCACCAGAGCTAAAAGAGATTCTCTATTAGTCATTAGCTATACAGGGCCTATCACACACAACTGAGCAATCCATTCACTAGAAAGAAGTGGTGTAAATACACACTAGCCAATTCACAACAATATTATTAAATGGATTAAAAACTGGCTAACTGATAGATCTCAAAATGTAACTGTAAACGGGGAATTTTCATTGAGTGGTGTGTTTCCAGTGGGGTCCTGCAGGGGCTGGTTCTTGGCTCTGTGCTATTTAACATTTTTATCAATGACTTGGAAAAAAACCATAACATTATCACTGATAAAGTTTGCAGAT